TATTTATTTATTGACTAATCTAGACTCACCGATTTTCGCACTTTCACCGTAACACACATATATATGTTATATAATACACTGGAAAAACATTGCTATTAAGTAAAGTCGACTCAGCAGTTAAACAATTTAAAGTACCATGTTTTTTTTGTTATTAAAATTAAACTGGATCACGCCGTTTTTTACAGCCTAAAAAGCTCGTAGTGCAATAAATTACTAACTAACTAATTTTATTGTTTGTTACTCTCTGTATTTTACATATAAGTGCAATAAAGAATAGTAACAATTTAAATTATGAAAAAAATTGTTGATTAGATCACTTATCTTTTACAGTTTTGAGGAAAATTGTGTACAAAATAATTTCGGTACAAAAATGATGTTTTTTTGTATATATTATACATTTAATCTTCCTTATCCTATATTATGTCTGTTTGTATAAATAAAAACATATTAGGATTTTATTCAAATACTAGTGTAGTTTAATTCATCTTTTTAAGAGAAATAATCTATACATATAATAAACGATTAACTTAGCGAAGTCGATGTGCGCGTTTCACGCAAAAAGTACTGAACCGATTTTAAATAAATTTTGTGTAGTGATTACTTTTTAATCGCGTCAACATTTAGGATACCTTTTACTAATATTAGATACGTTCTGTAATACTAATATTATAAGCGCGAAAGTTTGTAAGAATGTATGTATGGAAGGATGTTTGTTACTCTTTCACGCCAAAACGGCTGAATGGATCTGGATGAAATTTGGCACAGAGATAGATTATAGTCTGGAATAACACATAGACTACTTTTAACGGAACTTATTTGCTACGGAAAAGTATACGGTTTCCGAGGAATAGATTTGTTTTTCTATATGAACTCTATCAGTGTACGCGCGCGCCAGTAAAGCCCGACTGGGAGCTTTGATTGTTTCCGACATCTTTATCAATTATCTTCATATTTCATCCAGTTTTCACAACACGTTAATGAATCATACACCTAAACTTTCCTCGTGAATCACTCCGTCCATTGGGGAAAACCGTATAAAGATCTGTTCGGTAGTTTTCGAGTTTATCACGTTCAGAAAAACAGACAGACAGACTTTATTTTATTTTGTAATATGTAGTGATTTAAATTACAATAAATCAACAAAACTGTCGAATAAACAATTTACAATCGCGCTAGATAGATTGAAATCTAGGTTTTTACAATTTTACGGTGACAATACAATAGGAACCGTTGATGCATGCAACTCGCACTTGACCACTTTTAATCCCAGTTTTGAGATTTTTTAATTCCAATACTGAATATTGAACGCGGCCATTTTGTTATTTCCTTCCTACCAAAAACATTGATATATAATGAGTTAAAAGCCACTTGTCTAAGTAAAGTATAAACATTATTGTAATTTGCTTTTATACTATAATACTCGTATGTATACGTATAAATTAAATGATACCGTCTCTATACTAATATTATAATTTTGACGACACGTTTGGCTCAGTTTGTAGTGACTCTACTTGCTGAGCCAGCGGTTGCGGGTTCGAGTCCCGCCGGTCAGTCATAGAAATCACAAAGGCACAACTTCTGAATAACCCATCAGTGATATTTTGTAAATGTAGCCCGAAGTTATATCTTTAGATATTTTTTTTATTTTTTCGATATCTTATTTCATTTCGCGATATGATTTTTTTCTGACCGAAACCGAGCGAAAAGCGACCGCATATTTCACATTTTTTCGATTTAAAAAAAAGCATTTAAGTGTTTTCATATTATTATTTTTTTGCATTTTGTATCCCGACATTTTGCATTCAGACGCATATTTTAACATTCCAATAGTCCCAAAATCCACGACAGTGTGGACTTCGCCACAGTCGGGTTAAAATATAAACAAAAACGAAACCATGGAGTTAAGAGTTTACAAAACTAAGCCTTCTAAAGCACTCCTCATAATTTGCTCAGTTGTTCATCTAATTATAAAGACACTAGACTGATGTATTCGATTTGGATAAAATGTACACTGTTCATATTTTTATATGTACGTATTAATTAAAATTCTATATATATATCCTTACTTCCATATTTTTTTTAATATTATAAATGTGAAAGTTTGTTTGTTTGTCCTTCTTTCACGTCGAAACGGAATGGCGTGATTTTTGTGTGAAGATAGTTGGAGGGCTGGAGAGTGACATGGTTACTTTTTACCGCGCGAGATTATCTCATTCCCACGGGAAACACGTTATCAAACAATTCTAAAAATATTTGTGATCAGAATTAATATTCAATACAATTAAATAAATACTTGTTTTAGCATTTTTCGAAATTCATCCTATATGGGGGTAAAATATAAGATAAAAGTTTGTATGAAACCTACCTTTTTAGAGTTTTTTTTGTTGTTATAGCGCGAGTGAAGCGCGGTTTCTGCTAGTTAAAAATAAAAATAAGTCATCCCAAATTATACCAGTACCTACCATATATCATCGATCATACCAGTTGCCTCCAAGGTACCATAATTTTTTTTAAAAATTTGCGACCCCAAAGATTGAAAAATTTTAGTGATTTTAAACTCAGTGTAACTTTTTTGTTGAAATATCAACATAAATGCATTTATATCCAGTCTATTTAAAATTAAATATTGTTTGTTTGTGAGTACACAATATGGATTTTAAATCTTATAAGTCTATTATTATTTTTCTATAGAGATAAATTTTATATGTTATGTTATTTTGCTATAGAGATAAATTATATTTCAACTAAATTACAATAACACGATGATTTCCGGGATAAAAACTATCTCAAACTCATCTCGGTCTCAAACTATCTTCTTACCAAATTTATTCTAGTTTTAGAGATTAATTCTTACAAACAAACTCACAAATTTACAAACTTTACCTCTTTATAATATCAGTATTAGATTAACTATATAAAGGTTACTCTTTTATACCAGTACATCAATTAGATATCCCAGAAGGTAATAAGTATTATTAATATGTTGGGACATTAACAGACAGCCATCTAGTTCCATGGTAAGCTACGAGGCTTGTGTGATACTATGGATACCAGATAGTTGGTACACTATACATTTATAACTTTAAATGCATTCATAATATTATAAATATAAACACCCATGACTGGAGTACAAACATTCGTGCTCATCACACAAATGAATGTCCCCAGCGGGATTCGAACCCGCGACAGCTGGCACAGTTAGTAGGGTCACTACAAACTGAGCCAAGCGTGGCGTCAGAGGTATAAGTCTGTTAGGAAAAGCAACTTAAACTAGGGTTTTTAACTTAAAATAATATGTTTTTTTCCAGATTACTCTTGCAGATGGGCATCCCGTACAAGGTAATTTTTTTTTTCAAATATTTTCACCACAACTATTATAGTGTCGGTCTCAATCTCTTAAATAAAGAGTTCAAATTCCGCGTAGACTTATTCGTAGTTTAATAATATAAATAATTGGATGAATAAATAAATAAAAAAAATAACTATAAATACTTTCTCAGATTTACGCGAATATTTGACATTTTAAATAAAACTATCTTTTCGGATTTTTTGCGAATTCATTTTGATTTTTAGTTCCCGATGTTTCGATTGCTTTACAGCAATCATGAGCGCGAGATACTGAGGTGTTAGATATATAATAGAAATTAAAAAACATCCAAGTTTCAATAGAGAAGATGGCTACTACCATCGTCATGGGATCCGGTTATTAATATAATAAAATTAAATAATAAATCTAAACATAACAGACAGGTAGATGTAGTAAGTTCTTACTGTGTGTTCTTACTGTGTGTACATTCATATATTTTTCAATTTTTTATTCGTAAATGTATGTACGTGTTGCTAAATAATTTGTTTTTTAAATAATAGCAAACTAAATTAAAATTATTATTGTCAATTAATTTAAACTTTTTTCAAATTACACATGGAACAATTATATGGCTTAAATAATTAATACTATATTTTATATTTTTCTTTATGGTTACAAATATAATAATGGCAACACTAAATAAAGATTACTAATTAATATTTTTAAAATTGTAATAATTATAATAATAACAGCTAAAATTAAATGATATTCTATATTCAATTATAAAACTAATTAAAATTATAAAAATGTTTAAAGTTAAAATATTGTAAGATACTTTGGTGCCATTTTTTCATTTTTTGAATTCATTTTGTTATTAGTGGGTAGGCTGTCTGTAACAACTATATAATGCCTTAGAGACATCTAACACCTCAGTCTCTCCCGTGACCATGATTGCTGTAAAGCATTTGAAACATCGGAAACCAAAAATCAAAATAAATTCGCGAAAAATCCGAAAAGACAGTAGTTTTATTTAAAATAAAAAATGTTTGAGACCTGATTAATATTATTAACTAGCATTGCCCGCGGCTTCCACCGCGTTCAAATGACCAAAAACCAAATTCTTAGGTTTTACATATTAGTATACTCTTACATTGCAGTTTTTGTATTTTTTCTCAGAAATGAAATATTTTCCCGCGGTAAAAAGTATCCTATATGTTGACCCGGATAACCAGCTATTACTATACCACAGACAGACAAAAATTCTAAAAACTATAGATTCAGCCTCTGTATCGATAATAATGTTTATTTCAAAGATTTTCCAAAAAAATATTTAATGTACAGATTCGGCTTAGTTACAATTTTATTATATGTATAGATGTGCAAGTAGATGTGGTTTTATCTGATTTTCACCCTTCCATTCTTAAGCCAAAGAACTGATTTCGATGAAATTTTGCAAGTTTAGATTTATTTTATCTTCCAAGCAAGTATCGCCGCGGGCAAAAAGTATGTAATTTTGCCGATAACATCATATAATATGTTTTTGCCAATAACACACAATATAATGCATATTAAATAATTCGAAACAATTATGTGATGGACTATGTGATTTTGTTCTAATGTTAGATTGAACTATAAACAAGAACAGATGTAAATGTACGTCAATCAAACGTAATTCCAAAATAATAAATTCAACATGTCTTTATTTCCAGATTCAAAACCAAACAATGACGAAAATTGCATCAAAATGAATCCAGACATACAAAAACAATTAAACAACATCGTCGAAGAAATAACAAAACAAGTTAATGCGATAAGCGCTGAATATGATGCTGTTGACTTGAGGTTGCTTGAAATCTCCGTAGACCGACATTTTCCTGAAGATAATCAAAAAAATACAGTCGTTCAGATAACAGTTAATGATTGCACTAATGGTTTAAATCAAAGTAATACAGATGATATTAAATATCATACTTACTCTGTTATACAGGAAGATATTTCAAACACATCGAACAAATCTCTTAACAATGATAATGATTTTGAGAATTTTGATAGTGAAACTGATAATGGTAATGATAGCAATAGTGGTAAAATTGATAATGGTAAAGTAATTTCTGAAGTTTCACTGGAAGAAAATGATTTCGACGAAGACGATCTTTTCATAGATGATATAAACCCTGAATATACTAAAAAACCAGATACTCAAGCCGCTGATGATATAGTAATAGATGAATTTGACATCGATTTTGATGATTTTAATGATAGAGAAACGAATATAACTTCACAAATAAATGTCAAAAACGATATTCCAGTTAAACTGAACTTAATAGATTTCAATAATATCAAACAAACAAAGTTTGATAAAGAGTTCAAAAATATTAATAGTATATCCAAGGAACTAAATTTGATTGATAATGATGACAAAATTTTCTTTCGGGCAATGAAAAAAGCTCGTGGTGATGGTCCATTTGTTATTTATGAGAGATATGTACAAGATTCCGTACAATATTGGTTCTTTTAAAAACATTTGATTTAAATAAAATCTTTCATTATTATCATTTATTTTGTTACCTTTTTGCTCCAACGTCTAAAGAAATAAATAAATACGTTGGGATATTAACACAGAGCACCATCTAGTTTCATGGTGAGCTACGAGGCCTGTGTTATGGATACCAGATAGTTGATACACTACACATATATAACTTTAAATACATACACTACATATATAAAACTATAAATATAAACACCAATGACTGAAGTAGAAGCATTCGTGCTTATCAAATAAATGAATGCCCCAAGCGGGACTCAAACCCGCGACTGCTGGCACAGCAAGTAGGGTCACTACTAACTGAGCCAAACGTGTCGTCAAAAAAGATAAATGGAGAAGATTCCATGATGTTGTTAATATTTATATTGTTTCACTCAAAAATCTCATACCATGTAGGTTCTATGTCAGTTCGAAGTACCTATTACAATAAAACGGCAATTTCATACTTTAACCCTTATTATTTAACGCAATGGAATTATAATATAGATCAAAACTAACAAATCGGTGATTTTTATTGAAATATATTAATAAATTACTGAAAAATTAATATAAATGTCGGTCGTTCAGGTCATGCGACGTCACGGAATTATTGTTACAAGTGCAAATTTAAAGTTTCATAGCATTTTCATTTGTTCAGATATTTTAATATCTCTCATGTTTTTGTTATATTTTACTTCAATTTTTATAATTAATACATAAAAAAAATTGGAAACTTCTCCATTGTTAATTTAAACTTGAAATATATATCTTTATATATATAATTCTTCTGTGAGTGTGTATGTCACTGAACTTCTCTCAAACGACTGGACCGATTTTGATGAATTTTTTTGTGTGTGTTCAAGGGGATCTGGGAATGGTTTAGATTCACAATTTGAATAATAATTTTCATCAAAAAAATTATTAAAAAAAGTTTGAAATTTTCAAATTAAAGACGTGTAGACAGGACAACGTCTGTCGGGTCCGCTAGTACACTATAAATAGTTAAAGACAAAATATTTCAGTATCTTTTTCTGCTTGGTTTCTCAATTAAATTTCTTTTTTTTTTGTTTAGTTTATTGACAACATATTTAGAGTAACATGATTTTTTTTAATGATGTGAACTACTAAATGACTCGTGTTAATTATATCGGGTTCGATTTCCGCTCAAGTTTCATTTAGAATAATTCCGTTGAGTACTTATTATTTACTTAAATGCTTCAGTGTAGTAGCTAGCATGTACGACTGTAGATCCGAAGGTCCCAGATTCGAGTCCTGGGTGGGGCAAGTTTAGTTCTTGAGTTTATCTGTTAAGAAATTCTTAATAACAGACTGGATTTGGGAAGGTAGCTGTGTTTCCCAGTGTTTGAGCACGTGAAGCTCTACCTGATCTCTCACTGGTCACGTTGAAGTATCGTCCCATAGGACTTTAAAAGTGTAAGGAATAGAGATCACTTATGTTTACGCGCATACTTCTACTAAGCAAGCAACTAATGCAGTATAAAAAATACTGCATTTCCTCTAGGATGATACCGGTCTTGTCATCAGGAAGTTAGGTAGCTGCAGTACTTGTCTTGTCGACAATGCGTGAGGCTTGCAGATTAATACTTATGCAGTGGTTTGACCGTACGTAACAAATATCTCAGTGAGGATTAAAGTAAAGCCAGGGTGTATCACTAGTTACATAAGCATAAAATGAAGTCACTTCCGCTGTCTGTTCGCTTACATATTTTATACTACTGAACGGATTTTAATGCAGCTTTCAGCAAAAGATAGAGTGATTCAAGAGGAAGGCTTAGGTATATATATATAAAAGCTGAGAAATGTAAAGATTTGTATTTCATATTAACCGTTAAAACGTATATAGGGACGAACACGAGCGAAGCAAGGGTGAGTCGCTAGTAATAATAATATAGGCTATTTACTATATAAAATGCACATATTTTTATTTATAAAAGATTGAACAGATGGCATATAAATTACATGTGTGGATTTAAACAAGGCGGGTCTTCTGTTTATTTTGCGCATGTACAAACCAAACAATGTTTTGTTAATAATAAAGGAAATTTATTAGTTATTAACGATGTGGCGTCATAAAATTGTCATGTCTGGTGTTGCCAGACTTGCGTGTGTTTTGCGAAAAAAACCACATTTTGGTGCCACTTTATGACCAAGTTCTACTTTTAGCAAAGTAAATTGTTTCAGTATTGTTACGAAACGTATCATCAGTTGACATTTTCATCCCATCTTCTATATATATAATATTATTCTGAATTGAATCTGTATTAAATATTTTTTGGAAAATCTTATTGAAATAGTCATTATTATCGGTACAGAGGCCGGATTTAAAGTTTTGAGAATTTTTGTCTGTCAGTCTGTTTGGGAACGCATCACGAGAAAACCACTGGACGGATTTTGATGAAATTTGATATTGTAATAGCGGGATTAATTAATTCAACATTTACAATACTTTTTAGTGCGGGAAAGTATCTCATCTCTGAGAAATCCATGTATACTAACCGTTAAAACGTATCTAGAGACAAACCCGAGCGGAGCGAGAGTGAGTCGCTAGTTTAAAATAAAACTATCTTTTTGTTTTTGATCTGAGCGGATGGGAGCGAGGCCAAAAAAAGTGTAATAAGACTTTTTTCGACACTTCTTGCTATAGTTACAGCAGTGTCTGCAATATGTACTATATCTACGCATCACCGCACACAGCTCTCTCGCGCCGAAAGACGCGCTCTTCGGCTTTTTTTTAAACTTTTATTTATATTTTTATAGTAAATAATTAATGTTTATTTTTTTTAATTAAAAAAATATATTATTAATAATATAAGATTTATTCAGTTCTTAAATTTTCATTTGTTATTAACTTAATTTTCCCAGATCATTCAGTGTTTAATTTATGATTATTTATTTTATAAATAATAAATATATTTTATCGTAAATTCTTCTATTGAACTCTATCAACTTGATATTTTATAATATAAATTATAATGACTGTATAGCAAACATCTCGGTACCAAAAAGGAATTTTGTTCTGACTGGGGTTGCGTAGACCCTTATTTTTTTGGTTCTCGATATTGCTAATGATTTAATCATGGTTACGGGAGAGGCTAAGGTTTTTGACGTTTCTAAGCTTTCAAATTCAATATTTATTGCACGTTATTATTTTAAATTACATAATAGAAACAAAACAAAGTTGAAATAGTAAAATAGGCGGCCTTATCGCTAGAGAGCGATCACTGCTAAGCAGTTATTATATAGTTATAATATGGCGTATCTGAACCGATTTAGATGAAATTTGGTAAGAATATAGTTTGACACCAGGGAAAGGTCATAGGATACTTTTTATCCCGGAAATCATCCTTTAAGGAGGTGAAAATAGGGATGTCCGTTTGTATGGGGAAGGGAACTGGGGACGAACCCGAGCGAGGCGAAGGTAAGTCCTAGCGACTTAAAGTACTAGAAAATAAAAGGCTTTTTATACTTTCTTAGGCTTTTTATGTTTTATTATTAAAGCTCATCGATAGCTATTATACAAAAAAAAAATGGAAATCGTTTGACAAACAGAGAATACAAAGATACTGAACTGTTGTGAAGGTTTACAAGATTAGGAATGAGTATGTAAGAGGAAGTTTGAAAGCAAAAGTTTAGCATGGTATGGATATATCATGAGGAACGAAGAAAGAGTATGTGCAAGAGGATAGTAGGTAGGTCAATGTAAAAATAAATAAATATATATGTTGGGACATTAACACACATCACTATCTAGCTCCATGGTAAGCTACGAGGCCTGTGTTATGGATACTAGATAGTTAATACACTACACATATATAACTTTAAATACATACATACATACACATATATATATATATATATATATATATATATATATATATATATATAAACACCCATGACTAGAGTACAAACATTCGTGGTCATCACACATATATAAATATCTATACTAATAATAAAAATGTGAATGAAACTTTATCTGTCTGTTTAAGGCAAGGATTCGATAAGGTATCCTTAGAATGGGCATAGGGTACTTTTCACTTGAACTTGCTTACTATACGAGTGACACAGCGGGAAAAAACTATGTTATTAATAAACCTAAAACCCCTACAGACAAACATACGTAAAATCTGTAAATGAAATATTTTTTAAAAACAACGACTATAATGTATTGTGTACAGAATATAGAATTAGTTATAAAAAAAAATGTCTGTCTGTCTGTATCTTGTTTTGTCTGCTTTTCACTCATAGAGTATAGAACGGACTTTAACAAAATTTTGTTTAGTGATAACTTATAACTTTGGTCAACATTAAGGATACCTTTCGCTACAGGAAAATCGCTCATTTCTTTAATGCTTTATTACGCAAAAAACTATTACCTAATAAGGTTTTTAAATTAATATATTTAACAACTCGCGACTCACCCTCGCTCCGCTCGGGTTCGTCCCTAGGAACGTTTTATCAGTAAAAAGTATACTATATGTTGACCCGGATAACCAGCTATCATCATACCAAAGTTTATTAAAATCTGTCCAGTGGTTTTCTCGTAATGCGTTCCGAGACAAACAGACAGACAAAAATTCTAAAAACTATAGATTCGGTCTCTGTATCGGTAATAATGACTATTTTAATAAGATTTTCCAAAAAATATTTGCTCAATACCTACCAATGTGTTGGAGTAAAAAGTATTGAATATGTTAGGACATTAACACGCAGCACCATCTAGTTCCATAGTAAGCTACAGGCTTGTGTTATGGATAACAGATAGTTGATACACTACATATATATAACATGAAATACATACATATTATAAATATAAACAGCCACGACTGGAGTATAAACATTCGTGCTCACCACACAAATGAATGCCCCCAGCGGGACTCGAACCCGCGACCGCTGGTACAGCAAGTAGGGTCACTACAAACTGAGCCAATCGTGTCGTTAAAGTAATACTTTGATTTGAATCCTTAAACGAAAAATCTGTTACTGCTTTTTTGATTGATTTAAAAAAAAATGTGACATACATACAGACAAAACCACGTGTGAAAAGTAGTATATATATGAAGGTTTTCTTCAGCTTACCAACATTTACGTATAATATGTATTTACTTTGAATTTGGATAATATGTTCATCATTTACACAGTTGTAATTGATAATTTATTACCTATTAAATAAATTTATTTTAAAATAATAATAGTGTTTACTCAATTATTCGTAACAGTATATATAGCGGGTTTGAATCCTGGCTAGCCACAGTCAAGATTCACAGGTCTTTTAAGGATATTTAATCCGAAGACCTGAATATGAATCCGGCGCTTGTGCTTCTTTTTTGCGGTTTGTGCGTAAGTAAATTTGCCGTTTTATTTATATTCTTTAATTAATTTTTTTTATTAGTTTTTTCTTCTATATACGAATATAGAAAAAAAACTAATTAAAAAAATATTTTTTAATATATAATATGTATATATCAGCTATCGTCATACCAAATTTCATCAAAATTTGTCCAGTGGTTTTCTCGTAATGCGGCCACGGACAGACAGACAGACAATAATTCTAAAAACTATAGATTCGACCTCTGTATCGATATAATATCTATTATAATAATAATTGTTAACAGATTCGACTCAGATAGAATTTTATTATATTTATAGATATATAAATAGGCAAAGACAAAATAGTTCAGTACCATTTTCTCTTCTGTTTGTCAACCGATTTTCTTTTTTTTTATTTAGTAGCTATAAGCTAGTGACGAGTTATAGTGTTATTAATAAAACATTTTGGGACACAGTTTTTCAAAAAAAATTTTTTTTTTTTAAATTTAAACAAGTTTTTTAATCAAAATTTGAGGAACATTCAATAAATAGAATTTACATAGTTATTTATGTTCCTCAAATTTTCAATATTGATTATGATCGAATATCGACCACTGGGCGAACAGTAATTCATATATGTAATTTGAATTTTCAGGCTTTAAGCGTCCACGCTGTTCCTAATCCAAGTAAGTAAAATATCGTAAAAAAAAGCAAATACAATTTTTATTAAACTTTAAAGAATAATTCATATTTTTTGAGGTATGTTTGAAAATCTATTTTTTTTTAAGTTTTTGAAGTTATACTTCTTTTAGCACGTTTGGAAAAATTATGAGAGTAAAATTTTTATGATGTGTAAGCACAAAGACAGCCAAAAAGCGACATAATGAAGTTAGCTGAAAGTAATACGATAAAGTTAGCTGCATTCCTTTTACAAACAGAGAGTTGTGACATACGGGATGATACTTTAGCTATATTTGTTCTGTTACGCCTAAGAAGTATAACTTCGTACGTGTGTATATAAGTACACACATACTTTATTTATATATAATAGAATTCTGTTAATTTATGACGTGTTTTACATTATTTTCAGACGAAGGAAAATTAATAAAATTAAGAATGCCAGGTAAGAATCTTTCAAGCTATTGTATGTATTTTAACTTAATTTTAATGCATTTTGTAACTTTAGGAACGAAGTAATGTGTGTTAAAATTGATTGGACTTTTTAAATTTCAAAAATAAAGTTTATATCAAAAGTTATATAGAATATTAAAATGCAATCAAATCAAGTAGAAATGTACATTATTTGTATAATTTTCATAACTAAAAATAACTCTTAAGTAGTCAAAAACGAACTTTGAAATCGAAAGTTTAAGAGAAAGACAGAATTTTCAGTGTAGGACAAACAGACACACTGACTCATTATATTGACGTACGATTGTATTGACAATCGTAAACCACTCAAATATTTCGAATAATAAATCTAAAAGCATCCAAAATGTATTTAATGTCTAGTTTCCAACATACGATTATTCTAATTTATCAACTAGCATTGCATTCAGATGACCAAAAACCTAACTCTTAGGTTTTACATATTAGTATACTCTTACAATGCAGTTTTTGTGTTTTTGTATGTTTTCTCAGAAATTAGATATTTTCCCGCGGTTAAAAGTAGCCTATATGTTGACCCGAAAAACCAGCTATCATCATACCAAATTTCATCAAAATCTGTCCGGTGGTTTTCTCGTGATGCGGTAACAGACAGACAGACAGACAGACAGACAGACAGAAAGACACACAGATAGACAAAAATTCTAAAAACTATAGATTCGAACTCTGTGTCGATAATAATGTCTATTTCAATAAGATTTTCCAAAAAATATTTTATGTACAGATTTGACTTAGTTAGAATTTTATTATATGTATAGATTAAAATACTTAGAGTAGGTACTTACGAAGAGAATATCCTTAATTAAAAGGACTAGATTTTACTAGAAAAAATATTGTAATAGTACTGCCACTGTGCTAAGACAATTAAAAACGGCAAAAACTTGCAGATGACGATAATGAATACAACGTATACAAGGATATGCAGATGGACAAGCACGGTAACCCAATCATAACCATAAAATTGATACCGATTGGTAAGTTCGAAACGACAGCACAGTGCCAAGTAGCTTTTCCTGCAGTAAAAAAATCATTTATAAAATAATACTCAATAAAAATATTAGACTTGATACAGATTATAAAATCCGAAATCTGAAAGATGGCCAAGCTACTTGCGCTGGTCGTTGACGAAGCACCGACCCTATTTCGTATACCCTTAAAGCAAAAAAAATTGCAACAATTCCTAAATTTTCATCTTCCTTTACAGAAGACAAAGATCAGGCAGATCGGTCTTACAACTGGGCAAGTACTAAGAGTAATGCTCAAGCTTCGAGTGATAACAATGACGAATATGGAGGCCAGTTGACTGATGAAAACGGCAATGCCTATTGGAGATCAGCTTCAAATTCGAAAGCTGATGCAGAGAGTGATAGCAATGCTTTCAGTCTTAATTCTGGTAAGTTCTGATTGTCTAAGATACCTTACACTGTTTATTTGACTATACAGATGAATATATTAAACTTTATTTACAATAAAAGAAATTTTAAACACATTAAACAAATTTAAGTGACCGTCTGGCTTCACTCGATTACTAGGACAAAACTATCTACGAATACCATTAAAGTACAGCTCTTATCGGTTTGTTTTTTTTTATTAGGGTTTTTAATTCTTTTGTAGAGAAACCTGACTTGCTGCACTATTTTAAAGATACTTTTTTTGTTTTTACGTTTTTTCTCCGTTTCTCGTTTACCTGCTCTATCCCTTATTTTTTACCGAATTTGTCACTTTTGAACAATTCCTGTTTCAAAAAAACAATATCCTGTTTAATTTTCGGTAGATTTTATACCTCGGATCGATAAACTATGTAACAACTTGTTAAAAAAAATACAGAGTGAAAAAAACCTAAAAACGAAAAAAAATATATAAAATAAAAAAAACTTCTTTTACAGATAACAAAGACCAGTCAGGTCAGTCTTATAACTGGGCAAGTTCTAAAAATAATGCCCAAGCTTCAAGCGATACCAGTGAAGAATATGGAGGCCAGTTGACTAATAAAAACGGCAATGCCTATTGGAAATCAGATTCAAATTCGAATGCTAATGCTGAGAGTGACAGCAATGCTTTCAATTTTAATTCTAGTAAGTTGTGATTGTCTTAGATACCTTACACTGTTTATTTGACTATACAGATTAATATATTAAACTTTATTTACAATAAAGAAAATTACAAACATAGTAAATACAAAACAAATGTACATTTATTTATTACTGTACAAGTCATATCCGCGTGGAATTGTAGCGAGAATGCTAGCCGCATTTCACCGATGAATGCAATTCCGATTCTTTGGGCGAAAAACGAGCCAGGTCTCTTGTCACTCGTAGGTGTTATATCTTTATTCAAATTTCAAATATTGATACCTTTCTTGCAGATAATGAAGGTCCAGGTTCATTGAGCGAACAGTCCTATAATAATTGGGCTAATTCTAACAATTTATATTATTTCCAAAATTCTTGAAATAACTGATAAAACGTGGTCAAGCTCCTTGCACTGGTCATTGACGATACATAGAGCACTATTCCATATACCTTAAAGCAAAAAAAAAGAGAAAATTTCTAAAACTTTATCTTCTTTTTTATAGATAACAAAGACCAGTCAGGTCAGTCTTACAACTGGGCAAGTTCTAAAAACAATGCCCAAGCATCGAGCGATAACAGTGAAGAATATGGAGGCCAGTTGACTACTAAAAACGGCAATGCCTATTGGAAATCAGATTCAAATTCGAATGCCAATGCTGAGAGTAACAGCAATGCTTTCAATTTTAATTCTGGTAAGTTGATTGTCTTAGATACCTTACACTGTTTATTTGACTATACAGATTAATATATTAAACTTTATTTACAATAAAGAAAATTACAAACATACTTAATTATATATACAAAACAAATGTACACTTAATTATTACTATTTAATATTACAAGCCATGTCCGCGTGGAATAGTGGCAAGAATGCTAGCCGCATTCCCCCGTTGAATAGCAATGCCGATTCTTTGTGCGATAAACGAACCAGCTCTCTCGTCACAAGTAGAGGCAATAAGACAAGGTATTATCTCATAAAATTTCCAATATTATTGCAGAAAATAAAGGTCAAGGTTCATTGAGTGGACAAGCCTATTGGGCTAATGCTAATAGTGATGCGGAAAGCAGCAGTAGCAACGAATATGTTGATGCATCTATTAATAAAAACAATAATGCTTACTACAAGTCATCATCGAATTCAAAGGCAGCATCTGCGAGTGCTAATAATGCGTTCAGTTATAATTCTGGTAAATCTTCCTATTAATATTATAAACGCGAAAATTTGTGAGGATGGATGTAACTACTGAACGGATTTTGATGAAACCTTAAAATAATATAGCTTAAAGACAGGAGTAACAAATGTGATAATTTATAGATATATGTAATACATAATCTGGGGCGAGGAAACGCTAGTTACTTTATTGAGTAGCAAAACTGTTGTAGTGATTATGAGAGCGAAAAAAGATTGAGAGTCATTTTACATTTTAGATATGACTAAAAAATATTCTAATAACTTTCAGTTTTAATTAATCAAATATTGATTCATTGTTTATAGAAAATCAATTATTTTCGTAATTTAAACCCATTACTAAAATCATTCTTTACTTATCTGTTTGACCTTAATTCATTTATATTTACAGGCTTCCAAAATGGTAACCAACCACTTCCAAGTGTACCTCTGCCAAAACTAAAAGCACAACCACCAAAATCAAAAAAAAGGTCACCATTTTTGCCTACTAAAAGGTTCCCATCATTCTACCCTCCCACTCCATATATCCCACCCTCTGTTTACCCAGCACCAGTGATCCCATACAGCCAGCCAGCATATGTTCTTCAAAGCGGAAACTATCCTGGCTATCCCATATACCATCCAACTGACGATGACAATTATGCATATGGGTCGCCCAGTGAATATCCAGGTGAGCCCTACCCTATACCAGTGTACCCACCATTCCCAAGAGGAATTCCCAACAAAAAACCAAGGCATCCTACAGCACCAATCGCAAGCAGTTGGAGCCAACATGGTATCGGAGCTGGAGCTTATGCTGGTATGCTAAAATTTATTAATATAATAATATTATCTTCTATTCATCTATCACGAATTCTATTATTTTGCAAACACAAATGCAGTGTTTTCACGGATTTATATTGTACACGAGGATCCAAAACAAAAAATAACAATAGTAAAGCTTTCCATTTAACCAATTTTATCATATATTGATTAAAAAGTAATTAAGATTTTTCAAGGAAATAATGCAAACCAAAAGAAATTAATAGAAAATTGCAAGAAGACAATAATTTTTCATATGTTAATTAATACAAAAATTTAAAATGCAGGTCATCAAGGCCGCCCCTCCCATCCAAATAATAGACCCCCGGTGGGTCCACGAAGAGGACCACCAAAAAGACCACAACACCCAGGATCAAATGGCCCACAATATGGTATTGGATCAGGTAGAAATCAATATTTTTTATAAAAAAGGAGAATTCTTAAAAAATCTAGCTAGTATTTTCAACCTGCACGATCAATATTATTTAATATTTTACCAAAAATTGGTTTCGTTTTGTTAATTTACACCTATTTACCAGCACAACATACTGTACATAACAGAGTCAGAATCTAATATCACTTTGATAAAATCTGATATTATCGTATTGTTACCTGTATATGTATAGTTTTTGACTGGGTTGGCTATTGGATCGCTAACGTCATTGCATTTTTACCTATTGCTACATGTACAAATAAATACTTGCCTTAAAAAGTTTTAAAACCACAATAATAAAACTAAAAAAAAAAACATTTATTTACCAAGATAATTTTGCAGGTCCACAATCACCCAGTATCTCTCCACCAGTACCAGTCCCAGACAAACAACCAGTATTTGGCAACCCACTACAACAGCCAGGCATCCCACAGCTACAACCAGGCAATCCACAGCACCAACCTGGTAAACCACCAGTATCAGGCAGTCCTCAGCAATCAGGCTATCCACAACAACCACAGCAAGCATACCCACCAAGCTCTCCGAAATCACCTGGTTCCTTAAGCTCCAGTCAGGCTACTGGTGGAAGCAATTCTTACGGTTATAATTATGGAAATGGTCAAAGCCATTCAGGCAGCTCGAGTCAAAACGGGGCTCAGTCATATTCTTCATCAAGTAAGTTTATGCGGACTTAGATTTAATACTTAAATATTTATAGCTAATTTATTATATACGAAATTTACTAATTAAAGTTTGAACAATCACCCATTTCACATAGTTTATACCGTATCGCTAATTTTCTCTAACTTTAATTTTCGTTGATTAAAAAGTTAGGCGTCTCATCAAAATGAAGCTATTCACGAGAGTTGAGCTTTTTAGTAGTAAACTTTTTAAATATGGCCTAAGGTGTTTGACTATAAAGTCGATCTAGACGTTTTGCAATCATTTTATAACAGTTAAAATGGTATGTTGTAGTCGTGCAATGTGACTCCGTAAACAGACATCTCATCTTATTATTTATTTAGTTTGAATTTGAATAAACGAGTTAGTACATCGATACTTGATATCTATAGAATATGCGCTAGAAGATGATACTCAGTAATATTTCCCAAAACAAAACACTGCTGTTTCCTGGATATACATAAAATCGATTCCTATTTTTAGCATCTGCGACAAAATGTTTAATATTTTTGATTCCATATTTTTTGTGATATAAATTTGTATAAACTTAATAGTTTAAAGAGCCATAATATCGATAGAACAAACTTAAAAGTAACAAGAGAGTTAAAGGTTTATAAACCAGTTAATTAAATGTTTAACTAAGTGTGCAGGTCAATCAATCAAAGGTCTGTATACCTTTTATTTTCAGTTCAATCGACATGAATAAAGAGAATTCAAGTCCTGAAATCTATATTTCTAAAACTGAATATTAATTACATTATAAAATATGAATTAAGTATTTAATATCAAAAAACATGTACAACATTGTAATATAATTAAAAAAAAAAAACACAAGTTAACTTCTATGACTTAATTCGAATTAACGATTAATAACACTCTTTCCTCAGACGACTTCAGAGACGCTAAAATTACAGTCCATGTCATCACTAGAGGATGTCAGCATGTACTGAAGACTAGATTTAATTTTTTTTCTGTTTAATATATAAGATTTTAACTTAAAGCGGTTTCAGGTCCCCAGGCACCTGTGAGCTCACAGCCACGACCAGGCAACTCACCATCTTCAGACAGCCAACAACAACCTGGCAATTTACCATCTCCAGGCAGCCCACCAACCTCCTCTCCTCAAGAAATAATCAATCCACAGCCACAAACAGGCAACTCACCATCTAGCCCACATCAACAACAACCTGGCAAATCACCATCTTCGAGCAGCTCACAGCCTCAACCAGACTCTTCACAACCACAAAACCCAGGCAATTCGCTACCTTCAGGCAACTCACAGCCACAACCGGGCAAGCCACCATCGTCAGATATCCCACAACAACAACCAGACTCTTCCGAACAACAAACAAATCCACTAAAACCACAACAGGGATATCCACCAGTTGGAATCCGACAGCCACAAACAGGCAACTCACCATCTAGTCCAGGGCAACAACAACCTGGCAATTTACCATCTCCAGGCAGCCCACAACCCTCCTCTTCTCAAGAAATAACCAATCCACAGCCACAACCAGGCAACTCACCGTCTAGCCCACATCAACAACAACCTGGCAAATCACCATCTTCGAGCAACTCACAGCCTAAACCAGACTCTTCACAACCACAAAACCCAGGCAATTCGCTACCTTCAGGCAACTCACAGCCACAACCGGGCAAGCCACCATCGTCAGATATCCCACAACAACAACCAGGCTCTGCCCAACAACCAACCAATTCACAACAACCACAACAGGGATATCCATCAGTTGGAAGCTCACAGCCACAAACAGGCAACTCACCATCTAGTCCACAGCATCAACAACCTGGCAATTTACCCACTCCAGGCAGCCCACCAACCTCCTCTCCTCAAGAAATAACCAATCCACAGCCACACCCAGGCAACTCACCGTCTAGCCCACATCAACAACAACCTGGCAATTCGCCATCTTCGAGCAACTCACAGCCTAAGCCAGACTCTTCTCAACCACAAAACCCAGGCAATTCGCTACCATCTGGCAGCTCACAGCCACAACCGGGCAAGCTACCATCGTCAGATATCCCACCACAACAACCAGGCTCTGCCCGACCACCAACCAATCCACAACAATTACAACAGGTATACCCATCAGACAACCAACAATTACCTAGCACCTCAAGCTCCAGTCAGTCTTATGGTGGAAGCAATGCTTATGGCTATACTTCTGGCAATGGTGAAAGCTCTTCCAGCAGCTGGAATCAAAATGGCGCCCAATCATACTCTTCTTCAAGTAAGTACAGAAGTTTTATTAGCTAAATAACACTCTTTCCTTTCTGAGTTGAAGCTGATACATCTATACTAATATTATAAAGAGGTAAAGTTTGTGATATTGTGAGTTTGTGACTTTGTAGGGGGTAATCTCTGGATCTACTGAACCGATTTTCAAACTTCTTTTACAAATAGAAAGGCACATTCTTTCTGAGTGTCATAGGCTATATATTAACCCGAAGAATGAAAAGACTTTTTCATTGTAGTCGGATTTGCAAAGTAAGTCTGAAAAAAAACGGTCGAACGAAAATGTTTCTTACGAACGCTGCCTTAACGATGAGAGGTATATGATTATGTTCTAGAGAAAAGTTGTAGAGCTTAATAATGCCTACAAAAAAGTCACCGACAGCATATATCTTACTTTTATATTTAAGTCACAAAAAGTAGTTTTTATATTAAAAAAATAATTTAAATCGGTAGGTCACGTTTATTGGTCATATTATCAACAATTCTGAATACTTATCAAAATAAGTAAATTTATCGTTTAAAATGTTTAAAACAAAAGAGTTTTCCCTTTTACTGCATATAATTTGGACGAATGGTTAAAAAGATAATACAACATATTCATAGGTATGGAATCGCGACCGTGTCGTAATCTATTGAGTAATAATTCTATATGATGGTTTATTTTCATATACGAGTACAATACTAATACTATACGTCAATCTATCTATACTAACATTATAAAGAGGTAAAGTTTATGAGTTTGTGAATTGTGAGTTTGTGACGTTGTGGGGGGTAATCTCTGGATCTACTAAACCGATTTATATGAAATTTGTTAAGAAGATATTTTGAGACCCTGGGAAGGACATAGGATATATTTATCCCAGAAATCTATATATTTTATATTTTTATCCGAATATTTACATATTTTTATCCCGGAATCATCCCTTAAGGGGTAAATTAAAAAAATTAAAGTTTGTATTGGGAAACAAGGTAGGGACGAACCCGAGCGAAGCGAGGGTAAGTCGCTAGTAATTGAATAAAATTGAAACTGTGCCTTATTACTCACTAAGTGAAAGTATAATATTTCTTAAATTAGTTAGCTTCAGCCCATCTTTTTTAAACAAGTTCCTAAAAGGAGGAGCTTATATTTTTTAGTAAGCTCCATGCTAATACTAGATTCGGGAAGACATAAGAGTCCTACTATAATTTAAGCACATGGAAACGTAGAAAAGTACAAGTTTATTATTATTTTTCAATTTTATATATAAGATTTTAACACAAAGCGGTTTCAGGTCCCCAGGCACCTGTGAGCTCACAACCACGACCAGGAGGCAACTCGCCATCTTCAGACAGCCTACAACAACCTGGCAATTTACCCTCTCCAGGCAGCCCACCAACCTCCTCTCCTCAAGAAATAATCATGCCACAGCCACAAACAGGCAACTCACCGTCTAGCCCACATCAACAACAACCTGGTAAATCACCAACTTCGAGCAGCTCACAGCCACAACCAGACTTTTCACAACCACAAAACCCAGGCAATTCGCTACCTTCAGGCAACTCACAGCCACAACCGGGCAAGCCACCATCGTCAGATATCCCACAACAACAACCAGGCTCTGCCCAACAACCAACCAATTCACAACAACCACAACAGGGATATCCACCAGTTGGAAGCTCACAGCCACAAACAGGCAACTCACCATCTAGTCCACAGCAACAACAACCTGGCAATTTACCCTCTCCAGGCAGCCCACCAACCTCCTCTCCTCAAGAAATAACCAATCCAAAGCCACACCCAGGCAACTCACCGTCTAGCCCACATCAACAACAACCTGGCAATTCGCCATCTTCGAGCAACTCACAGCCTAAGCCAGACTCTTCACAACCACAAAACACAGGCAATTCGCTACCCTCTGGCAGCTCACAGCCACAACCGGGCAAGCCACCATCGTCAGATATCCCACAACAACAACCAGGCTCTGCCCAACAACCAACCAATTCACAACAACCACAACAGGGATATCCATCAGTTGGAAGCTCACATCCACAAACAGGCAACTCACCATCTAGTCCACAGCATCAACAACCTGGCAATTTACCCACTCCAGGCAGCCCACCAACCTCCTCTCCTCAAGAAATAACCAATCCACAGCCACACCCAGGCAACTCACCGTCTAGCCCACATCAACAACAACCTGGCAATTCGCCATCTTCGAGCAACTCACAGCCTAAGCCAGACTCTTCTCAACCACAAAACCCAGGCAATTCGCTACCATCTGGCAGCTCACAGCCACAACCGGGCAAGCTACCATCGTCAGATATCCCACAACATCAACCAGGCTCTGCCCAACCACCAACCAATCCACAACAATTACAACAGGCATACCCATCAGACAACCAACAATTACCTAGCACCTCAAGCTCCAGTCAGTCTTATGGTGGAAGCAATGCTTATGGCTATACTTCTGGCAATGGTGAAAGCTCTTCCAGCAGCTGGAATCAAAATGGCGCCCAATCATACTCTTCTTCAAGTAAGTACAGAAGTTTTATTAGCTAAATAACACTCTTTCCTTTCTGAGTTGAAGCTGATACATCTATACTAATATTATAAAGAGGTAAAGTTTGTGATATTGTGAGTTTGTGACTTTGTAGGGGGTAATCTCTGGATCTACTGAACCTATTTTCAAACTTCTTTTACAAATAGAAAGGCACATTCTTTCTGAGTGTCATAGGCTATATATTAACCCGAAGAATGAAAAGACTTTTTCATGGTAGTCGGATTTGCAAAGTAAGTCTGAAAAAAACGGTCGAACGAAAATGTTTCTTACGAACGCTGCCTTATCGATGAGAGGTATATGATTATGTTCTAGAGAAAAGTTGTAGAGCTTAATAATGCCTACAAAAAAGTCACCGACAGCATATATCTAACTTTTATATTTAAGTCACAAAAAGTAGTTTTTATATTAAAAAAAGAATTTAAATCGGTTGGTCACGTTTATTGGTCATATTATCAACAATTCTAAATACTTATCAAAATAAGTAAATTTATCGTCTAAAATGTTTAAAACAAAAGAGTTTTCCCTTTTACTGCATATAATTTGGACGAATGGTTAAAAAGATAATACAACATATTCATAGGTATGGAATCGCGACCGTGTCGTAATCTATTGAGTAATAATTCTATATGATGGTTTATTTTCATATACGAGTACAATACTAATACTATACGTCAATCTATCTATACTAACATTATAAAGAGGTAAAGTTTATGAGTTTGTGAACTGTGAGTTTGTGACGTTGTGGGGGGTAATCTCTGGATCTACTAAACCGATTTATATGAAATTTGTTAAGAAGATATTTTGAGACCCTGGGAAGGACATAGGATACATTTATCCCAGAAATCTATATATTATATATTTTTATCCGAATATTTACATATTTTATCCCGGAATCATCCCTTAAGGGGTAAATGAAAATAATGAAAGTTTGTATTGGGAAAGAAGGTAGGGACGAACCCGAGCGAAGCGAGGGTAAGTCGCTAGTAATTGAATAAAATTGAAACTGTGCCTTATTACTCACTAAGTGAAAGTATAATATTTCTTAAATTAGTTAGCTTCAGCACATCTTTTTTAAACAAGTTCCTAAAAGGAGGAGCTTATATTTTTTTAGTAAGCTCCATGCTAATACTAGATTCGGGAAGACATAGCAGTCCTACTATAATTTAAGTCCATGGAAACGTAGAAAAGTACAAGTTTATTATTATTTTTCTATTTTATATATAAGATTTTAACACAAAGCGGTTTCAGGTCCCCAGGCACCTGTGAGCTCACAGCCACGACCAGGCAACTCGCCATCTTCAGACAGCCTACAACAACCTGGCAATTTACCCTCTCCAGGCAGCCCACCAACCTCCTCTCCTCAAGAAATAATGAAGCCACAGCCACAAACAGGCAACTCACCGTCTAGCCCACATCAACAACAACCTGGCAAATCACCATCTTCGAGCAGCTCACAGCCTCAACCAGACTCTTCACAACCACAAAACCCAGGCAATTCGCTACCTTCAGGCAACTCACAGCCACAACCGGGCAAGCCACCATCGTCAGATATCCCACAACAACAACCAGGCTCTGCCCAACAACCAACCAATTCACAACAACCACAACAGGGATATCCACCAGTTGGAAGCTCACAGCCACAAACAGGCAACTCACCATCTAGTCCACAGCAACAACAACCTGGCAATTTACCCTCTCCAGGCAGCCCACCAACCTCCTCTCCTCAAGAAATAACCAATCCACAGCCACACCCAGGCAACTCACCGTCTAGCCCACATCAACAACAACCTGGCAATTCGCCATCTTCGAGCAACTCACAGCCTAAGCCAGACTCTTCACAACCACAAAACAAAGGCAATTCGCTACCTTCAGGCAGCTCACAGCCACAACCAGACTCTTCACAACCACAAAACCCAGGCAATTCGCTACCCTCTGGCAGCTCACAGCCACAACCGGGCAAGCCACCATCGTCAGATATCCCACAACATCAACCAGGCTCTGCCCAACCACCAACCAATCCACAACAATTACAACAGGTATACCCATCAGAAAACCAACAACTACCTAGCACCTCAAGCTCCAGTCAGTCTTATGGTGGAAGCAATGCTTATGGCTATACTTCTGGCAATGGTGAAAGCTCTTCCAGCAGCTGGAATCAAAATGGCGCCCAATCATACTCTTCTTCAAGTAAGTACAGAAGTTTTATTAGCTAAATAACACTCTTTCCTTTCTGAGTTGAAGCTGATACATCTATACTAATATTATAAAGAGGTAAAGTTTGTGATATTGTGAGTTTGTGACTTTGTAGGGGGTAATCTCTGGATCTACTGAACCGATTTTCAAACTCCTTTTACATTTGTATTTCTATTTAGAAAGGCACATTCTTTCTGAGTGTTATAGGCTATATATTAACCCGAAGAATGAAAAGACTTTTTCATGGTAGTCGGATTTGCAAAGTAAGTCTGAAAAAAACGGTCGAACGCAAATGTTTCTTACGAACGCTGCCTTAACGATGAGAGGTATATGATTATGTTCTAGAGAAAAGTTGTAGTGCTTAATAATGCCTACAAAAAAGTCACCGACAGCATATATCTAACTTTTATATTTAAGTCACAAAAGTAGGTTTTATATTAAAAAAATAATTTAAATCGGTTGGTCACGTTTATTGGTCATATTATCAACAATTCTGAATACTTATCAAAATAAGTAAATTTATCGTCTAAAATGTTTAAAACAAAAGAGTTTTCCCTTTTACTGCATATAATTTGGACGAATGGTTAAAAAGATAATACAACATATTCATAGGTATGGAATCGCGACCGTGTCGTAATCTATTGAGTAATAATTGTATATGATGGTTTATTTTCATATACGAGTACAATACTATACGTCAATCTATCTATACTAACATTATAAAGAGGTAAAGTTTATGAGTTTGTGAATTGTGAGTTTGTGACGTTGTGGGGGGTAATCTCTGAATCTACTAAACCGATTTATATGAAATTTGTTAAGAAGATATTTTGAGACCCTGGGAAGGACATATTAGGATATATTTATCCCAGAAATCTATATATTATATATTTTGATCCGAATATTTACATATTTTTATCCCGGAATCATCCCTTAAGGGGTAAATTAAAATAATGAAAGTTTGTATTGGGAAACAAGGTAGGGACGAACCCGAGCGAAGCGAGGGTAAGTCGCTAGTAATTGAATAAAATTGAAACTATGCCTTATTACTCACTAAGTGAAAGTATAATATTTCTTAAATTAGTTATCTTCAGCCCATATTTTTTAAACAAGTTCCTAAAAGGAGGAGCTTATATTTATTTTAGTAAGCTAATACTAGATTCGGGAAGACATAAGAGTCCTACTATAATTTAAGTCCATGGAAACGTAGAAAAATACAAGTTTTTAATTATTTTTCTATTTAATATATAAGATTTTAACACAAAGCGGTTTCAGGTCCCCAGGCACCTATGAGCTCACAACCACGACCAGGCAACTCGCCATCTTCAGACAGCCAACAACAACCTGGCAATTTACCATCTCCAGGCAGCCCACCAACCTCCTCTCCTCAAGAAATAATCAATCCACAGCCACAATCAGGCAACTCACCGTCTAGCCCACATCAACAAGAACCTGGCAAATCACCATCTTCGAGCAGCTCACAGCCTCAACCAGACTCTTCAAAACCACAAAACCCAGGCAATTCGCTACCTTCAGGCAACTCACAGACACAACCGGGCAAGCCACCATCGTCAGATATCCCACAACAACAACCAGGCTCTGCCCAACAACCAACCAATTCACAACAACCACAACAGGGATATCCACCAGTTGGAAGCTCACAGCCACAAACAGGCAACTCACCATCTAGTCCACAGCAACAACAACCTGGCAATTTACCCTCTCCAGGCAGCCCACCAACCTCCTCTCCTCAAGAAATAATCAATCCACAGCCACAAACAGGCAACTCACCGTCTAGCCCACATCAACAACAACCTGGCAATTCGCCATCTTCGAGCAACTCACAGCCTCAACCAGACTCTTCACAACCACAAAACCCAGGCAATTCGCTACCTTCAGGCAGCTCACAGCCACAACCAGACTCTGCACAACCACAAAACCCAGGCAATTCGCTACCTTCTGGCAGCTCACAGCCACAACCGGGCAAGCCACCATCGTCAGATATCCCACAACAACAACCAGACTCTTCCGAACAACAAACAAATCCACTACAACCGCAACAGGGATATCCTCCAGTTGGAAGCTCACAGCCACAAACAGGCTACTCACCATCTAGTTCAGAGCAACCTGGCAATTTACCATCTCCAGGCAACCCACAACCCTCTTCTCCTCAAGAAATAACCAATCCACAACCACAACCAGGCAACTCACCGTCTAGCCCACATCAACAACAACCTGGCAATTCGCCATCTTCGAGCAACTCACAGCCTCAACCAGACTCTTCACAACCACAAAACCCAGGCAATTCGCTACCTTCAGGCAGCTCACAGCCACAACCAGACTCTGCACAACCACAAAACCCAGGCAATTCGCTACCTTCTGGCAGCTCACAACCACAACCGGGCAAGCCACCATCGTCAGATATCCCACAACAACAACCAGACTCTTCCGAACAACAAACAAATCCACTACAACCACAACAGGGATATCCACCAGTTGGAAGCTCACAGCCACAAACAGGCAACTCACCATCTAGTTCAGAGCAACAACAACCTGGCAATTTACCATCTCCAGGCAGCCCACAACCCTCTTCTCCTCAAGAAATACCCAATCCACAGCCACAACCAGGCAACTTATCGTCTAGCCCACATCAACAACAACCTGGCAATTCGCCATCTTCGAGCAACTCACAGCCTCAACCAGACTCTTCACAACCACAAAACCCAGGCAATTCACTACCTTTAGGCAGTTTACAGCCACAACCGGGCAAGCCACTATCATCAGATATCCCACAACAACAACCAGGCTCTGCCAAACAACCAACCAATCTACAACAACCACAACAAGGATATCCACCAGTTGGAAGCCCACAGCCACAAACAAGCAACTCACCATCTAGCCCAGAGCAACAAAAACCTGGCAATTTACCATCTCCAGGCAGCCCACCAACCTCCTCTCCTCAAGAAATTACCAATCCACAGCCACAACCAGGCAATTCACCGTCTAGCCCACATCATCAACAACCTGGCAATTCACCATCTTCGAGCAACTCACAGCCTCAACCGGACTCTTCACAACCACAAAACCCAGGCAATACGCTACCTTCAGGCAGCTCACAGCCACAACCGGGCAAGCTACCATCGTCAGATATCCCACAACAACAACCAGACTCTTCCGAACAACAAACCAATCCACTACAACCACAACAGGGACACCCACCAGTTGGAAGCCCACAGCCACAAACAGGAAACACACCATCTACTCCACAGCAACAACAATCTGGCAATTTACCACCACCGAGCAACCTACAACAACAACCAGGCTCTCCACAACAACAAAAACCTGGTAATTCCCCATCATCAGGCAGCCAAGAGCCACAAGGCATACCTAAGAAACCATGTCGTGTTGGTGCTCCAAAACCAGGAGTTGGAAGCGGTAAGAAATGTTTTTTCTTCTTTAATAATAAAATATGATTTTTTTATCTGTATATTATTTTCATAAACATAAAATATACTACGTATAGCATGAATAATAATATAGCCAAAAGTGACTAAGCATAATAATTTAATGTTAGCGAGTTAGTCCCTAAATACGTTTTAACGTTTAGTATAGATTTCTCAGAGATGAGATGTTTTCCTGCAGTAAAGAGTATCCTATATGTTGACGCGGATAACCAGCTATCATTATACCAAATTTCATCAAAATCTAAAAAGTCTAGTGTCTCGTGATGCGGTCACAGACTGACAGACATACAAATAAAAAATTTAAAAATTATAGGTTAGGTCTCTGTATCGATAATAATCACTATTTCGATAAGATTTTCCAAAAAATATTTAATGTACAGATTCGACTTTTATTATAGTACCTGGGCGGCCGAGCTCCGCTCGGAGTTTTTGGCCAAAAGTAGTCATTTTATTTAAAAAATAAAACTAATTGAATAAATACAAAAAAAAACAAAAGTAAAAATTTTGTTTCCGACCGGGATTCGAACTCGGACACCTGTGATAGTCAATCTTGCGACTTGTGCGCTTAACCACGATGCTTATGTCTATGCATGCGAAATTAGCCACCATATTTGGCGTGCCATAGAAAACCGCATGAAAACTCGAAACACGCATTTTCCCAGACATAAGACTAATCTAGATTAATTTTTCGCCCCCGGAAAACCCCCACATAACAAATTTCAACGAAATCGTTAGAGCCGTTCCCGAGGTCGCTGGGATAAATAAATATACAAGAATTGCTCGTTCAAATATATGAGATATATGTATAGACTATGTTATTGAATTTACCTTTCTTGTGCAGGGTCCTTAATAAGGCTGAAAAATTTTCATTTCAATTCTTCACACGACGACACGTTTGGCTCAGTTTGTAGTGACCCTACTTACTGTGCCAGCTGTCGCGGGTTCGAGTCCCGCTGGGGACATTCATTTGTGTGATGAGCACGAATGTTTGGTCTCCAGTCATGGGTGTTTATATTTATATTATGTATGTACTTAAAGTTATATATGTGTATTGTATCCACTATTTGGTATCAATAACACAAGCCTCGCAGCTTATCATGGAACTAGATGGTGATGTGTGTTAATGTCCCAAAATATAAAATAAAAAAAATCAATTTTTTTAAAGCATACCAGTTGAGCATAAATCACTCTGTCAATTATGATAATGCGATGCTGACCACGCATTGGCGTCCTACAGCCAGACAAAATATATTGCTTAATAATATTTTAGATATTATATAGTTTTTTTTTAATAATATATATACCTATGTATATTTTTTAATTTTTACAGGACTCATACCCGGACCAGGATTTTACCATGAATTCCCTCCAAAGACACGCACTTGCGTGTGCTTTAACAGCTACAGTGATATGCCCGCCGTTCTCCGAAACCAGTTCCAATTTTATTGAGAAGCGAATATGATACGATACAACAATAACGATGGCTCTTAAATGTTTATAAATTTTATTAGTAATTAAATGATTGCATATTAAAAATAATTTTTATTACCTAACTTAGTGATCATTATCCACAATTTTAAATTTACATTTGAATTCTCTCTAAAGTCTTTCATTTAGAGCAACTTTGCTTGCTTTGGTTGGTTTTATGTTTAGTTAGTTTGTTTCTATCATCATCTCGAAATAATATAAACAACGCAAGTTGGTGATATTCTTACCTGTTTTTAATAGATTTATGTTTAATTAACTACCGCGTATGAATCCGCAGTGCACGGGAAAATCTTACATGGTTTTTGTTGCGCTGTTAGTGTTTAGATTAGTGTTTAAAAAAAAAGTAATAAAATTTTAAATAAAATAAATTATTTGTTCTAAAGAAACTCAATAGAACTAGCATTTTAAATACATAATATATAAATATTATGTACATAGAAATTAAATACATTATATTATAGTACAGATAATATTTGTATATTGCAAAATAGGCCTTACTGTATCTTTATAGCTATATTTTTATGTACATATTTGAAAAAGGTCTAAGAATTATCAATGGCAGCTTTTTCTGATTCTCTTATAACTTGGTCTATTTTTTGTCTTGTGACATAAATATTTTTTCTCAGGGCAAAAGTGACTTGATCTGCTGTTTCGTCTTTTATATTCGGAAGCTCATTTTTAATACAATTTTTTACTTCTTCAAAAGTAGAATCTGGTAATCCATCATCAATTTTATCAATTTGTTTAAAATGTTCAGCATTTTCGATAATATCTTTCAAGTCTTTCGCGAATTTGTGGCAGAAATCTTCTAAATATTCTTGAATTTTCTCCATGTCATGTACAGTCAGTTCATTGTATTGAGACTTGACGTAATCAGCCATCATGTTTTTAAATTTTGTCACATATGATACGTCGTCTAACACTTTCTTTAAATCATCTATCTCTTTATTCTTCAAACTCTCCAAAGCTTTTATATCCTCATCTTCTTTTAGTGGATATGTGTGTATGGTTGATACCATCAGTGCAAAAAGAAACAGCTTCACTGAAAAAAATATAGGAATTGTTTAGCTGAACTATAAATATTAACAGAAATTGCTCTGGCCGATGGAAATTCAGACAAGGTTGCTTTTTTATTCGGAAAATAAGAAATTCAACAACCTAACGAAACTCGCTAAGGTGAAAAATTCAAGTCATATTAAGCGTGTATGTTTGTATGTATAGTATATGATACGGCAATGGTAACGCGATCGCTTGGGAAACCGAGTGAAGCGGGTCCAAATCCCGGGTCTCGCACCTCTAATATTTTTTTATGCGAATCATTTCCAACATGATCACTACTAGTCTTACGGTGAAGGAAAACATCGTGAGGAAACCTGCATGTCTGAGAGAACCTAGCAAGTTTTCTAGAGTCAAGATGTGCAGACCACCAACCCGCATTTGATTACCGTGGTGAACTATGGCCTGATGACATCGTATTGCAGGATGTTAAAAATGGCTAAATACATGTTTGTATGTCACTTATCTATATTTACAAACATATATCTCAATCTCACATGAAAGTTGAATCCTTCATCTTAATTGACTTTAATCTACTAAACAACTAGCTTACATAGAATTACTTAGTAAAGAGATTTAGTCAACTTTGGAACTCAAATATTATTTACAAGCTGTTCACCCTCACTTCGCTCGGGTTCACCTCTAGGAAAACAAAAACAAACGTATCCCACGGGAACCGTACATTTTTCCGGGATAAAAAGTATGCGTTAAGCCTGTGTTATTCCAGACTATAATCTATCTCTGTGCCAAATTTCATCCAGATCCGTTCAGGTGTTCTGGCGTGAAAGAGTAACAAACATCCATACATACTCAAATACTTTTACATTTATAATATTATAAAATACGGATGGTATTAACCGATTAATTACTAGGAAGTTTTAATGGATAGCCATTATAGGTATAGACCTACAGTTGAAAGACTTTATACGATATGTAGGTAAGTATATGTTAGAGAATAATGAGAGTCTATCAATGATAGGTAAACAGCAAAAAAGATGGTACGATGATATCAGGCAGGTTGCAAGAATAACATGGAGTAGAGTAGCCAGAAAAAGATCAGAGATCAGAAAAAGATGGAGCAGGTTGGAGGAGGCCTTTGCCAACTGGCAAACGGACTTACAGAAAGTAAAGAAACACCAAATACGCGAATAATTTTAGTTATGTAAAATATATATATATATATATATATATATATATATATATATATATATATATATATATATATATATATATTGAAAAATTATAATAATTAAAAATTATAACAAAAATATATTATACAAAAAACAAATAAACAAAAAAAAAGAAAAAGAAATTTATATAACAGTGCAATAGTGTAAGAAACATAATTGTATATCTATTGTCCGAATAAAAGGCTTTATTATTATTACTAGCATTGCCCACGTTCAGATGACCAAAACCCAAATTCTTAGATTTTACATATTACTCTTACATTGCAGTTATTGTATTTTTTCTCAGAAATGAGACATTTTCCCGCAGTAAAAAGTATCCTATATGTTGACCCGGATAACCAGCTTTCATCATACCAAATTTCATCAAAATCCCTCCAGTGGTTTTTCCGTGATGCAGTAACAGAAAGATAGATAGACAGACAAAAATTCTAAAAACTATAGATTCGGCCTCTGTATCGATAATAATATCTATTTCAATAAGATTTTCCAAAAAATATTTAATGTACAGATTCGGCTTCGTTACAATTTTATTATATGTATATACTCGTATTAATCGTGTTCGTCAGGAAAAAAATTAGAATAAGTTCAAATCCTATCCTAGTCAAAAGGTTTAGGTAAGCCCAGCCCCAACAGTGGGACATTGAAAAAACTAAATTATTAATATTGTTTATTATTATTTTAAGACGAGTCTGTCCGATCGTCTTTGCTACACCCGTATCTACGATTACATAGAACACTAAACTTTCTCCAAGGATAACAAAAGTAGATAAAAATGAAACAAAGTTCTTCAACTTCGACGAAACGTTTGGCTCCGTTTGTAGTGACCCTACTTGCTGTGCCAGCGGTCGCGGGTTCGAGTCCCGCTGGGGACATTCATTTGTGTGATGAGCACGAATGTTTGTACTCCAGTCATGGATGTTTATTGTTTATATTTATAATATGTATCTATTTAAAGTTATATATGTGTAATGTATCAACTATCTGGTATCCATAACACAAACTTCATAGCTTACCATGGAACTAGATAGTGTGTTAATGTCCCAATATATTATTATTATTATTATTAAAGTAAAAAAGATACTTCACTTACTCATTTCAAATGGTGTCGTATCACGTGTGGTTAGAAGCACAATGAATAACTCTGAATTATCCCTGTATGTAAAGGCATGTGTTTATTCGAAAGGGAGCCAAGATTTTTTTACTTCATAACTAATAATCTATACATATAATAAAATTGTAACTGATCGCTGTCTGTACATGGAAGATATTTGAGAAAAACTATTATTGGGCGTCTTTATTAACGCAATAGAACTCAAAACAATGATTTTTAGATTTTTTGTCTGTTTGTCTGTGCGTTTGTGCGCGCTAATCTTAGAAACGATTTAACTGATTTGGGTGCGGTTTTCACTAGCGTACTTATTTTGGTAAGCTTCACTTAACATTTAGTATTTCAATCGGTTCATAAATAAAATGTCAATTTTAAAAAAATACCTAGGGACGAATCCGAGCGAGGCGAGGGTGAGTCCCTAGTATTAATAATAAAAACTCTTTATTGTACATACAAACATGCAGTGGTAGGATGTACAAGAGGCGGCCTTATCACTAAAACAGTGGTTTCTTCCAGGCGACCTTTAGGTATATGAAATAGTAAAAAATATGAATCTCTAAGTTAATAATAGATACTGTTTGTTATTTTTATTATACTTAAATGAAATACAGTAATTAAAATACAATCAAATTGTTTTTTTTTATGTTGGAACATGAACACACAGCACCATCTAGTTTCATGGTAAGCTACGAGGCTTGTGTTATGGATACCAGATATTTGATACACTACACATATATAACTTTAAATACATACATATCATAAATATAAAAACCCATAACTGGAGTAAAACATTCGTGCCGTCACACAAATGAATGCCCCCAGCGGGACTCGAACCCGCAACCGCTGACACAGCAAGTAGGTTCACTACAAACTGAGCCAAACGTGTCGTCCAAACAACTCATCAAAATAATGAAACAAAAACACGTAAAAATGAAAAATTAATTAAATTTATGTGCTAAATGACTCTATGTATTTCTTATCAATCTTTAAGCTGATAAGGATTTTAATATAACTAGGATTCACCCAGAGGTCGATATTTGACCAAAATTGTATTTTTTATTGATAACATCAAACCTCGACAATAACAAGTTCAAGTAAACAACAAGACAAATAGACAAAAAAGGTACCGAACTGCTTGTCTATTTGCTATCTATACATACAATAAAACTGTAGAGGTCGAATGTCTGTACATGGAAAAAAAATGCTAAAAACCGAGTCAGGGGGATGTAAGAAGAGAAATAGAACAAATCAAGATTTTTTCAATTTTTTGTTTCTCTGTCTGTTTGTCTGGGTGTACGGGCTAATCTCCGAAAGTGTTGGACCGATTTAGATGAAATTTTGCGTGGTAGTACCTTATATTCCCGGTCAACGTTTTAGATAATTTTTATCCCGGAAAATTAAAGATTTCCCGTGGGATAGTTCAAAAACTATAGTAACTTACTTATACAGCTTAGTACACAAAACCTATTGGATTTTAATGAAACTTTAGAATAATATAGTTCATAGATCAGAATAACAAATAGGCTACTTTTTATCCCGGAAAATGTACGGTTCCCGTGGGATAGATTTGTTTTTATATTATATTATGCCGAGAGATTCTAACTAAGCGAATTATTAATAATCTATACAGATAAATAAAATTGAAGTGTCTGTGTGTAATGTCAAAATAACAGCTTATTACTACATGCATATGAAATTATATACGGTACTTATAAGAAAACCACAACTTTAAAAATTTTGTCTGTCTATCTGTCTGTTTGTTCCGGCTAATCTCCGAAACGGCGAGACTGATTATGACGGAACTGTCACTGGCAGATAGCTGATTTATTTATTTATTTATTTATTTATTTCTTGGTAATCTTACAGCGTTATCAAATTGTTGATATACAGGTAGAGCACAAAGTTATTATTAAATATGGCCAAGATTTTTTTTATCTAATAGATATAATAGTATATGTATTAGACAACAGAGTACTCATATATTGATAAAGGAAAAAAAAAGTCTGAATAAATTAAATTGATCATACTAATGATACGCACATCAAACATAATGTGTTTATATGTATGTGCGGGTGTGTACGTATGTATGTGTGTGTGTATGTGTATGCGTTTGTGTGTGTGTATATATTTATGGCTGATGTTATAAGGAGTAACTTAGGCTACTTTTATTTAAGAAAAAAATTAGAATTGCGCTCAAAAAACGTACGTACCGTAGTACGTAATAAGTTCATATTTAATTGGCATTGTTTTCATGTAAAGTTTTTTACAATCTATTAAGAGAATCGAACCCAGGACCTTTAAAACCTTGGACCCTAAAGCTACTCATCAAAATAATGAAACAGAAGCAAGTAAAAAAAACAATTAATTAAGATTAATGGTTGACACACAAATAAGGAAAGCAATCACCCATCGACTGGTGTAAGGAAATTATATATTGTCGTCTGTGTATATAGCTCAGTGGTCTACTGGTTAGCATTGACGGCTGCAGATCTGGAAGTCCTGGGTTCGAGTGCCGGTTCAGGTCAAGTATAGTTATTGGGATTTTCTGCTAAGAAATTCTCAGTGACAGCCCGAAATTGTGAAGTTGGAGGAGCCCCATGCTTCGGAGATGAGATAGAGCCGTCGCCCGTCGGTCCTGCGTCTAATCTTTGGTCGTGTCGAATTGTCGTGCCACAATATTAGAGTGATATGAGAGTGCACGTTAAGTGCGCGTACACGCGCTGCACTATACAAAGAATATAGTATTATTTTAAATAACCCATATTTCTCATTCTCAAAAATTGTACATTAATTTAAGTAGTACATATATAAAAAAATCTCTTATTATTTAAAGAAAGTAAACGATATGTATAGCGAAAACGAGAGTAGTAGCATAAACAGCAAATCACGCTACTATTTTTGCCTTAGACATTTATTATAGCGGACTCCGTCTTTTCTTTAGTCTTACAGCATAAACCCGTCCAACCAATTCGCGCATCTCAATTGACTTCTTCACAATGCATTGGGAAACGTGTCATCTACATATGTACTTACGGATAAAATTACCTCATATATTATGTATATCTTATATATAATTTCTGTATATATACTTAGTAATATAAATATGGAGTTCAAAGTGCATTGAATGTGTATTTATTTTATATGTGCATTTTCATCTAAATCGGTTCAGTAGTTTGGAAGCCTATTCGGTACAAACAAACAAACAAACAAAAAAACAACAAAAAATTAAAACTGTACTCTTTATAATATAGAAGAAGGAAAAGATTTAGTATACAGATACACTACTGGAGAAATATGTGTAAGAAATATTATAGTGGACAAGTATACGCACAGACACAAGTGCACTCTCTATTCCTGTCACTCTCATACGCCAGTGGAACGACACGAGACACGACCGGTAAGAGTTAAGGCGCAGGACCGGCGGCTTTACGTGCTTTACGAGTACCGAGGCACAGGCGTGGAACACAACCAACTTCCCAACTCCGGGCTATTACTGGGACTTTCTTAACAGAAACACTCAATAATTAAACTTGTCCCGACCCGGGATACGAACCCAGGACATCTAAATCTGCTGCCATACATAGTTAGCCATTAAACCACCAAGGCAATCTATACATTTAATAAAATTGTGAGCCGAATCTGTACATTAAATATATTTTGGGGAAATCTTATTGAAATAGATATTATTATCGATACAGAGGCCGAATCTATAGTTTTTAGAATTTTTGTCTGTCTGTCTGTCTGTCTGTCTGTCTGTTACCGCTTCACGAAAAAACCACTAATTCGATTTTGATGAAATTAGGTATGATGGTAGCTGGTTATCCGGGTCAACATATAGGATACTTCTTACTGCGGGAAAATATCTCATTTCTGAGAAAACTATACTAAACGTTAAAACGTAAGTAGGGACGAACCCGAGCGGGCCGAGGGTGAGTCGCTAGTATATAATAATGTAATAGATATGATTTAGAAACGTCAATATACACACAGACAGACCAAGATGCGAGAGCTAACTAAGTAATATGACACTAATGCTTAGCTTCCTCACTTCATCGCTTCATAATGCTTCAAATTTCCTTATTTACTTCTTTATTAGGTCACCCTTATTTCTAGATGTTTTGATGTGGACCGCGATAAGCTGAAAACAGTAAATAAATATATAAAAAAAAGGATTTTATTAAAATTAAGAAAAAAAAAATGGTTTAATCGACTTCAAAAAACGGAGGTTTTCAATTGGACATGTATGTATGTAATATTATTGGAACTACAAAATATTTATATATGATAATAATCTATTAAGTATTAAGGGCTTCCAAACAAATGTACAAATTTTTTTTTGGAAGCCCTTAATTTATAGGTATGTATGTTTGTTTGTCCACGCATTTCTCCGAAACTTGTTATCGGATCGTGATCGTTCTTTTTTTATTTGCTTACATTCATTTCAACTTAGGGAATAGTAAAGATTTTATCAAAATCGGTTTAGTATAGGACTAAAACGTGTAACTCAAACTGAAATAGCTTTTGTCATTACTACTTATTACAAAAACTATATCAGTTTTACTTAAAACTAAAAATTATGAAATAAAACAGTAATTTAAAGAAAATTAAACCGACTTCAAAAAATCTAGGGACGCACCCGAGGGAAGCAAGGGTAGGGAAGCAAGGGTAGGTTTAGTATACAATAATTAGTCATACACAGGTCTGCGATTTTTTTTTAGTTTTTCCTAAAATCTAATATTTGTTATAATTGTGCTTAAAGTAATATAATAACCGACTTCAAAAAACACTAAAAAGTAAAAAATAAGTGAACGGGGGTTGTTATTTACTATAGATACTTAATCAGACATTTTCGAAGTCGGTGTGCTTTGATTTGCATCGGCTGGCACCGACTTCGAAAATATCTGATTAGGTATCTATAGATATATATCTCGGGTACGTCCCTAGGTACATATTTTTTTTGATTGGAACCCTAATTTTTTTTAAATTTAAATATAGCCTAGTTACTTCTTATTACATCAGCTATCTCGGAGCCGTTTCGGAGATTAGCTGGAACAAACAGACAGACTAAATTTTTTAAAATTGTGTTTTTTTATAAGTACCGTATATACTCTCATATGCATTTAGTAAAAAGCTGTTATTTTGACATTACACACAGACACCTCAATTTTATTTATTTGTATAGAATATATTCAAATACTAAGAGTCGTAAAATTGTTCTTGATTTTTTTAATGTTGGAAAATGCATTTATGCATACCACCTTTATACATATATATAGACGGTTATGTCAAAGTCACAGCTAGAAAACCAATATTAACCACCAAAACCGAGCTTCGCTCGAAATTTTTGACTGATGGTACAATTTTCCTTTTAATTTGGCTTAAAACAAAAAAAAACAAAAGTAAAAAAAAGCGTGCGAAATTAGCGACTATAATTTGCGTGGAATAATGCAAAAGAAAACCGCATGAAAACTCGAAAATACGCGTTTCCCCAGACATAAGACTAATCTAGATCGATTTTTCGCCCCCGAAAACGTCGAATAAAAAAAAGAAAAAGTATGTTTGTAATCGCAAAGTTCTTTTTTTGTGATAAAACTACAAATTTACGGTGTTCAAATTTTTTCCTTTAATTATGTTATAAGACAATTGCTTCTTGCCATAATTCTACGTCAACGGGAAGTGCCCTATAGGTTTTGATTCCCCTGGGAGTGTTAAAATATACGACATAAACGGCCGTATCTTTTGATTGCGTTAACTTAGAAGTTTAATTTTTTCACAGCTCCGAAAGATTGCGAACTTGAGTATTTTTTGTCAAACAAACAAAAGTTTGCTGACAAAAAAAGGATCTTGACAGATAGACAGACGGATGGACAACGAAATCCCATAAGGATTATAATACAGAACCCTAAAAACGAATTAAATACATCATTTGTGAAGTCGGTAAAAACGCAATTCAACGTTTTTAAACAAAGTCGAAGGATTCGTATGTTATAAACATGTCAGGACATTAACACAACACCATCTAGTTCTATAGTAAGCTACGAGGCTTGTGTTGTGGATACCTGATAGTTGATACACTACACATATATAACTTTAAATATATACATATTATAAATATAAACATCCATGACCGGAGTACAAACATTCGTGCTCATCACACAAATGAATGCCCCCAGCGGGACTCGAACCCGCGACAAACGTGTCGTCAAATGCAAATAAATAAATTTCGTTACGTATTATATAAATAGAAAGCAATATTAGAGAGATAATCTTTGTCGTGTCTTTGTTTCATTTATTTCAATTTGCAACTAACACTTTAAGCTAATAAGGAGGTTGGGGACACTTGCACCTATACATCTTATTTTTACTAAATCTATACATAAACTATAGACAAAATAGTTCGGTACCGTTTTCTCCTCTGTTTCTAAGCCGATTTTTTTTCTTTTTTTAACCTTCAACGCAAAAGCGACGGGGTATTATAAGTTTCACGTGTTTGTGTGTGTCTGTCTGTAACTCCCGAATGGATGAACCGATTTGATTTTATTTTGTTTGTTTTAAGGTGAATTAGTTTTGAGTGTGTTTAGCTATGTTTGAAAAAAATCAGTCCAAGATGTTCGGGAGTTTTTTTAATTTTTCATTTATCACTTGTTTTTTGTTTAGTAGCTATTGACGAGCTTTAGTGTTATCAATAAAAAAATATTATGGTCGAATTTCGAGCACTATAGTAAATGGCTTAGAATAGTAAATAAATGTTACTTTTTTTTGAGCGATAAAAAGAGAATACCATCATCCTCAGAGCAACTATTTTATCAGTCACCAATACAGAAATCGAACCGGCTATTGGCTTAAGTTAATTTCACGCAACAGCATAATGTAAAATATAATAGACTAGCATTGAACGCGGCTCCGCCCGCGTTCAGATGACCAAAGATCAAATTCTCAGGTTTTACATATTACTAGTAGTATACTCTTACAATGTAGTTTTTGTATTTTTCTTAGAAATGAGATATTTTTCCGCGGTAAAAAGTATCCTATATGTTGACCCGGATAACCAGCTATCACCATACCAAATTTCATCAAAGTCCCTTCAGTGGTTTTTCTGTGATGCGGTAATAGACAGACAGACAGACAGACAGACAAAAATTCTAAAAACTATAGATTCGGCCTCTGTATCGATAATAATGTTTATTCAATAAGATTTTCCAAAAAACATTTAATGTACAGATTCGACTTTGTTACAATTTTATTATATATAATAGTTAATAGATAATAGATTGTACAAATGTAAAGTTTTAAAATTAAACACAGTATTATTTATTGCTAAAATATGATATTTATCATGTTGTTATTACGATGGCTAAAGAAAATTACCGAAAACTAAACTTTATTCGTGTGAATTATTTCATCAATTTATTATTTCGTCTATTCATCTTTAACTTATCATTGTTTAGATATCCCCTTATTCTTAGTCTAAAATATTCTTGATAATATAACTGGATTCGCTCGTAGGAGATGCCCTAAAAGTATAGTTTTTCTTGCACCCTTTCAAATATCCAATAAAATAAAAAGCAAGTATAAAAAATATACTTTTTTTTTAATGTTTTTTTTTTTAATATTTACAACACAATTTTTAGAGTCAATAAGGGGAGAAAACAAAATAAGTCAATTTCTTTCGTTCACTTTCCCCCTACCTACTCCTTTCATTATCATAAATTTTCAATCGAGTACGAGTTCGGTATAAAAGGGCCATCTAACTATCGAAGACATCAGTGAACCGCTATCACTCAACCGAAAAGAAAAATAATCTATAAAATCTTCATCATGTTTTCTGTTTTTGATAGGTTTTTATCATTTTTGGTAATTTTTTCATGCATCCATATGATGGCAGCCAGTGTTAATACTAAGGTAAGATTTATGTTTACACTTTGACTCGCGGCTTCGTCTATTCTAATATTATAAATAAAGAGGAAAAATTTGTTTTTTTTTGTTTGTTTGTATGTTTGTATCGAATAGGCTCCGAAACTACTCAACCGATTTAGATAAAATTTGGTAAGAAGATAGTTTGAGACCCTGGGAAGGACATAGGATAGTTTTTATCCCGGAAATCAGCCCTTAAGGGGGTGAAAGTTTGTATGGGGAAGCAACCTAGGGACGAACTTCTCGCCAGTGTGTATTAAAAAACTTATGATTCGCGATGCAGTATTGATTAATGAAAGTATTGTTTGAGTCGAATACATTTTTAAATTTACATACATGTCACCTTATGGACACCTTAAGTACTAGTTAGATGTCAATGGATCATTATTTTTTACATAGCTTATTAATTTTATTTCTATGTGTAATGACTAACGAGTATATAATAATATTATATCTTAAAATGGTAAATATGTTAAAATTGTAATTGTAGAAGATATAAATGAGAAAATCTATTGTTGGGTGTCTTTATTAACACCCAAATATATAATAATAAATAAAACCCAAAAAGTTTTTGCGCACTAATCTCAGAAACGGCTTAACCGATTTGGGTGCGGTTTTCACTCATGTATGTGTTAATTTTTATGACTGGTTGACATAGAAAATATAACTATATTATTTTGAATTAATTAAATATACAAAAATGGTTGCTATTTTTTATCTGAACTCTTATATACCCAAAGCAAAAGTCAAACTAACATCTCAGCTAAAATGAAAGTGTCAAATAGAAAACAATAAAATATTAACTAGGTTAACTTAAAACCAACTTATTTGTAATTGGAAAATTCGAAAAGCATCTCATTATTTCCAAATTTTCCAATTTTCCGGGGAATATTTTCCGATTTTTTTCCTACGAAAATCCTTATTACGAACATTTTAATATTAAAATTATCTAAACCGATCCTGCTGTAAGAACGCGCTTAGTAGGTACTTACGAAATGCAATTCATTTTTATTAAAGCTTATTATATACATAAATGTGATTTAAATACTAAGCAGCAGTACAGCTACTAAAGCTGATTGAAAACTATTTTAAATTATGCAGGTATATACTGAAACTACGCATAAAACATTTTTTTTTTAATTCTAGGACGATATCTTAGACAAAGGCGCTCATAGTGACCGAGGAGGTTTGTGGTTCGGACCCCGGCTAGGCAAACGATCCTTCTCCCAAATCGATGAAGAGAACAGGTATTATATTCAAATAAACTAAGTAGAACTTTTGAAGTGAACACAATTTTAAATATTAATTATTACTTATATATATTTCATTTGAAGGCTTTGTTATGGCCATAAACGGACATATAGTCTAATTAACTTATATTTATGACTCAAAAATAATTTCAATGAGATACATCCACGGATTTCTGAGAAAAAGGGTCTTGACAGACAGACAAACAGACGGACAACAAAGTGATCCTATAAGGATTCTTTTTCTCTCTTGAGGTACAGAACCGTACACTTGATCTAGATTTACATATACTTTTAACTAAATAAATAGAAAAAGTAAAGCTCTTCTATTTTTATTCATAGGGAAACCTTCCTTAGACTACTGGAAGCTGCCGACGCCTTGAAATACTATTACGATCAACTGCCAAATGAAATGCAATCTGACGCGCCTCCATCTAAAGGTAACTAATTTATTAATAATAAATATTATTCTACACCCAAATATAAAAAGAATATAGAAACAACTACGTACAAGAGGCGACCCTATCGCTAAAACAGCGATCTCTGCAATCTTAAGGTGTTGGAATTGACAAACTGTAAGAGGAAAAGTAAAATCAAAAGTAAGTAAGCTATACGAAATTTTGTTTGTATTAACAGAAGATGGAATCTAGAGCGTTTTTGCCTAATCTCCTCTATATTGTAGTATAAAATAACATAGTGTATTGACACTAGCAAAGTATAGCATTTCATTGCGTATTTCTCAGACATTCAGGTTTCTTCACGATGTTCTCCTTAACCGTAAGACAAGTGGTGATCATGTTGGAAATGCACATGAAATATCAGAGGTGCGAGACCCGGGATTTGAACCCGCTTTACTCGGTTACCCCAGTGAACGCGTTTCCACAGGACTATAACTGCCGTCTGCCTTTTTAGGCCAGAGTACCTACCATTAAAAATTTCTATAACATGCGTAATAATAATAATCAGTGTTTGAATGTTGAACAAATTATACTTATAAAATATTTTTCATGTTTAATGACACGCTTGGCTCAGTTTATAGTGCCAGCGGTCGCAGGTTTGAGTCTCGCTGGGGGCGTTCATTTGTGTAATGAGCACGAATGTTTGCACTCCAGTCAAGAGTGTTTATATTTATAATATTTATGTATTTAAAGTTATATAATGTGTATCTGGTATCCATAACACAGGCCTCGTAGCTTACCATGGAACTAGATGGTGATGTGTGTTAATGTCCCAACATATTTATTTATATTTATTATTTTCAGTTATAAAGAAGGTAATATTCACTCCAAAACTTGGCCGCGCTGTTTATCAAGAAAATAGGTACGAAAATGTTGAATTCACTCCTCGTTTGGGAAGGAAGTTGCCTGAAAGGATCCCAGCCACTTTCACAGTCGACGAAGATAGGTACATATAAAAACTTGTTACATCCCCACGTACATATGTATATCTCTAAAACCATATTAGAAAATATTAGGCTTCACAACTTTGCCTAGCCTAAGACCATATGCACACCACCTTTCATTAAAAAGCGCGTTTATAAGTCGTCATATGTATAGAGTCTAAACTACCTTCTGGTAAATATGTCGTAATCTATGTATGTGTATATTTCATTACAGAGCCGATCAAGTCATGGCTGACTCTCGATCGAACTTCTTTTCGCCCCGACTTGGCAGGAACTTCAAATACTCTCCAAGACTTGGCAGAGAACTTCTCTATGGTAAGACCAAATGAATTTTATAAATTTCATCATAAAACTTACTTGAGTTCTAATTTATTTTGTTTACATATATTAATTTATTTAAGAAAAATACAATGACACGGAAAATATACCTAATTATAAATACAAAACAAATGTATCTACATGTACAAATCATGTCCGCGTGGAATTGTGGCAAGAATCTGCCTTCCCCCACTAAATGGCAATGCCGATTGTTTAAGATGGCTAGACGCAAAATCAATCGTCTTTCAACCTTTTTTTCCTCAATATCTTTTAGTAATATTAAAAAAACGATTATGATCACGATCAAAATCCGAAAAACGATAATTGTAAATTAAGTATTTATATTGTAAATCAGGAGTTTCAAAAGATTACGTTTTAACCCCCAAATTATTCTATAGCTCTCATGTTGTTTAAAATTTTGATATTAATATCATTTCTGTCTTCCAGATTTATACCCAGAATCTCAAATTAGAGTGGTGAGAAGCATCAACAAGACAAAATCTACTTAAACATATATTGAAATATAAATGGGATGTTGACAATGTTTCGGACAATTTGTATAATATTATTATAAGGTGCTAGTCAATAAAGTGATCTCATCTTGAATGGTTCTATTTATTTTTCTTACAACTTACTCCTTTTATCTATATCTATGTAAATAATATTAAATATCTTAACATATTATTGTTTCTGTTTTTGATTGTTCGTTTCAATACGCTTATATCTGAAACTAGCAGTTAGATTTGAATTATTTATACGTTTTATAGATTAAGAAAAGGTTCATTATTAATAAACATACACAAATACAAACATTCACATTTATATTAATATGAAGAAATGAAAACTAAATGAACTATACGACATTTTGTATGTTCACGTATTAACGGAGTCTAGAGCGTTTTTGCCCAATCTCCTCTATATCGTATAAAAAAAATATGTTTTGACACTAGCAAAGTATAATATTGTAACTTGGGCCATTTTTTTAGTTTAGACATAAAATATTAGGATACTTTTTGAAAATATCTCATCTCTGAGAAATCTATAGGTACTAAACTTTAAAAGGTAACTAGGGACGAAGCCGAGCGGAGCGATTGTGAGTAGAGTCATTAATAAAATCTTTTCACAAGTTTTTCTAAACAGTAAACACTTAATAAAACACCTTAGAAAAATTAGAAAATATTACATAATGTCTATACAGTACATATACATATATCAGTTACACGATATTTATTTAACGAAATAAGAATTGGAAAGTAATAAAATATGTTACAAACCAAAATGTATTTCTTATCGCACACGCTGAGAGTATGTGAGTATATTAAAAACCGTATTTGTACTTTTATTTAATAGGTATTTTCTACAAAAATATTTTTTTCTTGGGTGGCTCGACAACACTAAATCAACAAATATTGTAAGGTACTTTAGTGCCATTTTTGAATGTTTGAAATCATTTTTATAAAATAGTAGATAGTAGGCATTGTCTGTAACAAGTATATGTGTTTGAGACGTCTCTCCCGTAACCATGATTGCTGTAAAGCATTCGAAACGTTGGGAACCAAAAATCAAAATAAATCCGCGAAATAATCCAAAAAGATAGTTTTATTTTAAAATGTCAAATATTCGCGTAAATCTAAGAAAGTATTATGAAAACTTAATCTTCTAAACAGTAACTTACCGTCATGACCTAAAACTATAAAACACTCATTCAGAGATATCAAATAACAAAGTATTAGTAATAAATTATCATTTCAGGTTACTTCTCAATCTTACTTGAGCTACTACATGGTTATCTATTATTTGCTGCGAATTTAGAAGATTTCCATACAATTGCTAAGAAATTAGTGCCCGCACAGTTTGTCGATTCTTTAGCCAAAATTGCTGCAAACCCTTCTCCACGAGATAGAGATTACGATTATGAAGATGCTAACAAATATGAAAAACAACACGAAATCAATGATAAAAAAAACAATAAACACATACAAAGTGGGCAAAAAGGATTCAAATTTAGCAAAATTCGCTTAGACAATGATGCTACGATAGATTTTGAAGAACTAGTGGAAAGAGTGAAGAAACGTCTAGAAAAGGAACTGCGAGAAAAATATTCTAAATATAAACAAACTAAATTCAATAACTTTGAGAAGAGACGAGAAACTACTAAAGCGGAAATAGATTATATAAATTCTCAGAAACAAACTCAACAAGAATCACATGAAAGATCTGAATATATAGAAGAAATGACAGACAGACCGACAAAACGTGACTCTAATGTACATATAACAGTTAACACAGAGAAATATGAATACGCAGATGCTTTAAAAACTACATATAATAAAAACAAAAGGATACACAAAGATAAAATTAATGCAAAACATGAAAAAGATTATGATGAATTCAAAAAAATTGAAATGATGGAAAAAGGTAGCTACGAAGACTATGAACCACCAGTGAAAGATGCTAATGTATATTCTAGCAACGAAAACAAGAGATTTAAAATAAAGCAAAGTTTGAAATTTAGCAAAAATCCACCAAAACCTAAAATATTTGAAGATAGACCAATAATTGAGGAAAAATCTAAAATTAATAAACCAAATTATGATGACGATGAGATTGAAGAGGTTAAAGCTCGAACTGAAAATATAGCTGACGATGATATATCAACAGAGAAATCTAACGTGAAGAAAAAATCGCATTTAAGTACTTTTATACCAACACGTGAAAGATATACAATGATCACACCTAATTATGTTTCACCGAAGCCAGCTGAAAGGTACGATTTTGATGAGCCTCTCCCAGAAAAAGATAGGGAAAGAGAACATTTGAAGTACTTCGGCAATCCACCGGCGAAAATCAATAAAAAAGTTCGCTTGATATAATTTGTACTCTTATTTAATCTATTGTTATATTTTAAGATTTCTGGCTAAAATGAGATATACGAGATTCAAGATTTTTATGTAGATCTATACCATGGACGACAAATAAAAATCTATACATATAAAATGCTTTGTCCTGAATGACTGACGGATCAACGCACAGCCTATGCCGCTGATCATGTTTTTTTTGTATATACTGTATTTTGTGTATATTGTACCTCCTCTGTTTGTCAAACGATTTTCTTTTTTTTTTTTTTGTTTAATAGTTATTAACGAGCTTTAGCTGTTAGCTATAAAAAATCAGTTAGTTTTTTTTTTATATAGACAGATAAATTCTCAAATTCTCAATAATTTTAACCACTGGGCGAACTGTAATTAATTTTGATAGCTAAAAAGTACTTTTCAAAGAGAATGTAATCAGTAATCACTTAGCATTTTTGTATATTAATAGTATATATTTTTGTTGTAACTAATTTATGGGGCCGGCCTTGAAAAATCTGTTCAGAATTGTCAAAGATATCGGGTAAAATCCGTAACACACACACAAAAAAACATACATAAATTAAGTATTTCCATTTTAAATGTCGTTCAACGTAGTTTCGAAGATTTAGTTAAATTGTTCTCTATACATAATACAATAAAATTCTAACTGAGTCTAATCTTTATATTAAATATTTTCTGGGAAATCTTATTGAAATAGTCATTATTATCGATACAGAGGCAGAATCTATTGTTTTTAAAAATTTTGTCTGTCTGTGACCGCATCACTAAAACACTACTGGACAGATTTAGTTGAAATTTGGTATGGTGATAGCTGGATAACCGGGTCAACATATAGGATACTTTTTACTGCGGGAAAATATCTCATCTCTGAGAAATCTATACTAAGCGTTAAAACGTAACAAGGGACGAACCCGAGCGGAACGAGGGTGAGTCGCTTAGTTTGCTATATAATAAAAATTCATTACAGTACAGGCAATAAAACCAAATCGACATTCAACAATGTTATTTTACATATTATTCTTGCCTTCAATATATTCACAAGAAGTATTGATTAGAATTCCGTTAAAAATTGACCCAAAGGCGCCAACGAACCATTATATATACACCGATGAAGGTTTAAGAGCTATGTCTTTACAAAACATGCAAACGTACACTGAAATACCAAAAATATTTAATTTGGAACATAATAAAGTTATTTTTCTCGTGAAAAACCAAGAAGACAGTCAAGAAGAGTATTACACTGGTACGTTTTATGGTAGACCTGGAAGAAAACGTTTTGTTTGACAATAAAAATATTTATTTAAGTCGTTTTTTCTTGATGAAATTTAATCTATACATATAATAAAATTCTGAGTCGAATCTGTACATTAAACATTTTTTTGGAAAATCTTATTTAAATAGACATTATTGTCCATATATATAGAGGCCGAATCTATAGTTATTAGATTTTTTGTGTCTGTCTGTGACCGCATTACGGAAAAACCACTGGACAGATTTTGATGAAATTTAGTATGATGATAGCTAGTTTGAAAATCAATGTTTGACAAAAAATAATTTTTAAATTGTTACATTAATCATAATATTCTGGACTTAAATTTTTGAGTTAGGTCATTTGCAATATATTTATTGATATAATATTTAATTTGATATAAAATACTTTTCATCCATTAACCAGCTCGGTGAAGGTCATTTTATACTGGGATCTTAGACCATTTGTATACAGAGTGATAAGTTATTTTTATTATAATAAAGAAAAAAAAAAGCTAATATTATGCTACCTCTCTTTCGAAGGGAAGAGCTTAACTGATACAAAACATACACACACCTATACAATTTTGTATATATGTTTGGAAGCTCTAATAGATTATCATATCATAATATGTGAGTAATCTGCAGTTCCAAAAATAAAAAAACACACAAATTGTTTTTTTGAACTTGGTTAAAAACAGTATTATATTATTTTTTAATTAATATTTTCTTCTTTGTCTATAAAACAATAAAATTGTAACTAAGCCGAGTCTGTACATTAAATATTTTTTGAAAAATCTTATTGAAAAAGTAATTATTATCGATACAGAGACCGAGTCTATAGTTGTTAGAATTTTTGTCTGTCTATCTGTCTGTCTGGGAATGCATAACGGGAAAACCACTGGACAAATTTTTATGAGATTTGGTGTAACGATAGCTGGTTATCCGGATCAACATATAGAATACTTTTAACTACTGAAAAATATCTCTGAGAAATCTATATATACTAAACGTTAAAACGTAACATGACAAAAATTAAAATGGCCGATTTTTGGTGCCATTTTATTTATTGACATTTATTTTGGCGGACTTCATATATATAATTCTTTATCATGAGATTGATCACTAGTTTTTAATAATAATTAATTTTACTTTAATCAAACTTTTAATGGCCGATTCTGCTGATACAGTAAATTAAATATGTTGGGACACTAACACACAGCACCATCTAGTTTCATGGTAAGCTACGAGGCCTGTGTTATGGATACCATATAGTAACTGCCTCGGTAGTGTAGGGGCTAGCATGTACGGCTGTACACCCGGAAGTCCTAGGTTCGAGTCCCGGGTCGGGACAAGTTTAGTTATTGAGTCTTTCTGTATAGTAAGCCTCAGTAACAGCCCGGTATAGCCGTCGGTCCTGCGCCTTAACTCTCACCGGTCGTGTCTCGTGTCGTCCCACCAGAGTATGAGAGTGAGAGGAATAGAGAGTGCGCGTTGTGTCTGCGCGTACACTTGCGCACTATAATATCTCCTGCGCGGTTGGCTAGTCTCAATGAGATTGGCCGCCGTGGCCGGAATCGGTCAGGAGGACATCTCCAGATAGTTGATACACTGCACATATGACCCTTTAAATACACATATTATAAATAATTGTAACAGTAACTGTACGAATAATATTATTTTTATTAGTCCGGCTATAGATTTAATTTAAAAAAGTAGGTATGTGTATTTCGAAATCTAGGATCGATAATTATTTTTTTTAATTTAAAAAAAAAAATATTAATTTCTATTAACTTATTAAAATTAAATTTATTTTGGACGGTAGAAAAACGAGTGAAGCGGGTTCAAATCCCGGGTCTCGCACCTCTGATATTCTCATGTGCTCACATTCCCAACACGATGACGCTTGTCTCACGGTGAAGAACATCGTGAGGAAACCTGTATGTCTGAGAGAACGTAGCAAGTTTCGAAAGACATGCTCAGTCCGCCCGCACTCGGCCATAATGATGGACTATAACCTGGCCCTCTTATTGAATGGAAACCCACACCCAGCATTAAAAAACTGAAAACAAACATACAAATTTATTACTAACTTAAAAACATTTTTTTTTTAGTTTATATTTTTAATTAGCCCATATGCGTCAAGTTTCTTATATAAAAAAAATACATTTCTAAATTCCAAAACAAATTTTCTTTGAAACAACAATCATTCGTCTTCAATGTGTATTTTATTTGATTTAATTTTATGAAATATTTGAAACAGTTCAGAATTCGGTAAAATTGCGCCTTTTTTAGCCCACGATAGTAATGTTTGAGCTATGTCTTCACTCTCTAGTTGAAATGTCACTTTCATTTTCTTCTTTAATCTGTGGACAATAAAAAAACAATAAAAGACAATTAAAAAAATCATTATTTAAATTTATCTGTGACCCGGCTCGGCTCGAAAATTAGTTCAATTTTTAAACCGGTTATGGTCATTGAACTCAAACCGAATGGTTTTTCGGTTTAAGGTTTCGGTTACGTACTTTAACCGGTCAAAACCCGGAAAAGGGGTTTAGCGAATTTAGATTCCATCGAAATTAATTGGTAAAAATGAATTTTTCTGTATTTACATTTGACAAATTCGGTATCAAAGCTGAAGCCTAACTTTTATCTAAAACTAACCGTTAACCATTATTATTTCGGTTCACTTAAACCGTTCGTTTTCATTAAACGGTTAAAGAACGAGCGATGAAATAACCATTATATTATCGAAATCAATCGTTTTTTTTAAGCCGGTTTCAAGCTCTGTTTTTGACACATATTATTATAGGGCACATTATTATAACATATGTTGGGACATTAACACACAGTACCATCTAGTTCCATGGTAAGCTACGAGGCCAGTGTTATGGATACCAGATAGTTCATACACTACACATATATAACTTTAAATACATACATATCATAAATATAAACACTTACGACTGGCACAAACATTCGTGCTCATCACACAAATTAATGCCCCCAGTGGGACTCGAACCCGCGACCGCTGGCACAGCAAGTAGGATCATTGCAAACTGAACCAAATGTCGTCTTCGTATAATCATTTAAAAATATAAATAAATAATCCTTTAGTGTTATTAGAACAACATTTTAGTTCTAAGCAAAATCGACTGATGGCGCTGACCGAAAACATTTAAAAAAACAAATCCTTCTCCACACAGATAATTTAAGAGATTATCAATTACAAAACACTCACATGTCCGGATCAAAGAAATCTCTTTCAGCTGTGACAGTGAGTTTGTTCAAGTGCGGAGCAGCCCCGAGTACTCCTTCTGCACATTTCTCTATTTGACCTCTGGACGTATAGTCTATGCCATTGCGTGTTATTGAGGGTACCTGTAAATATAAAAATAATTTAAAAAAACGTGTGTGTATTTACGTACGTACGTACGAAGTTATAGTTCTTTGTCATAACAGAACAAAAATAGCTAAAGTGTCATCCCGTATGTCACAACTCTCTGTATGTAAAAAGAATGCAGCTAACTTCATTATGTCGCTTCTTGGCTGTTGGTGTGCTCGCGCATCGTAAAAATTGTACTCTCATAACTTTTTTCCAAATGTGCCAGAAGGAGTATAACGTCAAAAAATAAGAAACAATGTGTGAGTGTAACCTTTACGCGCTGTTGAACTAAACTTCTTTGGGAAATATCGCAATTAAATTAAAATAATACCAAGAATTGAATGAGGCACATTGGGCTATATTACCTATACATTATGATATTTATCATATATTTACAGAATATCATATATGGAAAGAATATTCATACTAATATTATAAATGTGTTTGTTTGTCTTTCTTTCACGTCGTAACACAGTAACGGATTGACGTCGTTTTTTGTGTGGAAATAGTTGGAGGGCTGGAGAGTGACATAGGCTGCTTTTTACCACGGGGGATTATCTCATTCCCACGGGAAAACACATTATAATACAACCCACAACAACTCATCATACCTATGTATATATATAAGCATGATATATAGTCTATCTATTCCATACGGGGGTTAAAAAGGGCTGAATACACAAACAAAAATAAAGACAATCCAAGTATGACTTACTATAGAACATGAGGGTTCATCTGTAAAAAAATCCGGCTGTTCATTATGATTTGTGTTATATATACGTAATAGAGAGTATATGTCCTGTCCGTGCAGACTTGCGTCTTCAAACGTATTGTATCCAAGACCTGAAAAAACAAAATTAATAAATTATAATAATTCATAATATTATAAATGTGAATGTTTATATGTTTGGATCCCTTTGGCTTAAAATACCATTGTATATTTTAAATAAAACTATCTTTTCGGATTTTGTCGCGGATTTATTTGTATTTTTGTTTCCCGACGTTTCGAATGCTTTACAGCATCCATGGTCACGGATGCCAAATAAACTTGCCATTGTTCCAAGCAAAACATATATACACATATATATAGCCAACAATATAAAACATTTATTAGTTTAAGCAAAACACTGACGGTATTTAACTTCACTAACCTCGCACACACGCCCCCAACAAACTGCCTTTAACTGTGCTAGCCAAAGCTACAGGTTCCCTTGGTACGGCAGCCACATACAAAACTGACCCACAGGCTGTTGCCGACACCATTTGTATACTTATATATATTAAGTCTCCAAGTTTCACTGTGTGCACCTGGAATGAGGAAAATATATGATTTAAAACTATAACACCATCATAAGTCCTGTATCTGGCAGATGTAAATTTTTTCTAGTAATTATTAGCATCCCTAGGTATGTTTTCTTTTTTAAGCAGAACCCTACTTTTTTTCTAAAGTAAAAGTAACCTACTTTACTCCTTATAACATCAGCTATCTGCCAGTTTAAGTCCCGTCAAAATTGGTTCAGCCATTTCAGATATTAGCTATAACAAGCAAACATAGATTTTCTAAAAAGATATATATACATTTAATAAAAAGCTGTTTTTTTGACATTTAAAACAGACACTTCAATTTCATTTATCTGTATAGATAGATGCCTTATTGGTGCAGTGTATACATTCAAACTGTCAGAAACCAAAAATCGAAATGGATCCATCAAAAAATTCAAAAAGATAGTTTTATTTAAAATGTCAAATATTCTCATAAATCTAAGAAAGTATTGTTGAAGATCATCATCATCATCATCATCATCATCTAGTTATTAAGTTTTCCTTTTAATGAGTTTCCACTTTACAGTAAGAACTCAGAATTGGAAAAGCCTGACGTTGCTCCCATGCCTTAGAGGGCATAAAAAGTCATATGTAGTACATGATCTCTCGCAGCGAGTGTCGAACTTTCATACAAACCAAAGTTTCAAAATGAAAGAACAGAGTGCACTGTATTTGCACTCTTACTTATGCCATAAAATATCTCCTGCTTACATGGCAATTTAGTGTAATTGACCGGCATGCCCAAATATGTCAGGAGAACAATTTAATCTGCTGTAGTAGCCAATCTTACTGAGACTAATTCCAGGCCTATTTTAAACCCTCTATTTTGTTTTTTTTCAGGCCCATGACAAATGGGTTACAACACGTTTGGCTCAGTTTCTAGTGACCCTACTTGCTGTGCCAGTGGTAACGGGTTCGAGTCCCACTGGGGGCATTCAATTGTGTGATCAACACAAATGTTTGTACTCCAGTCATAGATGTTTATATTTATAACATACATGTATTTTAAGTTATATATCTAGTATCCATAACACAAGTCTCATAGCTTACTATACAACTAGATTGTGCTGAGTATTAATGTCCCAACATATTTATTAATTTAATTTCCATTCATACCTCTGGCTGCATATTGCTCTGTCTTTTGATACTTCTTACAGCTTGCAACACTCTTGATGGCAGTACTCTTGTTAATACATTGACGGGTTCATCTGATATTTGTTCTGATAGCTTGATTAAGTGCCATGTCCTTTTTCTAGTTGCTTCTACTAAAAAAAAATGCTTTTATATATTTTCTAGACTATATTAAAATTGCTTTTGACTGTTTTTGTCTTCACACTCTTCTCTTTTAATAGATAGGCGCATAGTCGTTGAGTTGCGGAAAATAGCCCGAACATACCATACCAAGTGAGAATGTTGTGATATACACTGCAGTAATTAAAAATATATAATATAATGTCAAATATAATCAGTATATTATTTAAACATAGTAAATTTTTAATTTAGTCCCACAATCTATATATTTACTCAAAAATACATGTACTTGCAAAGAAAATAATATTATGTAAATCTTCCATTTTACTTAAAATATTTACACCATTTTGCAAGATTTTGGTACTTGATAAAGGCACAATAAAAGTTTCCAATCTATTGTTATATGTATATATTAATTATACTTACATTTTAATCTTAACCTAGCTACTATTTCTGAAACTTCTTCACTAGGCAAAGTATTGACGACATGACGGCACAGGATTTTTGCTACGCTATTTGGAGTCATTGGCAATCTTGCATTTCTTACAGCCTTTGCTATATCTCTCCATCTAACTCCGAACTCAGGTAAAGCAGTAACACAACACGCCTCTATAGGCATTTTACTTATAATCATTTGAAGTTCGTTTATTTCTGCAATTAATTAATAAGTTTATAAAATGTTTATAGCTAAGAATTAAGCTATTAGCTATATCGCAATATTGTATGAACTTACTGTCTCTCGAAGCTTGCATTTTGATGTTTCAATTATCCTCATTTATTATTTTGTTTATCTTATATATTGTTTTGTTTGCGCAAACAACATTTGTACAAAAATCAGCACACAGTTAGTATTCAGTAAAACAAATTGTATTAAAACTGAAAACTGAAAAGCTTAACTAATAGCCGTTAAAATTTATTTTGTTTAAATTAAAAATTGACAATTGACATTTCTGCTTTGGATTCTAAGCTTTTGGGAAATCGCATACCACCAGTATAAAATTTTTCCTAAAATCAAATGGGCTAATTTTAACTAGTTTTTTATTATAGTCAAAATTTTAAGACGGTTTCTAATTTGGCTATAATGTTTGTGTTTTTCGTTTTTTTAGTGCCTTATTATTATTGTCATTAGTGTGTCTAAAATTATATTTCGACGACGCGATGCTTGAGTGTAATGCGCAGGTAACTTTGATATTGTAATTAAACAATAAGAAATAAAACCTAAAAAATTGGAATATACTAACGCTAAGATGAAAATATTGAAATAAAAAAATAGATTTAAATATACATATATTTACATAAAATAACAAAATTAAATAACGATAAAATACGTGTTCGAACACGAACAAGTATTACGTACACATAACTATATAGAGATGCTACGCTTAATACGTATGGATTAAATTTTATGAGCATAATTTAGATCTCATTCCTCATAAGCAAGATGTCAACATTTTTATATTTGTCACCACTTTTCTGGGTGATTTAACGTTTTACGATGATTTTTCAAGGCACATCAAATAACACAAGATTAAAAGAGATGCAATTTAGCAAAATACCTCAATTATGTTTGTCACTAAAAAATAATTTTCAGTAACAAACTTAGTTGAGGTACCTTCCTACTAATTAATGCCATCTAAAAATATTATATACCTATCCTGTATGGAAGGTAGACATAAGGAGTACTATCTCTGCGATGAAAAAGTGCCCGTCAAACGCGCCTTATGGGTAATGCTGCGATAGAGTACGATAAATAAAGGAAGGTCAAAAGTAATTATTTAGAGTAAGTTAGAGAAATAAACAAGGTGTTTATATTTACTAAATTATTTTACACTACGCAAAATAGTTGAGGTTTTGTAGAATGGTATTTCATTTAACTACTTCAGTCATGAAAATTTTTAATTTTTGAACTCGGCACACAGTTTTTCGTACGCTAGCGCCACCTATTTTCAGCATACAAGTTGACACTTTTTCAACTTATCTCCCATATAAGAGACTTCTCCTTTTTTCTACCCTCCATAATATCCTTATTTTTCCATATCATTTGTTATTCAAGTTCATGGTTTTGTATGACCATGCCCTTTGCCCAAGCAAAACTCTTTTTATTATTAGTATTTTTTCGTTTTATTCGACATTCATTGTCGTCATTTCTGTAGCTCCCTATTATTACTAAGGCTTACTCTTATTAGCTTGCTATAGGTTAACAAAACATCCTCCATAACTAACTTCGCCAGACCTACATATATTCATTGAAATTATTTACGATAGATACCTACTATATTAAAAATATTAGTTTGTGTCAATCAAGAAATCAAACCCACGAAATCTTGTGGTACTGATTTATGGGTACTAAATTACTACACTTTTGCAAAGTTTACTATCACTGGGTATATAGTAGTCTCGAATAGGGAATTTTAAATTTTTTATACAATAGTTTACTTCTTGATATAATTGTAAAAAATATCCAGCTCCAAAAAACTACAAAATTAGTAAAATATATATCACACCGTTACGAATAAACGACCTTTTAATCGCCCGCCACTTCGCGCACTCGGGGTGACGTCACAGTATAATATACACAGAAAAATGACGACTCAATTTGTAGCGACAACATCGCTAATCGCTGTCATGACATACTCTGACGTCACATTCGATCTGTGGCGTGCGTATCGACTACTTTTAAGTTCCCACCTGTTTTTGCACTTTTTAATAATTACATTAAGAAATATTCATATACGGTTAATTCAAAAGCAAAAAAGATTATAAAAAAAATCACCTTTACTTAAATCATATTGATTATTTTTCTTTTCTTTTTTTTGAATCATCGCAACATAAAATTTTAATAAGTTACATAAAGACCTGTAAAAACCTATATTCATTAAGTCCCACCATAAACAAAATAGTTTTTTTTTATGGGACTATGGAGGCAAACGGGCAGGAGGCTCACCTGATGGAAAGTGATCACCGCCGCCCATGGACATCTGCAACACCGCAGGGCTTGCAGTTGCGTTGCCGGCCTTTAAGGAAGGAATACGCTCTCTTTTTGAAGGTGGCCAGGTCGTAGCGGTTCGGAAAGACCGCCGGCGAAAGCTGGTTCCACAGAGTGGTTGTGCGGGGCAGAAAATGCCTTAAAAATCGCACTGTTGTGGAACGCTGGACATCGTGGTGGTGTGGATGGAATTTAATATTTTGGCGCGATGTCCGATGATGAAATTCAGCAGCCGGGATCAGTCCGAACAATTCCTCGGAACACTCCCCGTGATAAATGCGGTAGAAGATGCAGAGTGATCCAACATCTCTACGCAAAGCTAAAGGATCAAGCCGATCGGAGAGAGCTTGATCGTCGATAACTCGAGCCGCCCTACGTTGAATGCGGTCAAATGGAAGTAGCTGGTACTGGGGAGCTCCCGCCCAAAGATGAGAACAGTACTCCATGTGGTGCCGAATTTGCGCTTATAAAGAGTAAGATGCTGACGCGACGTGAAGTACTAGGGTAACTTGTGTGTAAGTAAAAAGGGCAACCGCTCGGATCCGTCCAATTACAGGCCTATAGCAATTACCTCCTTGTTCTCTAAGATAATGGAGTCCATTATCAACTGCCAGCTCCTGCGGTACCTAGAAGAGCACCGGCTGATCAGTGACCGCCAGTACGGCTTCCGTCTAGGTCGCTCAGCCGGTAATCTTCTAGTTTACCTGACACATAGATGGGCAGAAGCAGTTGAGACCAAGGGGGAGGTGCTAGCAGCCAGTCTGGACATAGCGAAGGCCTTTGATCGGGTATGGCTTAAAGCGCTTCTTTCGAAGCTACCTTCCTAAGGGCTCCCTGAGAAATTTTGCAACTGGATCACCAGCTTTTTGGCAGATCGCAGCATCAAGGTCGTTGTCGACGGTGCTTGCTTTGATCCTAAATATGTCAATGCTGGTGTTCCACAAGGCTGCGTACTGTCTCCTACTCTGTTCCTTCTGCATATCAATGACATGTTGCAAATTAGCAACATTCATTGCTATGCAGACGATAGCACTGTGGATGCGCTGTACACTGGCCGCGCTAATATTTCTCGGGAATACGTCGACGAGAGCCGGAACAAACTTGTGTCTGAAGTCGAATCTTTGTTAACCAAAGTCTCGGATTGGGGTCGGTTAGGTTTAAGTTACACACAAGTCGCTTTTGCCTGCCCGAAAACAAAAAACTTTTATTAAAACAATTTAAAAATACAAAGCAAATCTTTATTACCCTATAATTATACAATACAAAATTACATTACCAGTCGTTAATACATTTTTACATAACAATTTCATAAACATAATTTGACTTATGTATATAGCTTAAGTTACTTTAAAAAAACACAATAAAATCTATATCATGCAAACTTTCATTGTGTTGCCAACTATAAAAAATACTTATTAAAAAGACTAAACCTATATTGTACAAAGTAATTATTTCAAGATGAAATACGAAATATAATATTTTTTTTAAATGGAAGTTTTAATTATTTCTTCTAATTGTAACAATATACTAATAAGTAATAACACAAAATTATAATTCATTAGAGAAGAAAAAAAAAACAAAGTTTTATAAACAAAAATTATACTAAATTTTTGACAAGGGATAACTTTATACAGCCTATGTTGGTGATAAAGAAGAAGTTTACATATAATTACTTTTAATTATCTAAGAATTTATTGATATTGTGAATATAAAAAACAGAAAAGTGCTGAGAAAAAAAAATTTTGTTCTTTAAATGGAAAAAATATTCCTAAATTATTTTAAGTGCTAGTATAAAAAAAAAGAAATATTAACTGTTTAACTATCATTCTGATAATATACAAAAAATTCAATAAAAAAAAACATTTAACCCAGATACAAGATATATTATTAACAGCCAAAGCTATGTGGGAAAGAGAACTATTTTTCTATCGATTAAAATTAATTAAAATTAAAAACATTGTTATTGTAAACTATTGTTTTTGACAATTTACAATGAATAAAACATGTTTCAATATACGAGTACTTAATAATAAATATGTTGGTACTTTAACATGCAGTACTATCTAGTTCCATGGTAAGCTATGAGGCTTGTGTTATGGATACTAGATAGTTGATACACTACACATATATAACTTTTAATACATATTACATTCATATTATAATATAAATATAAACACCCGTGACTTAAAAAAAAACTTTAAGATCGGATACGTAATTTCGTAATTCATCGCGGACAAACATCGTGACACGGGAATTTTATATATTTAGATATAAAAAAATAACAAACAAATTAAAATGTAATATGACTTTACCATTGTATTTTATAAGTTAAAAAAAAACCATGAATTTTATCATTCATATCAATTACAGAATCATTTTTTTTTTCAGAAATAAAAATAAAAAAGATATGGATAATGGAAACATGATATACAGCCTACAATTATAAAAAAAATCATAGTTTCAATATCAATATATTACAACCTTCATCCTGTTCTTTAACTTCATATTTTATATCGATGTTGGGTTTATCAAAACTTGTTCTGACTGGAGTCTTTTCTTTCACTTCGGCCTTAGATTCTTCCTGCGTTTTGTGCGATTTTGGCAAAGTATTCGGCTTAAATTGTCCCATTTTCGTTAGAAACCCTGGCCGTTTTCTAGCTTTTTTTTTAATATCCGCCTCAACAACTGGAAAATTTTTAACCACAAAGTCTTTATATGAATCGTTAAACGACGACGAATAAGGATCCCATTCAGTATTTTTTTTATTATTTTGTTTACTTTTATCAATGTCGTCATCACTCTTTTTATTATCTGTATCGGATTTGTCATTTTTTGTCGATTTATTATGGGCGAGAGAGAAAGAATTCAAAATCTTCGGCGACATATCTTCAACTGAATCCTGTTTTATTTTTTTCGTTTGTGTTTGTGAAGAAACATCGGTATTAACATTATTTTTCCGTTTACCAAACGTCAAATTGGTAGTTTCTAGAGCTTTCGTTATCTGTGTTTCTGTCATATGAGTGACATTTGCGACAGAAGTGACAATAACGTCATTCTCCTCAACTTCCTCGTCATAGTTCGTCAAAACGGATGTCATATCCAACGCTTTACCGAGCAATATTTTTAATGTTGGTACATTTATTTTGGCAGCATCAACTATAATACCTTCCATCAAACTTTTAAATTGTAAATATAAGTCGTTACCATCTGAAGGTAGTATTTTGAGATTATTATACTCTTCAGAACGTTTCAAAAACGATGTTATATTGTATTTTTTATACTCTTCCATTATGGTATAGTCAATATATTCGTGTTTGTAGTGTTGTTTGAAAAAGTGAACTTGTATTCCTTTGGGGAACTCCTGTACTACAATAGTTGATGGGCAGAAGGAGGTTGTATTCATTTTTTTATCATTATCTTTCACAAAATTGCAATGGTAGTAACGTTTGGAGTCATATTTTTCTAAAATATAATTCACGCCGGTCTGAGCTTCCATTTCAATTTTCCATTTGATGAATTCTGTAATATGAATTATTGTGTTAAAAAAATATCATTGGTAGCAGTGTTTTTTTTACCCACCTACACTCTGCATCTGGCATAGCTATCTCTATACATATAATAAAATTCTAAGTAGAATCTGTACAACAAATATTTTTTTGGAAAATTTTATTGAAATAGACATTATCGATACAGAGGTCAAATCTATAGTTTTTAGAAATTTTGTCTGTCTGTTACCGCATCACGGAATAACCACTGGAAGGATTTTGATGAAATTTGGTATGGTGATACCTGGTTATCCGGGTCAACATATAGGATAGAAATAAAAATAAAAAATAAAAATAAATACTTTTTACCGCGGGAAAATATCTCATCTCTAAGAAATCTATACTAAACGTCAAAACGTAGTTCGGACCCGACCCGACCTGAGTGGAACGAGGGAGAGTCGCTAGTATTTGTATAATTTTTAAAAACTAATAAATATACATAGTAATTCAAAATTTTATATTTTATAATTTTTTTGATCAATAAATAAAGCCAAATAGGTAATAAGTTTGTACTGTATGTTTTTTTTTTTTTATAATATTTGCGTATGTTCATAGATGGCGCTGTTCACATTTTACGAGGTTTTTATTCAAGTTAAATCAGTTAAGTCAACAAAATTTGTTTTCATAATTAATACTTATTTGTTACATATGTGTTAGTTACCTGATCTGTGCTAAATTTAAATGTATTTTAATGCCAAATAATTCATAAAAACTAGCCAAGTGCGAGATGGACTATAAGATTATATTATTAAACTAAGATATAATTAGGTGATTCTTAACACTGTCATAACTATTTTATTTATGAACCGATTGAAATAAAACAAATACTGAATATTAAGTGAAGATTACTACAATACATTAGTGAAAACGGCACCCAAATCGGTTAAGTTCTTTCTGAGATTAGCTCGCACAAACGCACAGACAAACAGATAACAATTCTAACAATCACTGTTTTGGATTCTGTTGCTTTAATAAAGACTCCCCAATTTTCTCAAATAGTTCGATGTGCAGACAGAGATCAGTTACACTTTTATTATATGTATGGATATAGAATAGATAATCTGACCTCATACTTGACACAAGTAATAGAATAAGATTTATATCTTAACTGACGCTGAGATCTAGTCGATTGCATGTACAGCAGATACTAAGGTCCTGGGTTTAAGTCCCGGGTCGGGTCTGCACATCCGGCTAGTCGCAGTAAGATTGGCCACCGTGGCCGAAATCGGTCATGACATAAATGAAGACTGGGATAATATTTAATAAAAAAACCATTATTATGCATTCTCACCAGAATATACAGGGAAGAACATGCTGTCTACATTATCTCCGTGTGCATTCAGCACATGCGAGCCAAACGCCTTCATATTTGGCATCCAGTCATCACAAGCAGTACATATTATTAACTGGTCTTCCATTTTGGCTTTGTTATCATCTTTGCATATATGATTTTGTATGGATTTCACTTTCCTATTACAATTATTACAGAACTCAATTCTTATTGGCTGGATGAGACTCGGAGAATTGGGTGGACTGAAAATAAATAAATTATTAGTTTATAATTAACACATTCACAGTCATCATACAAAATGGCATCATCAACCCGCAAGTCCAAAAAAGTTAATATATAATTATATTATATTTATTTAAAAATCATCAGGAAAACGACTTTTCATTATACGATTTTCAATTTTCATCAAATTTCCCATGTAAACCCACGGTGGAGTAACAGACTTATAAATAAGAATTCATGTGAACCCAATTAACGGAGGCACGGACTTGTGAATATAAAATTAATAAAAGAAATTGAGGTTAGTTCGGTTATATTACATTGTAGCTGTTGCTGACCGGTTTGTCATTATTTGGAATTGTTTGTAGTGTAGGGTAAAATGCCTCGCGACCTGTTTTATGCTGATATACAAAAAATCTGGTGATAAGGCGATTAAGGAACTTCTTGATATTCATACAGAAACAACATCATCACGTCTCATTCCCTCGCTCGTTCTACCATCTCTGCTTCATCCACCAGTTCAAAACACTTTCTTATTGATCTGCCTAAATATCCAGAGAAAAGAGGTAACCAAAACCAATATATTGGCTGTTACAAAAGGGTGATTACCGAAAGAAAATCTTCGAAGACAGCTATAAAAATGGCCACTAAAGTTCATCAGCAATACAAACAATGTAAGAAAGGTGATTGTATCGAAAATGAACATAAATACTTAGATGTTTTAACATTTTTCTTGAATTAAAATAAAATTATATGCATGTCAATTTTTTTTCACATTATGAACCCACGCAAATTGTAAACCTCATTTTGAGATATTCGATATTGTTTTTAAATTTTTTGTACAGCCTATCCCTTTTTACAAGTCCACCAAATCACAATAACTCCACTCATAAATCCAGTTCAAAAACGAAAAAGAAACTTCCTAAGTGCTATGAACCCACATGGGACTCACAGACTTGGGAGGATATACAGATGTGAGCCCACATTGTGTAGACACTGTGAATGTGTTAAAATCTGTATCATTTCTTTAACCCTGTTTTGCTTCTCTTATATGCAGTGAACTAAAAGACCTACATGCAGGAAAACGAGACCCTACAAGATGACTTCTGGAAATCATTGAGGACACCGGCAGCCTGCTCTACTACTTGGATGCCCTGAGGTGGAATGAATAGCACACTGATTAGCACAAGCTCACACACATCAAAATCTGCCTAAATGTGGAAAAAGCTGTTTACGAAGAAGAAGAAGACCTCTATTTTGCTTAGAAGGCAATACAGAATGAAAAATTGAAATAGATTTTATTGTGACATAAAATGTTTATTTAAATATAATTTTGGACCCATACATGGCTGTATGTGTGTTTGCTTCATTAGAATAGGATTGAAAAAAAAATCACAAATACAATGAGTTATTATTTATATGCCAAGCCAAATGTATTAGTAGGTACCTACACTCGCCGCGATCTGAGAAATCTTTACTAACGACACCGACTTCAAACCTATGAATAGGTAGCACATACAAATAATAATAGTTTTTTTATTAATATTAAAGGTATTAGGTTTCCATAAGAGGTGTATTAAATTAAATCTTTATTAAGTAATTTTATACTTATTAATTTTTGAAGTTGGTTTTTTTAAATGGTTTTTTTTTTACTTTATAGTGTCTGTAATAGGTTGTTCTGTAAACTACAGTAGGTAATAAAATAACAATTAGTTATAATATTTCTCAGTTTCTCTACTCCGCACTCTCTACCCACTTATCGAACACAGGTTAATAATAATATAAAGTGAACCTAAATAAAAACTTCTAAAAAAGGAAATCAAACTAAAATAAAATTACATCGTCCACGTAAACCAAAATTTTCATAAAATAAAAACTACTGGGCCAAACTATGTAAAATTTTTATAGGACCAAATGGCAACTATTTGAAGAATTACGTAATATAATAAAAATACCATACGATACACGTAAAATCTCAGCTTAATCGGTGTACATACATAAAAAAATACCCAATCGAATTTAGAACCTCTTCCTTTTTGAAGTCGGTTAAAATTATGTTTTTACTTACACTTTTACTCCTTGTCTATTTACACAGTGAAAATTCTGTATATGTTTGTGTGCTGGAAGATATGAAGCAAATGCACGGAAACACTTTGGACATTTAAATTCCACGGTTTTCCTTTTTGGTAACGATTTATCTTCACTTTCTTCTGGTTCACTAATAGATTCAGAAAATTTTATTTTTTGTCTTATTTTTAGCGGGCTACTCTCTTTTTTCGCCGGTTTTTGTTTAACCTCTTTTTTAGTGGCTTTTAATGGCTCAGTGACCTGTTTAGATTTATTTCGCCTAGTGATAATATTATGCGCGGTACGTTCATGTGATATCAGCGCTTCCATGGACATTAATTTTCGCCCGCACATATGACACTTAAACGCAGTACCTCGCGCCCTTAATTTCAATGCAGTTTTAGCGCCCATTTCTCCGAATATCGCTTTACATTTATAAAAATTATGAGAATTTTCAATGTTTTTGTAAATGCAGCGTAGAGCAGGACGACGCACTTTGACGTTTAAGACCTTGATTAATGATTTGATTATTTAATCTGTGTCATAGAGATGTAATAATCGATTAATAATTTAGCATTCGATTGAACTAAGCGCCCGAATTTAACCGGAAAGTTTGATAAAAAAAATTAATGTACTATATACAAACATAGTACATTCATTCATTTTCATATTCGTTGTGCTTTCGTTTCATTCATTTAAAGTTATTTCCTGAGGAGAAACCTGCATAAAAACGAACACAACCAATTAATTCCAAAAATATATTTAGTTAGCTTGTCTAGTAACTGCTACTACGTAGACTAGACCGTAAATTTTTGAAATTGAATTAGAAACAAATGTTACTGGGACTCAAAACGTAACATGCCAGATAGTTGAGTATAATTCAATACTTTCATAAACCGTTTTTTTTCTGTAAAACTAGTTGTTGGTCATTCATGAGATCGTCTAATATGGAGTACATATTTAATTTGATTTCAAGAGTTAGTTGTAATTACTTCCTTTAATTTCCTAAATGATGTCGTGTCTATAAAACCAGGGTTTCTTTATTTTCTTAATACAAACTTAATATATTTGGATTTTTATCTCTTATCAATTATCATAAATATCCCTTGGAAATTTTAATTTGTCACAATGTCAAAGACGACTTCAATAGTAACAAGAAAACATATAATCCGCAATAATACGTACAATTTTTGACACAAATACAAAAATCAACATTTGTTTATTAATATCTGTGAAGAATAGATAACTTATTATTTAATATATACTTTTTTCTTTTCAGGTAGTAATAAAATAATCGATAATTTTAATAATAATATGACGAATGTAAATCGATTTTGTTGTTCACTTTTTGTGAAAATTTACATTAACGCATCACTACTACGCCAGTTAACCTATTTTTTAAAAGATAATAATTATTAAAATTAAAACCGTGACATCAAAAAATTAATTCTAATCAAGGCATTTTTATTAGCCTTAAAAAATATATAAATAATTTTTCTTTATAAAACAGACTCTCCTTCATTCCTTGTGTGCAACATTAAAGTAAATAACTTAATAGTAATGACGCTTTAGCAAATAATAAAAGATTATGTAGTCTCCATAACTTGGGAAAATAAGTTTACAAACTCTAAGTACATGAAATAGGTACATACTACAAAAGAAATATACGCATAAATTATTAAAATGTTACCAGATAAAAAATATATTTATTTACTAAAAAACATTTTTTTAATTATTAAAATAACTAAAAGGATATTTTACTGGCATATAATAGGTACTAGTAAATTACTAGCGATAGTTTTTATATTCAATTTTTATTGGCAAAAATAGCGTTTTTCAGTATGATTGCGAGAGAAATATGTATATGACATCATTTGAAACAACTACGCCATTATGACGAAAACAAGTTGTCTTAAACAACCTCACTTGCTTGGTAGTTAACCCAAAGGTTTTCTTATAAGTATCCCAACAGATGTCCATAGAAAATATAGCACACACAGTAGTTTATTATCGTTGCATTGTTAATTATGGCAACACCAGTCCCTTCTCCCGCCCATCTTATAGTTCAAATTTGCATATTTTTTTTAAATAATCACACTGTTAAACTAATTTTTATTAATCCTTGACTAAAAAGGGGGGTGTTATAAATTTTACGACACATGTGTATCTGTCTTTGACATCGTAGCACCCAAACGCCTGAACCGATTTTAATTATTTTTTTTTGTTTGAAAGGTAATTTAATCGAGAATGTTCTTAGCTATAAATGAGGAAAATCCGTTCAGCCAGATTCCAGTTCAGATTATCAACTCTTTTCTATATGATTGCAGGTTATCAACTCTTTTCTATATGATAAAAGTATATGAACAACTTCCACAGATCTAATTGACTAATTCATTTGAAACTTATATACTCATAGTGTATATTCAGCAGTGTCAACTTGGTAATGGTTTTTGTTCATTAGGTATACATAATATTATACTTGAATTTTATTATTAGAGATAAGATTCCTATAGTGATTGTTTTCAGAATTAACAAAAGTTTCCAATACATACCTACTACATTAGTAGTAATAATACTAATACATGTTTTTATGAATTAAACTTTTACTAACCTATATCTACTTATAGAATATTATTAAATTGTACAAATAAAATAAATCCACTACAATGTAATACTTTATTAGCTTATACTTACTTTTGACTTTCAATTATATATATATATATATATATATATATATATATATATAAATGCCAAGGACTGCCTAGAGAAGTGAAAACTTAAAACTATAAACAAATAGGTATTATTTTTGAATATTCAAATTAATAGTTTGATTTTAAATTACAATTTGTAAATTAAAACTGTTTACAGTTATCTGATTTCGACATCTATCGGCGCTGAGAGTTAGCGTTAAAACGACATGTGAACATGTCGATGACGACTTACATGAATTTACTCCCTATCCAAACAAACCTACTTAAATAAGTTTTTACTTCAATAAAGAAATATTTTCATTTTCCTGTGTAAGGAATACCCCAAAGTTTAACTTCGTCTTCACAAGCAGATAGCAAATAGTTAAAATTTGGATGATGGCTTACAGAAACCACAGGTTTCTGACCATGTTTTAATTTAAGAATACATTCGCCAGACACTAAATCGTAATAAAAAATTTCACCACTAGCCGAACCAGAAATAATGTGACTATCTTTTTCATTTACAGCATTTTCAAGCAAGAAATCTTTGCCTTCGTGCCCTGAAAATGTATTTAATATCTCACCGGTATCTTTATTGAACAATTTAATGGTACTATCTGCACAACTTATTATAAGACACTGCCCATCATGAGTTATATTTCCATAAGTAATTATATGGCCGATGTAGTCTGAAAACATTTTACCAACTCTCACATCATATAATCGCACATGACAGTCTACAGATGTAGTTAAAATTTCATGATCGGTCACTTGAATAGATGTTATAGTGTCTTTGGCATCTTTTAAAATTTGTATTGCCTCTTGTCTGCGGCCTACTATATCCCACAAGCACACAGTGTTGTCAATGGATCCTGTCACTGCCATTGTTGATTCCTCAGTAAGCTTTACACAAGTAACAGAGCTGGCGTGTCCTCGAAAACGACGCAAGGGCTTCGCGGTGATCACGTCCCATAAAATGACAGTTTTATCTGAACCGCATGATACAATTTGGCCGCTGTCGCACGAACATGTAGCATCTAAAACTTCATTTGCGTGTCCTGCATAAGTTTTGAGTAATAATTTATTTTGAGGGTTCCATAGCTTCACTGTTTTGTCTGCACCACAAGTCAAACAGTAGAAGCCATCTATATTATAACGGACCGCTCTCACAGCTTGCTGTTTACATTCGAATGTTTTCATTGCAGTTAATTTTGTGAGATCAGCCATGGTTTGCTGTTTTTCTTCAATTCCTTCAATCTTTGTTATTCAGTATTTATTATTGCAGTTTGACTTTGATACCAGTGTTGTCAGATTTTATTCAAATATTCTGGAAGATGGAAGCTGTAATCTGTATGCAATCTATTTGTATGCATCAAAGAGAATGCAACCACCACAGAGTACAATTACTCTACGAGATAACCACTACGTGTATGCTTAATCAGAACACAATAATTATTTAGTAAAAAAATCTTAAATGTCCTTAGTAAGATCAAACAACCGTTACGATTTATGAACGACCTTACCACGGTAATGTTATTATTACCGTGAAGTTACTAACTACAACTATTTAGTACTTATATGAAAATACGGAAGAGAAAAGGTTTTTGTTTTCCCTGGTAATATATCATTTGGAACTATTTGTTTTTGGTTGGTTGGTTGGTTGGTCAAGCAAGTGTAGATATACAAATTACAATTAACATATGGGATATTTTAAAAATAACATTAGACATATGTGCGGCGGGTGGCGGCAGATTTATTTCCAGGGAGGTGCATCTGCATCTTCACATGACATTTATAAATTTTATTAATAAATAATAATTTTGAAAAATGTTTTTGAGGATAATTTTTTCGCAGATATCTTAATTTAAACAGAAGTTTTACTAACATAATTTTAGTTTTTTAACTTTTTCTATATATTTCCTTCGTTGCAAGTGCAACTCCTTGCACCCGCCATCCGGCGGCCGCGGTCTGGAGAAAATCCATACTAATATAGTCATATTATAAATATGAAAGTGTGTTTGTTTCTTTGTCCTATTTTCACGTAAAAACAGAGGGACGGATTAGCATGATTTTTTGTGTGGAGATAGTTGGTGGCCTGGAGTGTGACATAGGCTACTTTATACCGTGGGAGATTATCTAATTCCACGAGAAAACACGTTAAAATACAACCCAAATAAATTATTTATGATCAGAATTACTTTAAACTTGGTATTAATGCTCTTCAATACAATTAAATGAATACGTATTTTAACATTTTTCGAAATTCATCTCATAAGAGGGTAAAATAGGAGGATGTAGGTTTGTATGAAATATATCCTTTTAGAGTTGTTTTCTAATTTTAGAGCGAGCGAAGCCGCGGGTTCTGATAGTACATAATAAAAAAAAACACCATTCCAAAATGGCAGGAATTCGTTTCGCAACTGGCAACTCATTTTTAACTGGTCATTGTCACAGTGGGGTGTTGTTTGTCATCACATTGGATTTTAACAATATTGTTTACAATCTTTCGTATAAACACACAGTAAAAACTATAGAAATAATTAAAAAGGTGCTAATTAATTGAAATGTATTTATTACAATTAAATAATAAAAAGTTTTGTGAGTTTTTGTGACTGAAATATGGATAAAGCATAGCCAATTTTCAATTGTAATTTGGTTGGATGACAATATGTAAGTGGATGTTATATGGGAATGACTTATTAATTTGCTTAGAATGTTAACGTTGTTGCACTATAATCTATTGTATATACTTACACTAATCAAAATTTTTTTTTCCAGTTTTAAGTATTTTCAAAGATTGCTTAACCTCTTTTCAATACATGAAATGTATAATAAATTATTTGAATATAAAATATATTTGGCATGATGTCCTTGAAAGTCTAATAATTAAAGCAAATGTTGTGTGCTATACAATAAAATATGATATTTAAACATTCACATTATCATATATCATAAAATTTTATTGGTTGTAAAGAAAACAAACTGATTATAATGAGAAAACATATTAAGATGTTTCATTAATATTTTAAGTTAAATTTTAATTTACTTTGTAAATATGTTATATAGATAAGTACAAATGAATGATGTTTTTGAAATTTAACTTAAAATAATATTTTTAAGTGCTTAGAAAGATCCAAAGAAACTTAGCACAGCTGGAGCTTGCCTGTAGTTTTAATAAATTGTGGTTTTCGTCTTGCTTTTATCCATTTATAGATATTATTAGATTATTGAGATTATATATTTAATTTGTTGCCCTATTTGATCTGGAATATCTACATACATATAATACATGTCTCTAACATAGCAAAATATTTGTTTATGTAGAGGTAAAATGAAATATTATTTTTTTTAATAATAATTCAGCTTTGTGTCACAGTTATCTCCTATAGTATATGGGTAATAGGGTGGTATTTTTCATGGTGCCCCAGGGCTGAACTTAAGGTAAATCCGACCCTGCAAATACCAATTCCTACACAAGGATTGTTAAGTTTATATTTGTTTGATAATTACTGGATAATTGTCATGATAATTATCAATAGACATATTTATCTTGATAATTTCATTTTCTGGTTAAAATAATTGTCAATAGATTTATTGATTTGTTAATGAAGTTTGAGTAAAATTAACAAATTACTTAATGAATTTGCATTGCATGTTGTAAGTGCAATGTTTTTAAAGAGCTTACTTCCGTTTTACATATCATAATATAGTTATTTATTTTATTTTACCGACCATTCTCCTTCATATCTTCTCCATTTTAAGTGACATTGGAGAAGTAATCTGTGCTCAGCTGGCACACTTTGAAGACATTAACAATAGAGTTGTATTGAATAATTTGGCTATTACTGAATTTAGAAGAAGATTTTTCTGATTTATATCAATTAATTATCATTTAATTGGATGAATGGATTTTTTCGCGGATTTATTTTGATTTTTGGTTCCCGACGGTCACGTGAACATGTGACCGTGACCATAATTGCTGTAAAGCATTCTAAACGTCGTGAACCAAAAACCAAAATAAAGCCGCGCAAAAACCGAAAATATAGTTTTATTTAAAATGTCAAATATTCACGTAAAACTAAGAAAGTATTAAATAAATCACCAGTTTACCCTGGAGTCAGGTAGTTGGTATTTCACTACCATGAATGTTATAGTTTCTCCCTTTTACCTAAATCTGAATATTACTTATAGTCCGGTCAAGTTAGCCGAGAAATAGGGATATCCTTGCATAAATTCCCATAAGTTTACATGAACTTTAGGGATGATGATGTGCTCCTAGCCGATTCCGGCTACGGCGGCCAATCTCATTGAGACTAGCCAACTGTGTATAGTGCATAAGTGTACGCTCAGACACAGGTGCACTCTCTATTCCTGTCACTCTCATAATCCGGTGAGACGACTGCTCTAAACGACCAGTGACAGTTAAGGCGCTGGACCGATGGCTTTATGTGCTCTCCGAGGCACGGGGGTGAAACACCGCCAACTTCCCAACTCCGGGCTGTTACTGAGACTTACAGAAAGACTCAATAACTAAACTTGGCCTGACCCGGGACTCGAACCCAGGACCTCCTAGTGTGCAGCCGTACATGCTAGCCGCTACACCACCGAGGCAGTTGACTTTAGGGATACCATTATAATGAAATTGTGAAAAGTCCCTATCAATCCCATGTGTGCAAAAAAATTTATGCAAGGTCAAAGTTCGCAAAAATGGGTTTTTTGGATTTTTCAGCGAAACCGTTAATTTTATGATAAAAATAGTTTAGGCAAAAACTGTAGATCATGCAATTATTTACAAAAGTTGTTCTTACACTATTTTTCCTAAGATTCACCATTTCTGAGATAAACGATTCTAAAATGTACTAAAGTTGTTCTTAGTCTTGTTATTGTTGATTAAGTTTTGCAAAAATTGCATGGTACAGTAGTTGTAACTCTATTTTTTTTTAAATCTAAAATTTACCTCCATTATGTTTTCTCTATTCTGGCAGGTACTGGCAAATTGTGCTTTTAACAAATGCAGATATTAAACGCAATTGTTTTCAAATTCATTCTAAAAATAACTGATAAATTATGAACAATTCAAAAAACTATACATAGTTTATTATAGACTGGCGACTCGCCCTCGCTTTGCGTGATTTTTCAGCAATTCTTATGGGTTTTCGCAATTTTTTATATTTAAACCACCCATGACACGCCACCTTGAGTTTTAGCGAGGCCAATAAACGGCAGTTGATTTTTATATATATATAAATTATATACTTATTCTTTTTAAAACATGTATATATGTTTTTATCAAAATACTATAAAAGTTAGCGATAATAAACTACGACACAATATTTTTTATTACAGAATAAAAAATGGCAACACAAAAAATGGAATCAAAACGAATACAATTAGATAATCGTCCAAGAGACAATATGAATAATGAAATATCATCCACATCGAGTGAAGAAAATTCACATCCTGTAACAAACTTCAATAATTTTTATCAGTCAAGATATATAGAAACTACTCAATCAGACAATGAAACTTTGGAGTCGCCAAGACTAAAAAATAAAAATCACTACAAATCTATGGGAAACATCCACGATTATCAAAACAGAAGGCAAAATAGTATAACAAATGTAGATGTGCATCTCCATTCGTCTGAAATAAAGAAATTTGAAGCTCTCCGAATACCAATAGTTGGGTATGAAGTTATGGAAGAAAGAGCACGGTTCACAATATATAAGTTAAAAGTTGAAGATGATAAACGTGACCAGTCTTGGCTGGTCTTTAGAAGATACACAGATTTTGTAAGGTTGTATAACAGAATAAAGGCAGAACAGCCCAATCTGTTGCTACCTTTGCCCGGAAAACGGTGGTTTCGGGATAACTTTGAACCGGCATTTTTAGAAGAAAGAGTTAGGGGTTTGCAAGTGTTCGTAAATGCGATTTTAGGGAAAATACCAAACCACCCTATTGTAAGAGAATTCTTCTGCTTAGACGATCCTCCACAAGTGTTAAGTTATCAGCCCGAAGTTCAGGCTGTTTATGGAGCTTTAGAAGATTCGATAACGACGTTAAAAGTGCAATTAAAACAAAAAGACGCGACGATTATGCATTTACATAAGCGTGTAGCTCTTTTGGAAGATCAAATAAAGAACTGTCCAACGTGTAGTACAAATAAGTCAGTAAATTTGTGAATTTTTTGGTACAAAATAGCGTGAGTAATGAAATGATATTTTTATTTGTTAACTAATTTGGTCGTTTTTAAGTATATATTATATATCTGAAAAGATATGTTTTTTAGGTTTTTAACGTACGTAAAAAGTTCAACTAATTTATCATTATTATGTTACTGTTAGGTACATAATGCAGTGGTGCAATCTAGAACAGGGCTGTCCAAACTAGATACAATTAAATCAAGCAAAAAGAGCACTTACAAGCATTAAATGTCAGTATGTACGTCCGTGAGTAATCTACCACCGACTTGAACTCTATATTATTCGATATACAGATTGGCTTGGCCGCATAAACAATAGGGAATATGCGTTATTTTTTTATACAATAGCTAACATCGTTATATAATTGTAAAAAAATATCCAGCTCCCAAAAAAATAAATTTAGTAAAAAAAAAATCTAAATATACCGATGGATATTTTAAACGCCCGCCATTTCGCACGCTTGGCGTAACGTCACAGTGTGATATACACAGAGAAATGACGACGTAATTTGTAGCGTGACAAAATCGCTAATCGCTCTGTTTTGATAATACATACTTTGACGTCATAGTCGGTCTGACCAATGGCGTGCGTTTCAACTGCTCTGCATTTCCGAATCTATATTTGCACTTTTTAATAATTATTTTCTTAATCAAAAAGAAATTACATTAAAAATATTGATATAGGCATGATTCAAATTTAAAGCAATAAGATTATAAAAAAATATATATTTGACCATTATTTAATTCACACGCATATTCCCTATTGTAGTAGATTGGAAAACACGTCGCGGGCTGCATAAATATTAGCCAGGGGCCACATGCGACCGCGGGCCGTGCTTTGAACAGCCCTGATCTAGACAAAAAAAATGTAAATCTGGTGTCTTCTATATACGAGTATTTACTTAGGGACTGCTTTTATAACAAAATAATTTTCATCGTACTTCCAATACCATTTTTTAGTACAAAACAACAGTGAACTATTTCATAGAGTAATTATATAGATTAGGCAAAATCAGAATTGCCACTTACAAAAAATAAAGAGATGTTCTGTCTCTTTCTACAAAATAACGTTTAATAAGGAAAGATAATGCGCTTACACTTCTTTTTTATTAAAATAATATTCCGCATTTTTTATTTAGGTTGGTAGGAAAAATCACTAAGTATTAATTTAAGTGCTACAACAAACTACAAAAAAACGTGTGTACGCATGTAAGAAGCTATACTTCTTCGGCATAACAGAACGAAAATAGCTAAAGATTTTATCCCGTATGTCACAACTCTCTGTTTGTAAAAGGAATGCAGCTAACTTCATTATGTCAATTTTTGGCTGTCGGTGTGCGCGCTCATCGTAAAAATTGTATTCTCATATTTTTTTTCCAAACGTCCCAAAAGAATATAACTTCAAAAGTAGTAGTATTCCATAGCACACTTTATGTACTGGACTAGATACATACCATCGGTTTGCTCGGTGTGCCCCTAACTGCCTAACTTATATGTTACTCCAGCTCATAGCCTGTATGTGTACTAAATTTTATCAAAACTCGTCCAGTCGTTTCGGCTTAAAGGAGTGACAAACATACAGATATAAACTTTCGCATATATATACATATATTAGTAGTCCATCTTGGTCTATAAATGTAAAATTGTAAGCAATAAATTACATTGATCCGTTATTGCGTAAAACAGGATATATCAAAAACAAATGTATGAATATATTAGAGAATATATGAATGTATTCAGTCCTTTTGAACGTCCCTTTAATACGAGGGGGATCAGGCCATAGACCACCACGCTGGTAAAGTGCGGGTTGGCGTACTTCACGTGTCTTTCGAAAACTTGCTAGGTTTTCTCAGACATGCAGGTTTCCTCACGATGTTTTCCTTCACCGTAAGGCTAGTGGTAATCATGTTAGAAATGATTCGCACATGAAAATGTCAGAGGTGCGAGACCCGGGATTTGAACCAGCTTCACTCGGTTTCCCAAGCGAGCGCGTTACCACTGGACTACCACTGCCTATATATGAATAGGCATAGACAATTCAGTGTTAATCAAATTTTTACTTAGTGATTTTTTCTTAGATATCCTATTGAAATTTTGGTGCAAAATGATAATGAAGTAAATTGTTAAAATATGGCAGCTAAATAGTTTAAGGTACAAATAAAGTGATATAAACGAAAAAATTTGAAAAAAATCTTACAATTTTTATAAGTCTTCGATGAAATTTTCATAAATTTGTATGTAAATTTCTACATTCAAAATTAATTCTATAAAATTTTTCATAATAGGTATTAAATAAAAAAAAAATGTGTGCGTGTAACGTTTACGCGCGGTTGAAGTAAAATTTCTTGGGCGCTGTGGCAGATACCGCAATTAAATTAACACAAATCAAAATATTAATATAATTTTTTTTATTAAATTATTACTAATAAATATTAATTTTTATAATTAATAATTATTATAAAAATATAAATATCTTTTTAAAAAATTATTAATAATAAATTTGACTCTCACTTCAGCGACACTCATTTTTCCAATGTATTGGCTTACCTCTCAGTCATTTTTTTTTTATTTATTTTTTTTAACGTTGGGAAATGCATTTACGCACGACGTGTGGGACTACCGGCGTAATACAGCCAGTACTACCCACTAAAACCCAACAAAACCTTCCCCCGTCTTAATGGCGCGTCGCAGGATCGCTTACGCATTCAACTACGACGCCCCGACGGCAGGTCTGCCAAAGCAGACCACCACAACCATGGGTTGCTCCAAGGTCCACTCTGATATCAGAGAAGTACCAGGAGCAACCCGCAAGGTACACCGCCCCCCGAAGAGGGCCACCTCCCACCGCCCACCGAAGTGTGCAACCTCCCTGTGCGTTTCTTAGCTTCGCTACTACTACTGAGCCCCCCACCACGACAAGGTGAACGCACGTTGGGGGGGACCTCTCAGTCATGCCTCAACAAGTTTTACTTCGAAAAACTAATTATAAAATTATATAATGTATTAATTGCAATTAAAATATTATATATTGAATTTTGGTGCATATTCCAAGTATTAAATTTTTCTTTAATATTATAACAATTTTATTACAAACTGTGTAAAATATTGGTGGCATGTTTTTTATATATATGCTAACTTCATCGTTCAAAGTTACACTTTGTTCTCAATAATTCAAAATATTTGAAAAAAAAAACAAAATGTTCTTTAAAGTATAAACTTTTTTTTTTATGAAGTTAGTATATTTATTAAATATTTTATTTGATTGAATTATAAATTAATTTACTTTAATATATTAAATAGGTGCTAAAATGTCACGATTATTATAGCATTTAATTTCATGTAAACCACCATTTTATTTTAAGGCTCATTTTTTAATTAATAACTTATGTGATGATTGGGCAATGGCAAGCTGTGTGGGTTTAATATGCATCGATCAAAAAAGTACTAGATACACAATCAGCGACAAAAAATGTCCTCACCGAATGAGCGCTCGTTTGAACATTTGAGCGCGCTTTTAATTTTTTTTGTAAAAACAACTTTAAGCATTGCATTTAAAGTTCAATTTACATTGTTGTATATTTATTTCAACTAGAACAATTACGTAAACACAATTGCTGACTGTTTTAGGAGAACTTTTGCATGAGATTGTGTTTCTAGTACTTCTTTGATCGATGATAATATGTTTATTTTTCATGTTCATAAAAAAATATTCGTAACTCAAGTAGGTATTAGACGGATGCGAACATTTTTGATAAGTTTTAACAAAATATAATTTTTATAAAATGAAGTTCCATATCAAAATGTCTTTTTATTTGTTTGTGAATTGTGAAAGTTGATGTAACAGACTGCGATTCGTTGAAATCAGATGTTCGGTACATCTGCCGATACGATACCGATAATTTAAAAAAAGTATCGCCGATGTCGATACCGATGCGGACACAGCAGGCTTCAAAGTTATAAAAAGTAAAAAACTGTAAAATATTCTATATCCTTCTCAGGGTCTCAAACTGTGTTTTTACCAAATTTCATCTAAATCGGCCAAGTAGTTTTCGAGTTAGTGTAGATGTATTGGTGTATCGACAAACTAATATCGATATATCGAAAAAGGGGCCATTCAAGTATTACGTAAGCAGAATTTTAGTAATTATTAACCCTTCCCTCCCCCTTGTCAGATAAAGTAAGCAAAGCTCTTACTTCCCCCTCCTGTGCTTACGTAAATAATACGTCTCAATTATTTCGGGGAATCCCTAAACATTTTTTTTTAATTATTGAAATAAAAAATAGAGATTAAATTAAATAATAAATACACTTCATGTCAATTTATTATTATGTCATGGCTGTCAGTGCAATAGTGATCTAACACATGCATTTAAAATTAATAATTTTAATTTAACACCTTACACTCGCTTCGCTCTGTAAGTCATTAGGTAAGTTTTAATTTTTCTGAACGGAACCCTAATCTTTTTTCTAAAATAAAAGTAGCCTAATTTAATCCATATAAGATCAGCTGTCTGCCAGTAAAAGTACCGTCAAATCGGTCCAGCCATTTCGGAGATTAACCGGAAGAAACAAACAGACTGACAAAAACTTTAATAAAAAATGTGTTTTTGTATATGTACCGTATCTAATTCCATATGCATTTAGTAAAAAGCTCTTATTTTGACATTACACACGGACACATCAATTTTATTTATCTATATAGAGTTTTGGCCACTTTTGCATTGACAGTCTAAGCTGTGGTGGTTATTAAACGTATTTTGGAATACAATGTATTCAAGGTTCAAATATTTTTGAAATATTATTAATATTGTTCACATTTGTTTTTTTTTTATACTTGACAGTAAGATTTTTTATCTGTATATTGTTGTAGATTAAAAATGGCATGTTAGATAATTTTTTAATAATTAATTATTATATTACAGCAATAAAGTGCCTTATAAATAAATGATTATTATATTATTGGGGTTATTTTATTTTAGCATCCTCGCTAAGCTTCGGGTGCGTCCATTTTTAGATGCCTGTTGATCTGATGTTATTCTAGCTCATAGCCTATTTGTGTACTAAATCCATACTAAGTATATTATTAATGTGAAAGTGTGTTTGTTTGTCCTTCTTTCGTGTCGAAACAGATATGAAAATAATTACAATGGCCAACCTACATCAAGTGTGTCAAAAATACTATATCTATACTAATCTAAGCTATACATATTATAATAACATTGTAACTAAACCGAATCTGTAGATTAAATATTTTTTGGAAATTCTTATTGAAATTGACATTATTCGAATCTAGTTTTTAGAATTTTTGTCTGTCTGTCTGTTACCGTATCACAGAAAAACCACGTGGGATTTTGATGAAATTTAGTATGGTGATAGCTGGTTATCTGGGTGAATATATAGGATATTTTTACTGCAGGAAAATATCTCATTTCTGAGAAAAAAGATACAAAAACTACAATGTAAGAGTATAGCTAATATGTAAAATCTAAGAATTTGGTTTTTGGTCATCTGAACGCTGGCGGAGCCGCGGGCAATGCTAGTATTAAATAAACCTTTAAATATGTTCGTATACGCAATAAATTCATATTTTTTAAACAATGACATGTATATGCATATATGTATGTGTATAACCATAATAAATTAACGATTTAAAGTAGAAGAAGCTACGTATGATGTACACAGATGCATATCAGAAGATATTTCCACATCTACGAGTATACTAATATTATAAAGTTTGTGAGTTTGTGACGTTGTAGGGGATGAACTATGGATCTACTGAACCGATTTAGATGTAATTTGGTAAGAAGATAATTCGAAACCCTGGGAAGGACATAGGATACTGTTTATCCCGGAAATCGTCCCTTAAGAGGGTGAAAATGGGGATGAAAGTTTGTATGGGGAATCAAGCTAGGGACGAACCCGAGCAAAGCGAGGGTGAGTCGCTACTATACACACACACACATACATGTATATATTTATACATATAGTGTTGAGCCCTTTTTGACGTCCCACTACTGAGCATGGGCCAATACTCAGGGGATCAGGCCATAGTCCACCACGCTGGCCAAGTGCGGGTTGGCGGATATTATTAATATACTGTATATTTTACAATATAACTGTTTATTTTCATTAAATCTCTTATTGCTATATACAGTCTTATTAATATATATGAAAATACACTCTTATTATAAACTTTACGCAACAAAAAATATAATCTATACAGATGAATAAAATTGAAGTGTCTGAGTGTAATGTCGAAATAACAGCTTTTTACTAAATGCATATGAAATTAATTAAATACGGTACCTTATTAGATATGGCTATGCACATAATGGCTTTGTTCGACAAAGAATCTATATTATAGATATAGATTTTTTATATATTCTTTTTTTATTAGTTCTTTGGTTATAGATCTATAACCTATATATAATCTATATTATATATATATGTATAGGTTATGGATTCTATAACCTATATGACTACTGAAGATTCAATAAGTACAGTAAGAAAGTATAATAGGGCCACTAATAATTTTATGAAAAGGTCAAACAGAACTTTTAAAGGGAATATGAAAGAGGCACAATCGGGGGAGCCTGTAACCCCTATAGGACGCGTCCCCAGGTGGCGGATAGGGGAAAACTCGTCGGCGCTTCAGTAGCGCTTCAGTAGAAGTGTCGGAGGGCAAGAGGGAAATAAAATACCTCTCGCGGACCAACAGGCACCCCCTCCGTCGAGCCGCTCGGACGTATTCTGACACCGGGTCGATGGAGGGCAGCGGCGTCAGGCAGGACGTCGTGTAGAGGATGGCGGCGGAAGAGTAAAAGCCAACGGTGGCATTCTAAGCCCCAATAAGCAAGAGGGGTTACTGTCTTGGCGTCAGGTGGTAACCGGCCGTAAAACCAAGCGACGCACACGGCGAGATGCGAGAAAATGTGATTAATACTAGGGCGTGCCCCCAAAGCGACGAGAAGAACCATGCAGCCCACATGCCAAAAGTCCGCATAGTTTGTTGGAATGTGGGCTCCATGACAGGACGCAGCTTAGAACTAAGCGAAGTGTTGCTCAGAAGACGCATCAGCATCTGCTGTATACAGGAGACGAAATGGAAGGAGTCTAAAGCGCGCAATATTGGTAACAGCTAAAAGTTCATTTACAACGGCACGAAGACAAATCAGAACGGCGTCGGCATAGTAGTAGACAAAACTTTCCAGAACCGTATAGTATACGTGAATAGAGTCAGTGATCGAATTATAGCAATTAAGTTCGCACTTGATAACCAGCCATGCATGAATGTTGTATCAGCGTATGCTCCACAAACAGGGTTGCCACAAGCAGAAAAACAAACTTTCTGGGACGATCTTCACAATCTGACTCAATCCATACCAAAAACGGAGTCAAAATACATCGGAGCAGATTTTAATGGGCACGTGGGACAAATCACGAACGACTCCTTTAGGGAAATTCACGGTAACAAGGGTTATGGGGATAAAAACTCCCAGGGTGATGATATTTTATATTTCGCGTACACATTTAATATGGCAATTGTCAACACCTTCTTCACCAAACCAAACGAACACTTAATAACATATTCTTATATATATTATATATATTATTGGAGACAAATGCACACAGGTGGATTACATCCTAGCGGACAGGAAACATCAACAAACAACAAAAATGGCTAATAATAAGGCAACCGGTCCTGATGATCTGCTATAGATAGCTGATATAATAAGGAGTTAAAACGTACCTAGTGATGTACCCGAGCGAAGCTAGTTTTACCCTCGCTTCGCCTATACATCAGCTATCTGCCAGTGAAAGTCACTTCAAAATCGGTTCAGCCTTTTCGGATATTAACCGGAACAGACAGACAAAAATGTTAAAAATTGTTTTTTTTTTCTTATAAGCTTCATGTACCGTATATAATTTAATGTATATTATTCAATAAAAAGCTGTTATTTAGACATTACACACAGACACTTCAATTTTATTTATCTGTTCTCTATACATTTATACCAATAAATCCATGCGCCGCTAATTAAAAAAAAAAAATATGGCGGTAGCTCGCTTATGTCAATTTACATACAAAATTTGCTTAAATGTTATATAGAAATTAATTATTCAAAAAGTGACAAACTAAAAAGCAATAAGTCTAATAATATATCTCATACTAAACTTTAAATCCATCGATCAAAAAAGTATTAGATAGTAGATACACAATCCCATGCAAAAGTTCTCTTACAACTGTCACCAATTGTGTTTAGGTAATTGTTCTAGTTGAAATAAATATACAACAATGTAAATTGAACTTTAAATACAATGCTTAAAGTTGTTTTCACAAAAAAAACCTTATGTGTGTACTTATGTACGCACGTAAGAAGTTATACGTCTTTGGCGTATCAGAACAAAAATAGCTAAAGATTTCATCCCGTATGTCACAACTCTCTGTTTGTAAAAGGAACGCAACTAACTTCATCACGTCGTTTTTGGCTGTCGGTGTGCGCGCACATCGTAAAAATTTTGCTTTGATCATTTTTCCAAACGTCCCAAAAGAAGTATAACTTCAAAAAAAACTTTAAAAGAGCGCTTAAATGTTCAAATGAGCGCTCATTCGGTGAGGACATTTTTTGTCGCTGATTGTGTATGTAGTACTCTCTTGATCGATGTTTAATTTATAATTTTTACCATCACTTAACACTTTCAACACTTCACTAATACTTCTGTTTTAATAATATTTTTTTTATAAGTTTTACGTATTTTATTATAAGGCTAATGTATGTAAGGTACAAGTGCAGATCTGTAGGTCCTGATTTCGAGTCCTGAGTATAAGTATAGCGCCAAGTACAATTAATGAAGTTTTTCCGTCAAGAAATTCTTAGTAAGTTGTGAAGTTGGGAGTTTGCTTTCATATATTTCATACATGCTTATATCAGAACCATCCCATCAGTTTGACAGAAAAAGAAAGAAACCATTTTGAGGGCTAGTCTTTGAAATTGACACTTTAAAATTGTTTGAACACTTTACACTACACTTTCACAATAATCACAGGTTTTTTCTTTCATTTATTGATAGATGTTTTTCACTATATTTTCTTCTATGACTTCAATCTATGGGCTAAGTATAGTTATTGGATTTTCTATCAAGAAATACTCAGTCTAAAATATCGGAGACATCCTACTAGAGTATGAGAGTGAGCAAGACAGATACTGTTTATGTCTTTCTCCCTCACACCCTCACAGGTTTTCTTCTTAAATTGATGTCATTTTTCACAACTTCTAAAACTTATCCATGGGCCAAGTACAGTTATTGGGCTTTTCTGTCAAGAAATACTCAATCTAAAGTATCGGAGACAACCCACTAGAATATGAGAGTGAGCGAAGCAGATAGTGTTAATATGTACATATTTCTCCCTCACACCCTAATAATATCTCATTATTATATTACACACATAGTAGGTTCCATTCCGGTCGAGTCAATTTCATTGAGAGTTATCATTTTTCTCTTCCATGAATTCAACTGATCGTTTCGGTGGAAATATTTTGTGTACACGTTTTCTATGTGTATATAGAGATGCTTTTTGTTTGAAGCTCTGCTCGCATATGTCACAGGTAATAGGCCTGTCACCTGAATGGATCACAATGTGCTGGGTCAGTGCCTTTTTGTCCTGAAAATTAAAAAAAAGAAAACTTTGTAGATCCATATATATAATAAAATCGTAACTAAGCCGAATCTGTACATTAAATATTTTTTGGAAAATCTTATTGAAATAAACATTATTTTCGATACAGAGACCGAATCTATAGTTTTTAGAATTCTTGTCTGTCTTTCTATTACCGCATCACAGAAAAACACTGGAGGGATTTTGATGAAATTTGGTATGGTGATAGGTGGTTATCCGGGTCAACATAAAGGATACTTTTACTAAGGAAAGTATCTCATTTCTGAGAAAAAATACAAAAACTGCAATGTAAGAGTATAATATGTAAAACCTAAGAATTTGGTTTTTGGTCATCTGAGGAGCCGCGGGCAGTGCTAGTTATATTATAATTTTTGAAGTGAAACATCTCTAGCATCGTTGCGATTTGAAACTCGATGAAACGAAAATGCGACATTAAAGAGACAAACACAAACAAACATACAGGATTAAGCCGGCGAGAAAGTGAGATGGAATACATTGCCTCATTGCCATGGTAACCGTTGTTATTCTCTGACAAATATATAATATTAAGTTTCACTTCTATCATGTGTGAATTTTACACACACCCGTACTTTTTTCCTGATTATTTCACAAATATAGCAAACTAGGAAAACAAAAACAAACCCATCTCACTGACACCGTACATTATTCCGAGATAAAAAACTAACCTATGTGCTATTCCAGACTATAATCTATCTCTGTGCCAAATTTCATCCAGATCCGTTCAGCCGTTCTGACGTGATTGAGTAACAAACATCCATACATACTCACAAACTTTCATATTTATAATATTTATACAGATTCAATACGTACAGTGAACGCTTTCCCGCACTGTTGACACACGTGATTTCTCGGCTTCTGTTTCTTCTCACCGTGAACTCTCATCAGGTGTTTATCTACGTTCGCTCTAGTCGCTATCGGCTGTGAAAAATAAAAAAAATTTTTTTTTTTCAATATTTTTGAAATGAAAACTGTTGAAATATGAACGCAGTTATTTATTTTGGATGATAAATATTTTATACATATAGCTAACGTCCTTGTATATTTACATACTATTTTGTTTACAAAGAAAAGTACAAACAGATCTCCCCCAAGGGAACCGTTCATTTTTCAGTTTAACAATTGTTCGACGTGATTCTTTAAATTGGCATAACTTTTTTATTTACGAACCGATTGACATGAAACAAACACTAAATGTTAAGTGAAGCTTACCACAATATATTAGTGAAAACCACATCTAAATCGGATTAGCCGTTTCTGAGATTAACGTGCACAAACGCACAGACCAACAGACAAAAATTCTAACAATTATTGTTTTGGGTGCCATTATGTCATAAAGGTCCCAATCATATTTTTCTCATATATCTTCAATGAACAGACAGCGATCCGTTACATTTTTATTATATGTATAGATAAATCACTACAGCTGTCATCGTTTTCAGGATTGGTCCTTTTATTTATACTTTTACCTATTATAGCTTATTTACCATAATCTTATACTAGGTTTAATTAAAAACTTATATATTAATATATAACTATAGGCAGGTTTGTTTGTATGGGGAGTAATTTATGTGAGTCGTCATCGATATGGTCACGTGACGTGTTAACGCTAACACTCAATGCGCCAAAAGATGTCGAAACCAGATAAATGTGAACAGTTTTAATTTACAAATTTTAATTTAAGATCAAACAATTAATTTAAATATCCAAAAATAACAACTGTTTGTTTATAGCATTAAATGATCAAAAAAGTACTAGATACACAATCCCATGCAAAAGTTCTCTTAAAACTGTCACCAATTGTGTTTAAGTAATTGTTCTAGTTGAAATAGATATACAACAATGTAAAATGAACCTTAAATGTAATGCTTAAAGTTGTTTTCACAAAAAAAAAAAAACATGGGCGTGTGTACTTATGTACGCACGTAAGAAGTTATACTTCTTTGGCGTAACAGAACAAAAATAGCTAAAGTGTCATCCCGTATGTCACAACTCTGTAAAAAATTCAGCTAACTTCATCATGTCGCTTTTTAGCTGTCAGTAAAAATTTTACTCTCATATTTTTTTCCAAACGTCCCAAAAGAAGTATAACTTCAAAAAATATAGTCACTTTATATTAAACCATCTTTTCGGATTTCAAAATAAATCCGCGAAAAAATCCGAAAAGTTAGGTTTTATTTAAATTTAGCTTGATTCCCAATACAAACTTTCATCCCCATTTTCACCCCCTTAAGGTGTGATTTCCGGGATAAAAAGTATCCTATGACCTTCCTAGTGTCTCAAACGAGGAGATATCCATACAAAATTTCATCTAAATCTGTTCAGTGGATCCAGATATTACCCCTTACAACCTCACAAACTCACAAAATTTACCTCTTTATAATATTAGTATAGATGTCAAATATTCTTGTAAATCTAAGAAATTATTAAATATAATCACCTTACTGCATATAGGACATTTATGTGTAGTTTTCCCCAAGTGCTGATAGTTGAAGTGATCCTGCATGGTCTGCTTCGTGGGGTAACGCTTTTGGCACATGGGGCATTCGAATCTGGCAAACAAAAACATATACTAGTTTTTATCTCGGAAAAAGTGCACGGTTCCCGTGGGATACATGTTTGTCTAGGGATGAATCCAAAACGAAGCAAGGTTGAATAGCTAGTATATCTATATATATATATGCAATGTATGTATGTATACTCACTTAAACACCTGCTCGGTACCATGTACCCTTGAATACTTCAAATGAGCCTGATACGTAGCGAGATGACTGAACACCTTATCGCAATCCGTGCATTCATATTTGTTTGTATCCTCATGTCTCTTTATGTGATACTTTATTTGTATGGAACGGACCATTTTGTGGCAGATTGGACATTCTTCCCGAGGCAGTGGTCCTTCATGGAGACTGGAAGTTAGATAAAAAAAGGTTATATTAGTATCAGCGCTGCCAATTGGCGGGTAAATTACCCGAAAAACGGGTAATTTTAGGTGTTTTTTGATGGCGGGTAATTTTGACGGGTGTTTTAGTAGAAAGCTGGTATTTTAGCTTAGTTGATTAGTTTGATATTTTAAGTTTTTTTATGTTTGATTTAATAATTTAAAGGTGTTTAATTGGGAACTGATTACAATGACTTCGTTTTCTAACATTAGTACCTATTTCTATACTTACTTTATCTATACTTAATATTATAAAGAGGTAAAGTTTGTGAGTTTGTGACGTTGTACGGCGCAATCTCTGGATCTACGGAACCGATTTAGATGAAATTTGGTAAGAAGATAGTTTGAGACCCTAGGAAGGACATACTTTTATCCCGGAAATCATCCCTTAAGGGGGTGAAAATGCGGTTCAAAGTTTGTATGGGGAAGCAAGCTAGGGACGAACTCGAGCGAGTGTGAGTCGCTAGTTCTATAAAACGTGAAAAAAATACTTTATTTTGTATTATTACATTTTAAATAAGTACCTATACATTATTTCCGGATATTTTATTGTAAAAAAAGATATATTAAAAAATCAATAATTGATTTATTAACGTTAATTTACGATAGAGACATATCACTATTTAAGAATTACAAAAAACTGGCAACCTACGGAGTGTCAGTTTTGTTTCTCAAGATTAGAAAAACAGACTATAGGTAAGTAAACAAAAAAAAATCTCACCGCAAGTGCGTAGTAAGTGTGGTCCGGTTAACAAATTTCTTCTGACACTGATCGCACTGCAGACCCTCTCTATGGTATCTGTCGACGTGATTCTTACGAGCTCGGGAACTCCTGTAATATGTAATCTATACATATAATAAAATTGTAACAAAGTCGAATCTGTACATTAAATATTTTTTGGAAAATCTAATTGAAATAGACATTATTAGTCCGAATCTATAGTTTTTAGAATTTTTGTGTCTGTCTGTCTGTCTGTTACCGCATCACGAGAAGACCACTGGACAGATTTTGATGAAATTTGGTATGATGACAGCTGGTTATCCGGGTCAACATATAGGATCTTTACCGCGGGAAAATATCTCATTTTAGAGAAAAAATACAAAAACTACATTGTAAGAGTATACTAATATATTGTAAAACCTAAGAATTTGGTTTTTGGACATCTGAACGCGGGCGGAGCCCCGGGCAATGCTAGTATATTAAATATTAGAAAAACGAATATTTGACATCTATACTAATATTATAAATGTGAAAGTCTATGAGTATGAATGTATGTTTGTTACTCTTTCACGCAAAAACTACTGAATGGATTTTGATGGAACTTACAATAATATAGCTCATACATCACAATAACACATAGGCTATATAGATATATCCGGAACTATACATATCCCGGAAAAATGTACGGTTCCCGTGGGATAGATTTGTTTTTGTTTTAAATAAAACTATCGTTTCGGATTGTTTGCGGATTCATTATTTTATTATTTTGTCCATGATTGTTGTAAAGCATTAGAAACGTCGGAAACCAAAAACCAAAATAAATCGGGCGAAAAAATCCGAAGAGATAGTATTATTTAAAATGAAAAAATCATTCAAGCGCGAGTCGGACTTGCAACACGAATTGTTTTCATTGTTTATTGTTATAGCGGCTATAGAAATACACACTCTGTGGAAAAGTCAACTCTCTCTACCTATTACGGTTCACGAGATATAGCCCTCTGACAGACGGACGGACGAACAGCGGAGACTTAGTGATTGTCATTGGCCCTTTGGGTATGAAATTCTAAAAATAAGAAATTGTGTATGTGTGTATTGGTCTTTTTGTCATTTCTTCAACTTCTTCACGCTGTAACAACTCAACAGATTCGAGTAAAATTTGGAATTTAGATACCTTATACTCTGGGATAATAAACGGACTAAACCGAAAAACCGCGTTTTTAAAGTTTTTGTCTGTCTATCTGTTTGTTTGTTCCGGCTAATCTACGAGCGGCTGAACCGATTTTGACACGACTTTAACTGGCAGATAGCTGATGTTATAAGGAGTAACTTAGGCTACTTTTATTTTAGACAAAGAATCGGGATTCCGTTTAAAAAAATTAAAACGTATCTAGGAACGCTAGATTCGCTAGTAAAAGATATAATAAAACAAGGCATACTTGAAAAACATATCGCACTCCAAACACTTATATCCCACTATCGTAGTTTTAGACAATAAGCTTCTGAGCCCTTTCCTAGGCCGTGTTTCCACAATCATTTTATCTATATCACTCTTCGTCTTTCGTCCCTGCAAAAAAAAAAACAGATAACATAACTTCAAAATTAAATTAACCGGTTTCAAAAATCTGTGAATTAGTATTTGTTTTAGTTGAAATAAATATACAACAATGTAAACTGAACCTTAAACGCAACACTTAAAGTTGTTTTCACAAAAAAAGCGCGCGTTAAATGTTCAAATGAATGATAAAAAATTACATTATTGAAATTAACCGTTAAATTGTTAAACCGATTTCAAGCTCTGCTTTTTATTAATTTAATAGATCTATACATATGACGACACGTTTGGCTCAATTTGTTGTGGCCCTACTTTCAGTGCCGGCGGTCGCAGGTTCGAGTCCCGCTGGGGGCATTCATTTGTGTGATGACGAAGGTTTGTACTCCAGTCATGGGTGTTTATATTTATAATATGTATGTATTTAAAGTTATATATGTGTAGTGTATCAACTATCTGGTATCCATAACACAAGCCTCGTAGCTTACCATGGAACTAGATGGTGTTGTGTGTTACTGTCCCAACATATTTATTTATTATTTATACATATAACACCATATATTGATAACTAGCGTTTTCCTGCGGCTCCGCCCGAATAGTACATTAATCACCAACATATCATATACTAAAACCTTCTCCGAAACACGCTGCATCTTATGGTATGAGTATTATTCCGATCGGTTCAGTATTTATCGCAGTATAACCGAACAAAACTTTATAACTTACTTAAAATGGGGAGCTGATTGCTCCCCATTTATTAGTATAAATTTATTGAACTAAATATATCTCTTCGTGAGGAGACCCCTAAGAGAGCATATAAGTATGTATGTTTGTATATTAGGGTGGAGCGAAAAAAAAAGAACTGCTTTTTTTTCTTAGCTTAACGGATAGAATTTGTGGCTTATAAAAAAAAACAAAAATGATTGCAATAAATAAATAAGTTATATAATATAATAAATACATATATATATATATATATATATAATATACATATATATATGTATATATATAGAGATTGACGAATATAGTCAATTTTTATCCAACTTTCACCAAAAAAAGTCAATTTTTTTTTTCAAACCAAAAATTTAAATTATTTTAAAATTAGCGGGCCTCCTCAAAAATTTGAGTATTTTTTTTTAATTTCAAAAATTTTCGTTTTTTATAAGCTACAAATTCTACCCCCAAGCTGAGAAAAAAAAACATATTTTTTTAACTCCACCCGAGTGTATGTATGTATTTTTGTATGTATATACTCACTTTCCCATCGACTTCATCTCCAACCTGTATAATAGTATTGGACATATGCTTGCCCATATGCGTCTTCACGTGCAACGACATACCCTTCAGACTCGTCTCCTGTTTGTTGCACATTTTACATGTATACCGCCAGTAGTGACTGTCCGTGTGTTCGGTTAGCTTCGCTTCCGGCACGTACACGTAGCACACTTTGCACGGTAGATGGCCTGGTTTCTGAAAAGGATGTAGATTCGATTATACCTTACATACATTAGCCTTATAATAAAATACATGAAACTTATAAAAAATATATTATTAAAACAGAAGTATTAGTGAAGTATTGAAAGTGTTAAGTGTTATACTAAGTGATGGTAAAAATTATAAATTAAACATCGATCAAGAGAGTACTACATACACAATCAGCGACAAAAAATGTCCTCACCGAATGAGCGCTCATTTGAACATTTGAGCGCTCTTTTAACTTAAGTTTTTTTTGAAATTATACTTCTTTTGTAACGTTTGGAGAAAAATTGTGAGAGTAAAATTTTTACGATGCACGCGCACACCGACAGCCAAAAGGCGACATGATGAAGTTAGTTGCATTTTTTTACTGACAGAGTTGTGACATACGGGATGAAATCTTGAGCTATTTTTGTTCTGTTACGCCAAAGAAGTATACCTTCTTACGTGCTTACATAAGTACACACACACACGTTTTTTATATGTACGGAAGTGTGTACGAGTTTCTCTATCATGTTGAAAGGGCTCGAAGGATTAAGATGAAGTTTTGATAGACTTTTATTAGCATCCGGCAATCGAACCGGGCGCGAAGCCAAGAAACACAGGGAGGTGGGTGTATCACGCGGGTTGCTCGTGGTACTTCTCTGATAGCAAAGTGTACTATTGGAGCAACCACAAGGTTGTTGTGGTCTGCTTCGGCAGACCTGCCGTCGGGGCGTCGTAGTTGAGTGCGTAAGTGATCCTGCGACGCCCCATTAAGACGGGGTAGGTTCCGTTGGGTTTTAGTGGGTAATACTGGTTTTTCTAACTGGTGAGTCCCACATAACCACCTGTATCTATACAGGTCGTATGCCCAAATGTATTATTGAATATTTAAAAAAAGTTTTGGTTATGTATAATAGACAAACGTCTAAAAAGAAAATTCTTTTTTTTAGGCCAGGTCGTTTCTGAGATTAACGCGTTGAAACAAACAAACACGGCCTCTTTATAATATTAGTATAGATATATGACATCTCACCTCTCTATGGAACGATACGAAGTGATCTTCCACTTGCTGTTGAGAATAAAATCCTATGATACACAATTCACATTTGTACGCTGTATCGGAGTATTGTATTTTTTCCTTCGCCTTTTCTCTGTAAAATCGAAAAAATAACATAACGTGATAGAAATAAAGTTTTTAAATAAAACTATCTTTTCGGATTTTTTCGCGGATTTATTTGGATTTTTGGTTCTCGACGTTTCGAATGCTGGGTTCGAAGTTGAGTGGGTTCAAATCCCGGGTGTCGCACCACTTGTCTCACGGTGAAGGAGAACATCGTGAGGAAACCTGTATGTCTGAGAGAACCTAGCAAGTTGTCTGCAGACATGTGAAGTCCGCTCGCACTTGGCCAGCGTGGTGGACTATGTTCAGGCCTACGTCCAGCAATGAGTTAATATATTTACTTCAAACGAGATCCGAACTATCTCCAAACAATAATTACCTTACAGCTAACATATCAGCGTCCGACATATATGCTGTTGTGTAGCCTAATTTTAAATCATTTTGAGTTTGTGCCTTTGCTTTAGACTTTTCCGTTATTATTACTGTATCTGGATCTGTTGTTGGACTGAAAAAAAAATATAATTTTCTGAGTTCTGAGTTACAGGTTTTGGGTTTGAGTCCTAGCTCGGATCAATTTTTCAGTTTTGAATCTTTATACCAGGAAATACTCGCATATAGTAGTCTTAAAACTCATTTAACACTCATTATTTTGAGTTATAATCCATGAGAGTTGAGTTATAATTCGTGAGAGTATGAGAGTGAGAGAGACAGAGTGCTAGTGTGTCTCTCTCCCTCACACCTGCACTGTCATATCTCGCAGTTGCTACTCTTACTCTCAGTGACCGACATCAGTCAGGAGAACATTATCTATATCTTCATAATATGTATAATTCTTCTGTACGTGTGTTTGTCACATTACTCCTCCTAAAGAGCTGGACCGATGTAGATGAAATTTTGTGTGTATATTTCATTAGGCTTCTGGATGATTTGAAAACACAATTGGACCCGGTAGGTGGCGCAGCTGTCAGTGTGTCAAAGAATTTGTTTTTTTTTAGTAGTTTGAACGCGGGCGAAGCCGCGGGTACTGCTAGTATATATATAAAATTCGATATGTGTATGTACGTTCCCTATGGATTCCAAAACAGCTGTAAAGAATTTGATGAAATTTTCAGGCAATTTTAATTTAGCCCAGCGGGTGATCCTGTGAAGTTTGGTAACGATCAGAAGTTTGAACGCGAACAAAGCCGCGGGTATTGTTAGTTACTATATAAAATTATATCTATTTACTTTACCGTCACACCATCATAACTATAGACTATGAGTATGATCGTTATAGAAAACCCAAATTGTATTTTTGACTCTATTAGAAACCATAATATTTATCCTGACAACATTTTAATCTTCAAATTGAAGAGAAAATATAAACATAAAAACAACATGAGCTAAAGGACAAAAATATCCCAAAATTTGTAACCTCAACATCATCTTACTTAAAAAAAACCTTTGCCTAAATTAAAAAACAAAAAGAAAAAACAAACTCACTCTATTGTCAACTCCGGTAATTCCCCTTTAACGGTCGTGAAGGGCTCGCCGACCACTATGTGAGACATCACTCCAGTAACTGTGTTATCCAAAACAATTTCTGGAACTACAAGTAAATACAAATATATAGTTAAAATTTAAAAAAAAAAAATTAAATAAATAGTAATCCTAAGAGCATGGACTGATTCCCCACACCCTATAAAATAAACTTCGATTCATTGATCAAAGAAGTACTAGATACACAATCCCATGCAAAAGTTCTCTTAAAAATATTCGAGAAATGTACAAATTGTAAGTGGGGGGGGGGGGGGGGGCTGCCCGTTATATAGGGCGCCGCGCGCGCCAACTCAACTTAACCATTTAATTTGAATACTTATTTTTATCGATCTAAAGGAAAACTAGACTCAGCGTTTTATCATATCTCTCACTAAGTAATTCTACATACATGTTTTTTTTTATTGTAATGAAGTAAGTATACCTAAAAGGGCGCCAAAGGCATGACTCCCCGGGGCGCCCACATGGCTAAGGCCGGTCCTGGCGCCACACATGATTCATTTATATTCAAGCAACACCCGATGAAAAATTATTTATTGATAAGGTAGGAAATCTAGTCGTCTTATGCCCGATTTCACCAACGTCACCTAACTTTAAGGGATCCCCTAAGCATGGTTAGTGAAAAGGATTAACCTTTTCAAACATTTAATTAAACATTCATATATTAAAAATTAAAACTAGGATAGATTGTGGAATCTTATTACATACTAGCATTGCTCGCGGCTCCGCCCGCATTCAGGTAACCAAAAATCAAATTATTAGGTTTTACATATTAGTATACTCTTATAATTCTGTTTTTGTATTTTTTCTCAGAAATGAGACATTTTCCCGCGGTAAAAAGTATTCTATATATTGTACAATGTAAAGTGAACCTTAAATGCAATACTTAAAGTTGTTTACACGAAAAAAAAGCGCGCTCAAATGTTCAAATGAACTCTGAAATGAATGAAAAGTCCGTGAAGACATTTCTTGTCGCTGGCTGTGTATCTAGAACTTTTTTCATCGATGCTTCTATTACATAAATGTGGTAAGTAGTTTCAGCCTATTTCTAAACATTATCTACACAATGGTGCATGTAATTGGTTGAAAAATATGACAAAAAAAAAATAAAAAAAAAACACAATAGTAGATAACATATTTCTTTCCTCACCTTCCATAACCTGGTCTTCCATATCCAAAGTAATATGATCTCCTAACGCCTGAGTGACGTCATAACCTTCATTTTTCACATTTTGAGTAGTACTCACTGTAATATAATGGGATGGCCATTCTTTGCTTTCTATAATTATATTATCTTCAATATCACGAGATTCAACGTCATGGGAATAATTTACTATGACTTTGTCATAATCGTTTTTCATTACACTTCCAAGTGATGACAGAGTTTGGGACATGTATGTGTGGTCCATCGTCTGTAAAAATCGCTTTATAGTATACAGACTGATTTTTTTAAGGTTTTAATTTTCAAAGGCATAAAAATAAAAATGTATATTAAGCAGTATTTTCTTTTTAAATATGCATTAAAAACTGGTATTATAACAAAAATCCCTTGTATAGGATGGCAACATTATTAAAAAAAAATATGTAAAATTAGTGATGTGCCAGATTGATAAAAATGTTCAATTTAACATGACAGTGATGAAATAATTTGTGCTCAATTGGCATGCATTAAAGCCATTAAAGTGAAGAACTGATAAAAATGTATATCCGAAGCTATGGATACAAATAATTTGTACATATACCACTCAAAATCTGCAATATGGATATGAATCTCATATAACTGGCTACATATTGTAAATGTCCAAACATTTCATAACTTTTTTAATGGGAATACTATAAAGAAATAAGGCTTGTTTGTAACTCCCTACAATAAATGATCTAATATTTATCTTGTGAGATACAAATGAGCCAAAATTTATTTAAAAAATTAATAATAATTTAAATATGGATACAGATCTTATTTCTGCTTCGGATATTCGAAGATGTGGATAAGGATATCCGGTGCATCACTTAGTATAACAAGGATTCTCACCTCCTGAGATTGACTCATAGCAAGCACTCTCAAATGTTCCTGTGCATTGTGCACCTGTTGTTTGAATCTTGCCAACTTTTTCATTAATGCAAGGCACTCCCAGCATACTAACTGCTCCAATTCTATTATAGAATCACCGAACTGGAATAAATGCATGTTTTTTAATTAATTTTTATATAAATATCTTTTTTTTTAAATAAATATGTCGATTTTACAATTAATATTGAACATAGTATGTTGTTTACAAATAAATCATATTTCCACTTATATTTTATTAATCATACAAAATATGCCACTATAATAATAATATTAATTTATTAGTTTATATATTTACCATATACATAATTAAAAAAACCGCAAAAAACTAAGAAAAGATTCTTCATCAATAACAATGTATTAAGTTAGCCTTAATATTAACATAATATATAAAGCATTAATATCTTGACAAATAAATAATTTATTAATGCTACATTACGTAATAATAGTGTATTCAAAAAGCAAAATTATAAGTTTTTAAACTTACCCTGTCTCCCGCGTAATCGTACATAATTAATCTAAATATTTGATATATTGATGTAAGTCCATTTATAGATATAACGTTTCGATCTGAACTAAGACAAGTGCAGCACAAAGTCCTATAACCAGTGTCCACATCTTGCTCCATTTTAAATTATTGTTGTTTTAGCGGTCAAATAAAAATGTATTTGTTTGGATTAACTTGGGAACTATACATACGATTCAAAAAGTTTCTTTTTTATTTGATACATATATTAATTAATATTCGAAGAAGGTTATACGCAATATTTTATCCTTTATAATTTACAAATAATCCACTTATTAACAAATAACTGATGAGAGAAAAATCAAAATATCTCAATTTGTATTTTGTTATCAATCACAACAAAAAGTAATACTCCCATGTAAAATAGACGAAATTGCGTAGAGAATATTTTAACGCCACAACGACACCACAAAATGGCTGCTTTACACTTTATTGCTAGTGGAATAAATATTTTTCTCATCTAAAAAGTGGCAACATTACAAATGTCAAATCGGTAACTAATAATAAATGCTAATTATACGTATAAAACATCGTACATACAATATCGATTTCACTAATATTAAAAAAATAATATACATTTCAAGTTAGTTTGTCCTTTTTGAAATTGTCCAAATTGAATAGTAGTGAAGTAATAATATATAACGAAAATTTGTAACTGTATCTAAATGCCGATTATAAGGAGCCATGTCTGATCGAACTTACTTAAAAACATGTATTAAACATACTTAATAATATTTTAAAATTACAGTGAATATTTCGACGAATACTATTTTCAAAATTGCTTGTGATCGATTTATTATAATATCGATTCATATTTCAAATACCTATATGCACATGACACATCACTAAAAACTAATACAACAATTTACAATGGTGACTGATTGTTTTGTTTTTTAAATTGAAAGAAAAGCGAAAGTTAAAAATAAATGGAGATATTTATTATTAAATGCATAAATATTACAAATTATTAATAAGGTGATGCATTGAAATTGATCGTTATTTTTCTGGGATTTCATCACGTAACTGGAATGATGCATCTTTATTATTATTTATTACACTAATGTGGAAGAGAAAGTGATTTTATTTTTATTTTATGTGAGAAAAAGACGATATTAAATACCAAATAATTAAAAGCTATTGCTGTCTATATTCGCAGTATAAAATAACATATTAGATTTATGAATTTTCGTAATATTTCACGATAAATATAATTTGTATTGTACATTCATTTTTACATTTTTAGACTACTGAAAAAATGGAAAATAAGGAAGAAATAATAAGCAATCTTTTGTGCATGGCTTGTTTATGTGTTGGGCGATCTATTCATGAAGTAAAAGATGAGAAGTTAAAAAAGTACTACTTGGATACCCTAAATGAAATTCCAGTAAGGTTCTATTTATATAATAAATGTCCTTTAAAACTCATATAATATTTTGAACAATATAATATATTTGTATATATAATCTGAAAGTATGTGTGTTTTATAATCAACATTAAGTAAAATATTAACTATTTTTTCTAAAAAACCATATTCGAATTTACTTAAAATTTAAATATTTTTTTATGAGTATAAATAATTGTAAATAAATTTGTTATTTCAGCTAAATAACATAAAATTAGTTGTACCAATAATATGTTGGGAATGTGAAGCGACTTTACACAAAGTATTGGCTTTTAGAGAACAAGTAAAGGATTCATATAGGATATTGCAAACTTTTACAGAGGTATGTAAACAAAAACCAAATGTAAGTTATGCTATTGTATTCCAGCTTACATTTAAATTTATTCATAAAACAGAATATAATTGAAAATCATACATCTATAAATACAATTATTTATAGATGCATGATTTATATTTTGTAAATTTCTACTGCAAAAAGCAATTCTCTTAATACTTTCTTAGATTTATGCAAATATTTGATATTTTAAATAAGACTATCTTTTCAGATTTTTTTGTGGGTTTATTTTTATGTTTGGTTCCCGACGTTTTGTGTGCTTTACAGCAGTCATGGTCACACGTTTAAGATGTCTCAAAGGTCAGTTGTGAGAGACAGTCTACCCACAAAATTATAAAATGAATTCAAAAATTGATGATTATAGTTGTTACAAATAGGCACTGTCTGTCACAACTATATAACACCTTTGAGACGCTTAAAACCTTAGTTTCTCCTCCACCATAATTTCTGTAAAGCATTCGAAACGCTGTGTACCAAAAATCAAAATAAATCTGCCAAAAAATCCAAAAAGATGGCAATCCTTTTGTTTTGGTTGGCTTGAATTATATGTTTAAATGTTTCATTTTACTAAATTGATACACTCCATGAGTAAAACAACAAGCAAAAGCTAGTTAAAATTATATATTCTTCTATAATTTTCAGAATTTAAATGAATGTTTGTTAACTGATGTATCAAGGAGTCCGAGATTGAAAATACATACAAATGTACCTATTACCATTTTACCGAACGACTTGGAAGACATCAAACTGGAGAATGCGGGTAAGTATTGAAAATACTAATTAGTTTTTTATTTAAGGAACATGTATAGTAGGGTGGAGTAAAAAAAATTTTTTTGTTTTTTTTGTAGTTAGGGGGGTAAAGCTTGTAAAGAAACTAAATTTTTAAAATTAAAAAAAAATTACTAAACATTTTGAAGTGGGCCACTAGTTTTTAAAATAATTAATTAAATTTTTTTCTTTAAATGAAAAAAAAAAATATTTTTCAGTGAAAGTTGAGCAGAAAATGACAATATTCGTCAATTCTAGAATGTTTTCAAAGATGATCAAGCAAAAAAAATTTAATTTCAATAATTTTGTTTTTTTATAAGCTACAAATTTTACCCCCACGCTAAGAAATTAAAAAAAAAATCGCTAATATATACATTTGAATATAACGGGAATTTCCCTCTCTCTTGAGACATAGAGACCGCAGTGCTCTCTACGCGCTCACTATAATTTTTGGGACAATTTTTACATACAGATATTGGACTCCTTGTAAATATGCCTAATTCTTTTTTTTATAGATACAGATAAAACAGAAAAACTCACAGATTATAAAACAGATATAGTACCATCAGACGATGAGCCCAATGAAGATATACAGACAGTAATGTGTGATGTTAAAAGATATAAAAGAAAGAAAAAGGTATGTATGTATTTTCTCTTCTTTTTTTTAATTATTGTACTATCTGTATTATTATTATTATTATAATTTTTCGACATGAGCGCTAGCTCTGTGGCGCGGCTCTAACGGCCTTAATCCTTGGACTTCTGATTAATAGAAATATTATTTATTATGTATTTATATGCTCGTTATAAAAGATATTTATTGATTTATTTAAATTTTATTATAATAACTAAATAAATATTTTTAATTCACAAAATTTGAAATTTATCATACTCATTCTTAGTTTTTGTGACGAAATATTTCTAGGGGGTTACAGAAAGTGTGACACAGCGTGACAATTATTAGGGATTTTATGAACGGGCTCAAATTTTCCAGTGCAAAAAATTTCTCTTTTATATTTTTTAAATTCACACTAATATTATACAGTAGAAATTAAAATTTAAAAGAGTTCTCGCCATATCTTTTCGGGCATTCGATTATTTTAAATTGCTTGAGCAAGATAGTTTACTACATTTACTTAATATTTTAAACAAAATTATTTTTTCTCAGTTTTGTATTAAAAATTGATAAGTACTCGGGTTGCCTCTTTTCTTCAACTCTCAGACAAAACTATTACATATTATAGACGAGAATAAAAAATAGTAGTCCTTAATCTGATTAATAATTCAGGGCAGCGACTTTTGCTTTATGAAGCTCAGGTTCGCCCTCTCATGGAGTACTGTTCTCATCTCTGGGCCGGCGCCCCCCAATACCAGCTTCTTCCATTTGACTCTATCCAACGCCGGGCAGTTCGTATTGTCAACGATCCCGTACTCACAGACGACTTAGACACTCTAAGCCTTCGGAGAGATGTTGGCTCTCTGTGTGTTCTCTATCGTCTATACAATGGAGAGTGTTCTGATGAACTTTTTGACATGGTGCCACCGTCGCGCTTCTATCATCGCACCCTTCGCCGTCGGGTAGGATGTCATCCACACATTTTAAATGCTTGGCATTCTACAAATGTACGTGCGTCTCGATCTTTTTTACCTCGCACGTGCAAGATGTGGAATGATCTTCCTCCCGAGGTATTCCCTGAGCGCTATAATATGGGGCTCTTCAAGAGTAATGTCTATAGGTCCCTTAAAGGCCGGCAACGCATTCGCAACTCCTCTTGTGTTGCAGATGTCCATGAGCGACGATAGCCACTTACCATCAGGTGGATCGTTTGCTCGTTTGCCCCTTTTTTTTCTATAAAAAAAAAAAAAAAAAACTATAACTGTGAGTCGTCTAAAATCTCAGTCTCTTCCGTGACCATAATTGTCGTAAAGCATTCGACACGTTGGAAACTAAAAATCAAAATAAATTCCCGAAAAATCCAAAAAAGTTTTATTTATTCGAACAAAACTTGAGCTTTTAATAAAATGATATGTTTTTCTTACATATTTTTTTTGCGATGTAAATAATATAAGATACTTTTGTTTTTTAAAGAATCTTCACAAAATACGTAAAGTATCACGTCTGGATGAAAAGGATCCTGTAGATATAACAGAAGATGAAAGAAGTTTGATAGATATTAAAATAGAAGAAAACAAAGGTTTGTACTTATTCTGACTTGAGTTGAACCAACAGAAGTTCCATTCAAAATTAAAAAAATATAGTTTATAATCTTTAAATTTATACAAATACTAGCAGGATTCGCGACTTCGCTCGCGCTAAAACTACAAAAACAAAAGGTAGGTTTCATACAGACTTTCATCCCATATTGTATCCCCTTATGGGAATTTCAAAAAATGCTAAAGCACGTATTTATTTAATTGTATTGAAGAGCATTAATACCAAGTTTCAAGTAATTCTGATCATAAATATTTTTTTGAGTTGTATTATAGCGTGTTTTCCCGTGGGAATGAGATGACCTCCCGCGGTATGTAAGGTAAGTACTTACCTTATGAGTTATGTCCCTATCCAGCCCTCTAACGATCTCTACACAAAAAACGCCAAACCATCACTCTGTTTCTACGTAAAAGAAGGACAAAAAACAAATATACTTTAACATTTATATTAGTATGGAATATGGATACTATAGAAATGAATTATCAGTTTCGAACTTTCCCAATTTTCCGAACAACTTTTCCGATTTTTCACCTTGCTGGACGTGGGCCTCTCTTCAATATAACGGAGATTAGGCCACAGTCGCACGCGGGGCAAGTGCGGGCGGGCTGAGCATGTCTGCAGACAACTTGCTAGGTTCTCTCAGACATACAGATGTCCTCACCAAGTTCTCCTTTATCGTAAGACAAGTGGTGATCATATTAGAAATAATTCGCACATGAGAATATCAGAGGTGTGAGACCCGGGATTTGAACCCGCTTCACTCGGTTTCCCAAACGACCGTGTTACCACTGGGCTACCACTGCCAATCATCGTAATTAAATACGTATATAGTATTTTCACAAATCTCCAAGTTTAAAAATAATGTAATTTATCAAAACCAAAGACTCGCACTTGACCACTTTTTATTAATTATGTTTCTTTCCAGATATTTATAATCAAACACTCACTAAAGATGATGTGACAGATAGTACAAAGAATATAAGTGAGGTAGGTTTATTTTGACTGCTGCAAAGCTCTAAGGAGGGTTATGCATTTGACCTGTATGTATGTATGTATGTATGTCCAATCCTATATTTCCTTGGTTACTAAATGGCTAACCGATTTTGATGAAAAAATCTTTTCATCCGAATAGTGATGTAATATGAAAAAAAAGACTTTGTTTTTTTCACTCTGTTGAAAAAATATGAAAAAACTTACTACCTTTCATTTTTTCCGATTTCCGTACAAAAAATGTCAAACATAAAACTAAAACTAGAATTAAATTAATTAAAAATTAAAAAAAACCCCGACTAACTTGGACCGATTTTCATTAAAGATTCGATTTTCGATTCGATTTTCATTTAAGAACACTCCCGACTAATTCACTTTTCAAACCGAAAAAAACAAAATCAAAATCGGTTCATCCGTTCGGGAGCTACGATGCCACAGACACACACACGCACGCGCGCACACACATCAAACTTATTATACCCCCGTCGTTTTTGCATCGGGGGTTAAAAATGAGAACACAGTCTCAGTCTCAGTGGTCCAGAGGATATTATTATTGTATATTTTTACTATATGTATGTATGTTACGCGTAACTACGTCATGGGAATCGATTTATATAGATCCTGAATATAATTTGATGATTTGTATTATTTTGTTCTAGAACGTTCGAAATCACACAAAAAATGGCGATATGAAAGTTTATAATGAGAACACATTATTGCAAATAGAAATGGATGTCGTTAAATTGGAATTAGATGATAGAGGTAATTTATATCTATACTAGCATTGCCCGCGGCTCCGCCCACGTTCAGATGACCAAAACCCAAATTCTTAGATTTTATATATTAGTATACTCTTACATTGCAGTTTTTGTATTTTTTCTCAGAAATGAGATGTTTTCCCGCGGTAAAAAGTATCCTATATGTTGACCCGGATAACCACCTACCATACCAAATTTCATGAAAATCCCTCTAGTGGTTTTTCTGTGATGCGGTAACAGACAGACAGACAGAAATTCTAAAAACTATAGATTCGGCTTCTGTATCGATAATAATTACTATTTCAATAAGATTTCCAAAAAATATTTTATGTACAGATTCGGCTTAGTTACAATTTTATTATATGTATAGATTAGAGATGAAACGGATATACAGTAAAAATCCGGTATCCGGTCTTATTTTAGTGTCCGGTCTGATATCGGATATTTAAAAACTACTACTTACTTTTACTAATATTATATAGAGAAAAGATTTTTTGTTTGTTTGTTTGTTTGTTTCTTTGTTTGTATGTACTGAAGTCTCCGAAACTAATAGACCGATTTAGATGAAATTTGCTAAGAAGATAGTTTGAGACAAACACAGATACAAACTTCCACCTACTTTTCACCTTAAGGGATGATTTCCGGAGTAAAAACTATCCTATATCCTTCCTGGGGATTAGCTTCATACCAAATTTCATCTAAATCGGTTCAGCGGATTTTTAATTTAACCATTACTAACAAAAAAAAATTCTATTTCTTTAATTTATATATGTATAGATAACGATATGTAAATCAGAATTTTTATAATTAAAATATTTATTTATATCAAATGTCAGAATTATTATCTAAGTAAATATTTCAGATGATGATTCTGATTCGGATACAAAAGATATAGATACAGAGATACAATCGTTTTTGGATAATGTCAAGAAGAATTCTGAGAAGGGCAAGAGTAGAAGTAAGAAGAAATGCGATGATAAGGTTTGTTTTTTTGTTATTAATGTAGAAAAAAGTTCAAAGTTATTCCAATTTTGTATGTAAGAGTCATAAATTCATTTAAAAATATTAATAATTGCAATTTACGTTTAAAAATACCAAATATAGATCTTTTTTCCATAGAGATACTTTTTTTTTGGAAATTACTCATAAATTATATAAAGTTTTAGTATTAATCTCTTAAAATACATTTTTTTTAAAATTTTTTGCATTCAAATTTGGTAATTTGATGGGAAAGATAGTTTTATTTTAAATGTCTTATAAATAATTTTTATTATAGTTCTTCATTATTAACCTTGTTCTGTCAAATCAACTGTGTAGCATACCTGATTAGAAATATAGTGTTTTTACGTTTTTCCATGTATTTTTTCCAATTTAACTCTCCATAAGAACCTTCCTCGGACTTTAGCTACAATTTTAATTTATAAAAAATAGCCAAATTAATCTAGTTGTTTTGCGTTTAGCAACACAATTAGCGATATATTTTTATTTATATAGATTTAAAACCATTTTAGTGTACAAAAAATAACATAATAACTGTAGATCTCTCCTATGAGGAAATGCAAGCGGAGAGATTAAAACTCTCTCAAACGGAGAGTTTCTTGCAAGCTCAATACAAATGTGAGAGTTGCTACATTGTTTTTAACTCTCCGACGTCACAGAAAGCACATCATACGAAAAAACATGCGGTAAGTTTTTTTTTAAATAACAAATTAATTAATTGAAACAAAATATATTACGTCTGCTAGTATTTTATTTGAACTGACGTATCCGAATTAACAAATCCGGGCTGATATATCCGGGCTAACATATCCGAGCTAAAGTATCCGGGCTAACATATTCAGGCTGACATATCCGTGCTAACATATCCGTGCTGACATATCTGTATATCCGTGCTAACATATCCGTGCTGACATATCTGTATATCCGTGCTAACATATCCGGGTATACAATTTGAAATTTTTAAGAATGAGAAATTCATTTATATTTTTGAATAGATATTAATTATCCCAGGACTGTTATATATTTGTTCATTGCATGCGTTGATTTGATTATTTAAAGTTTAATATGGTCTCTTTGGCGATATTGATGACATTTTTTAAATTTTATTACATACCACCGATTTATCTTATATATACGTTTTTTTTGAGCGGAACCCTAGTTCTTTTTCCAAAATAAAAGTAACCGAAGTTACTCTTTATAATATCAGCTATCTGCCAATGAAAGTCCCGTAACAATGTGCCTAGCCGTTTCAGAGATTAGCCGGAACAAACTCAACTTCCATTTTTTTTTACAAATAATCCTTAAAATATATTTTATTTCGTCTCTAACTTTCACTAACTTACTGACTTTTTAACTTTAACTAACTTACTGACTCATACAAAACTAAAATTTTAGGTGAAAGGTGATTTCATATGTTCCATATGCAAAACTATCATATCGTCGGTGGAAGCATTCACTTTACACTATAAAAGTCATATGAGGAGGTACGTTTTTGTGTTTAGTTCTATAACGTTTGCTTTATATCTGTACTAGGTTGAATGAATTGAAGGATAAAAACTATCCTTTGTCCTTCCCAGGGTCTCATACTATCTTCTTACCGAATTTTATCTAAATCGGTCCACTAGTTTCGGGGCTTATTCGGTACAAACAAACAAACAAAAAGAAAATCTTTCCTCTTTATAATATTAGTATAGATATGATCGACATCAAAAGAAATGTGCTCAATTCGATTGCGAAGATTGCATTGCTCTTTTTTAAGGTCCCACTGCTGGGCGTGGGCCTTCATTCAATGCGAGGTGATCAGGCCATAGTCCACCACGCTGGCCAAGTGTGGCACAATGAATTAGCTACAGGGATTTTTAGTGTATAGCAATTATTGAGTGGAACCTTAATTCTTTTTCCAGAATAAAAGTAGCCTAAGTTACTACCTATAATATCAGCTATGTGCCAGTGAAAGTCCCATAACACCCACCCACCCCCAGCAGTGGGACGTTAAAACGAGCCTGAATACAATATAATAAATTAGAATTTCTTTCAGATACGAGTGTCCCACTTGTGGGAAACGTGCAACGAACATAAAGACGATACAACAACATGTATATGCAAAACATGAAAAAAATATGAAGAAATATCAGTGCAATGTATGCGGTAAAGTTTCTAAGTGAGTTTTTTTTTGTATACTTGATGAGAGTTAGATTTTTTTTAATTTGCTTAAAATATGTCTTATTCAGGTTTTAAAATCGTCATTATTTGTAGTGTAAAATAATTACTTATAAACAGCTGTGTCCGACTGAAACAAGATTTGCAGCCGAAACCGAACCTTCGGCTTCGGTCTCAGTTTCGGCCGAAATCGAAATTGAAAGTAGGGACTGGTGAATTACGCTAGCGACCACGATGCACAAACTCACAAGAACAAAGCTATACAATTTATAAACACTAGGTTTCGGCTTGTTTTTGGCCGAAACCGAAACTAGGGCCGAAACTAGATTTTTTGGATGAAACTGACCGAAACCGAAACAGAATCTTCGGTCGGTCACTACTTTTAAATATATGATTTCAATAATTGATTTTGAGAGGAAAATAAAAACATAATACAAAAAATCACAATAAACAATTTAATAACAAATACATAAATTTATCATAAACTAGCAGAACCCGCGGCTTTGCTCGCGCTAAAACTATAAAAAACTCTAAAAAGGTAGTTTCACATAAACTTTTATGCCTTATTTTACCCCCTTATAGGACAAATTTCGAAAAATTCTAAAACGCGTATTTATTCAATTTTATTAAAGAGCATTAATACCAAGTTTCAAGTAATTCTGATCATAAATATTTTTTTGTATTGTATTATAACGTGTTTTCCCGTGGGAAAGAGATCATCTCCGGCGGCAAGAAGTAGTCTATGTCACTCTACAGCTTTCCAACTACATCCATATAAAAAATCACGTCAACTTGTCCCTCCGTTTCGACGTGAAAGAAGGACAAACAAACAAACACACTTTGACATTTATAATATTAGTATGGATTATTTTAGTATTTACTCGCGTATAAAAATTAACTATAATAATATCAAAGACAAAATAGAATAAAAAAGTGCTGCTAACTTAAAAAAAACCATTTCCTTTTTAAAGTATGCTAGCATAAAAAAAAATATCCATTCCATTTTGTTTCACTTCTTTAAATATTATACACTGAAAAAAGACGTTATAATTGATATATACGAAAGACAAAATAGAATACGAAAAGTGTTGCCAACCTAAAAACTTGTTTCTTTTAAAGTAATACCAACATAAAAAAAAATTTTTTTTCCATACCATTTTGATTCCAGTTCCTCAAATACTATATACCAAAAAAGACCGTTATTTTTTATAATTTATATATTGAAGTCAAAATAAAATATAAAAGTATTGCCAACCTAAAAAACGTGTTCCTTTTTATAAAGTAATACCAACATAAAAAAAAACATCTCATTTTGTTTCAGTTCCTTAGACACGCATAGATATCACCGCGACACGCACAAGGCGCGTGTGGAATGTTCCCAATGCGATAAAACTTTTAGTCATCGTGCCGGCCTTATGAATCATAGACTGTGAGTTTTGTACATATATACATATATACATACACATAAATATACATACACATATAATTGTTTATTAAAATAAGTGATTCCAAGACATAATTTCTCTAAAAAAACTTTATTTACCACTGAAAGCCGTATTGGATAGGGTTTTTATTAATTACTAGCGACTCACCCTCGCTTCGTTCAGGCTAGTCCCTAGATACTTTTTGACATTTAGTATGGAATATTTTTTTTTTTTCAATTTCTTTTTCGTGATTTTTTCCGATGTCTTTAATAGTTATTCTGCTATTCGGCGTGAAGACAAATCCAAACAAATAAAGATCATAAAAATCGGTCCAGCAGTTCTGTAGTTATAAGTATTGTAACAAACCTGTCTTTGTTTTATATATATATATATATATATATATAGATATGTCGTTAACCTAAATGCTTTTAAATGTGTTTTATTATTTGTTGTTATAGCGGCAATAGAAATACACTGTTAAAATTTCAACTCTACCTATTACGGTTCATGAGATACAGCACTCTGACAGACAGACAGACGGACAGTGGAGGCTTAGTAATAGGGTTCCGTCGGCACTCTTCGGGTACCGAACCCTAATACTAGTCTCTCCACTCGGGTGCTCCCCCAGATGTTTTGTATCTACAATATTCCCACACTGGCATCCCTTAATCTTCGTTGTGAAATATTAGCCATATAAAGACAAACGAACAGACAAACACATTTTCACATTTATAATATTAGTATGGATACGTAGTATGTTATTACAGTGCAGTACATGAATCCCAAAACGAGTTCCCTTGTACGGTATGCGATAAAGTGTTCAGATGGAAGACCAGTTTGAAGAGACACTTGGAGAAACATGAAAATGAGGTAAGAAATGGTTCAAATGTATGTATGTATGTATGTGTGTATTTATAATGAAATTTCAAAGCCGATATTGACCATGACATCTATACATATAATAAAACAGTAAGTTAGCAAAATCTGTACACGAAATATTTTTTAATTTTTAAAAACCATGACTTAATGTAATGTGCAGAATATAGACTCTCAAACAATGGTTGCAATTTTTGTCTCTTTGTTTGTTTAAGTGCATTTCACAAAAAAAAAATTTTTTTTTGAAATCTAGAAAATGATAGAATAACGAGAAGAAAAAAAAATTAAAAAGAAAAAAACATTCAATTTTTGACAATAGGGAATGATGCGTGTGATTTAAAAGAGAGGTGACATATTTTTTTTATAATCTTTATTGCTGCTTAATTAAGCCTATATCAATATTTTTTAATGTAATTTCTTTTTGATTGAGAAAATAATTATTAAAAAGTGCAAAAACCGATGAGAAATTCAAAGTAGTTGAAACGCCACACCATTGGTCAGACCGTGTGTGACGTCAGAGTATATCACAACAGAGCGATTAGAGATTTTGTTGCTACAAACTAAAGTCGTCATGTCTGTGTGTATATCACACTGATGTCACGCCGAGCGCAAGGAATGGCGGGCGCTTAAAGTATCCTTATCGATATGGAATACAAAAATAGGTATACTAAATTTTGGTTTTTTGGTGCGGTTTTTTTTACAATTATGTATATAACGATGTCGGCTAGAGTATAAAAAAAAAATTACGCACATTCCCTATTTCGGAAATTTTAAATAATCTTGAGCGAGCTCTATAAATTTTTTTTTATCTGATTGTTTAATCATGCTCTTAAACATGAGAAACTAACATATTTTCATACGAGACACGAAAAATAATAATATTCGTTTTATATGAGCCACCCTAATATATATAGAAATTATGTGAATGTATTTTCCCAGAATAAAGGTAGCACCACACAAAACAGGGCTTTCTGCGCTTCGTGTGGTATTGGCTTTTCGTCTGTGTGTTCGTTCCAACGACATCTCAGGAACAGTCTGAAACATGTCACACACGATCAGCTTAAGTAAGTTATATATGTATATAAAACCTTTTCTTCAATAATCCCTCTAAAGATTTCTTCTTCTTTCTCTTTCCTCATTCCTTCTTCATTATCTCTTCTCTACTCCCGCCTCATATTTTCACATTTTTTATTAACGGTAATATTAAAACATTAAATGTTTATCAAAGAAATTAAATCTATACATATAAATAAAATTTAAATATATTATGTCTTTTATTTCAGTATTACTATGTTTTCTCAAGTAAATAGTAGGTACTGGTATCATAATCATAATGGCTGAACGGATCTGGATGAAATTTGGCACAGAGATAGATTATAGTCTGGAATAGCACATAGGTTACTTTTTATTCCGGGAAAAAGGACTAATCCCGTGGGATATCCATACTAACCGACCGAAAATCTGTTCTCAGATTCATTTGCGATCACTGCAAGCAAAGGTTCGCAGATAAAACAAAACTCAGAGACCATATAGAAGAGAAACATCTACATCGCACCTTCCAATGTCCGATATGTAATAAGGTATGGTACATTGTTTATGGCTTTAGTGTGTTTTAACATATTTTAATTTTATTTTTTCTAATATCCATACTAATAAATTAATTTTATAATGTAAAAGTAACTCCAGTGATAGCTTACAAAACAGTATTATATTGAGTTATTTTCAACGTCCCACTGCTGGGCGTGGGCTTCGTGGTGGTCATCATTTTGGAAATGTGAGCGCATGAGAATATCAGAGGGATTTGAACCTGCTTCACTCGGTTATCCAAGCGCGTTACCACTGGACTACAACTGCCTAATTTATTATATATTTATTTTTATTACATTGCAGCCATCTAAAAACCGTGTAGGTTTAGAGCAGCATATACGAGCGGTACACAAGGGCAGGCCCAACAATAGGATGTGCCATCACTGTGGGAAAGGATTTCCGGTAAGTAATATTGTTTTATTTATCACTAGCGCAATTTCATGGGTTTTGATTTTCTTTTTCTAAAATAAAAGTAGCCTAAGTTACTCCTTATAACATTAGCTATCTGCCAGTGAAAGTCGTGTCAAAATTGGTCTTGCCGTTTCCGAGATCAGTCGGTACAAACCAACAGATAAACATTTTTTTTTTTAAATTGTGCCTTTCTTATAAGTACCGTATATAATGTCATATGCATTTAGTAAAATGCTGTTATTTCGACATTATAAACAAACGTATCAATTTTATTTATTATCGGTTAAAACGTACACCTAGAGATGAACCCGAGTGATGCTAGGTTGAGTCGCTAGTATGTATAATTTTATTCCAGACCAAAGTCCAGTTAGAGTCCCACATAAGGACACACACAGGGGAGAGACCGTTCATGTGCGAGTTCTGTCCCACCACCTTCTCTCAGCAGTCCAACTTGTACAAACATCATCGGCAGGTGAGTTAGTTAGTTAGTTAGTGAATAATAAGGTGAGACTTAAATATAGATAGATAAATTGATACTTTATTGCACATACAAAAGATTTTTTTTTAATAATAATAATCAATAGCCGGACTAATATCTAATATCTATACATATAATAAAATTGTAACTAAGTCGAATCTGTACATTAAATGTTTTTTGGAAAATCTTATTGAAATAGACATTATTATCTATACGGAGACCGAATCTATAGTTTTTAGAATTATTGTCTGTCTGTCTGTTACCTCATCACAGAAAAACCACTGGAGGGATTTTGATGAAATTTGGTATGTTGATAGCTGGTTATCCGGGTCAACATATAGGATACTTTTTACCGCGGAAAAAAGTCTCATTTCTGATAAAAACATCCAAAAATTGCAATGTAAGAGTATACTAATATGTAGAACCTAAGAATTTGGTTTTTGGTCATCTGAACGCGGGCGGAGCCGCGGGCAATGCTAGTAAATAATATTAGTCGTACAGTTACTGTATCAATAAGTTCAACTTAATCGTCCTTTAATTAAAACAGCAGACTTCTGGCCGTACATAAGTTTTGTCTCTGTCGCGCGTTTCCGACATTTTTAGCTTAGATATGGCAGAAAAAATATTATTCCACTCTGTATGTCTCTGTATTATCTCTCTCTCTCTCTCTCTCTCTCTCTATATATATATATATATATATATATATATATATATATATATATATATATATATATATAAAACAAAGTCGGGTTTGTTACAACACTTATAACTCGAGAACTGCTGGAAATAAAAAATCTATTTCATACTAAGCGTCAAAACGTAGCTAAGGACGGACTTGAGCGAAGCGAGGGTGAGTCGTTAGTACTAAATAAATGATTTTCTTTCCAGGTACATTTAAATATAAAATCTAAAAGGTATCTTTGCAAGAAGCGTAGACTTGATGGAAATGAGAGTGGCGATGTGCCATTCACTCTACCCATAATGCAGTATTTACCCGAAAACGGATTTAGTTTATGATTTTATTAAAATTTATATAGTCTATGTGAATTGTGTATAATCTGTGGTATTCTATATACATATTATGTGTTCTGGTTTAGCTTGGGTTTTTTTATTATAAAACCTTAATAAAAATGGAGATTTTGAAATTAATTTAATGTATTTTTATTTATAGCGTGACCCATTCTCTATACTAAGACGACATCCATTAATTATATATTTACGTAATTTAAAAATGGGGGAAGGGGTGGGGTTTGGGGGAGGGGGGGGGGTAGCCAGTAAAATCTCATTTAAACTAAAGAGGGGAAAAATAAAGATATTTAAAAAAAACATTCTTCGTTATTTGTAGTGCATTTCTTTTAATTTGAGTTATGTGCCATATAAAGTCTAATAATGCGATGCCGTCATGAAACAAAGATAGAAACTAGGCAGATATTTTCTATCTCTTTTCCTCCACACCTCACCGCCACTTACAGTGTTGAATGGCAGTCACTTACTCTATGTGTATTATCGCCATAAAAAAATAACATAATAAATAATCGCCACGAGAAGATAAGAGTGAGGTCTCTGCAAATGTCAAATGACACTGAACGTTAACTGATTGCGAGCTTTTTATCATGGATGACAAATAAAACTTTTTATCGCGGATTTTCATTAATATTAATGTTTATTGTAAAGATTGTGCCATTCCTGATTAATTATGGCAGACACGGTACGACACAATAAATCTTATTTCTTTAAAAGAAGAGATAAGAAGTCAATATTTTATTTATTTGGTTATATACTTAAATTGTATACTAGCTGCTCACTTTCGCTTCGCTCGGGTATGCCTCTAGAAAAAAAATAACAAATCATCCCTCGGGAACCGTATATTTTTCCGGGATAAAAAAGTAGCCTATGTGCTATTCCAGATTAAAATCTATCTCTGTGCCGTAGTGCTGTTAGTAATTAGTAGCAAACATTCATATTTATTACAACTTACCTATTTGAATCAGATATTATTAAATTTTTCATTGGTTTTTATTCTTTTTCGTGGGACCCTATTTTTTTCTAAAATAAAAGTAGCCTAAGTTACTCCTTATTACATCAGCTATCTGCCATTGAAAGTCGTGTAAAAATCAGTCCAGCCATTTCAGAGGTTAGCCGGAACAAATAGACAGACAAACAAAAATTGTAAAAAATGTTGTTTTGGTATAAGTACCGTGTATTACATCCATATGCTTATAGTAAAAGCTGTTATTTTGACATTACACACAGACACTTCAATTTTATTTATCTGTATAGATTATATTATTATATTATACAGATGATAAATGATTTGAAATCCTGATATAACTGTTTCCGCGCTAACAATTATAATTATTATATTAAATTTACTGTCCCTGCTGCACTAACAAATACCTTTCAACGACAGCAATAGGACTTCACTCGCCAGTGGCGCCGACTGGTGCGACCAGAAACGATAGCCCTCATTTATTAATCTATACATATAATAAAATTCTAACTAAGTCGAATCTGTACATTAAATATTTTGTGGAAAATCTTATTGAAATAGTCATTATTATCGATACAGAGGTCGAATCTATAGTTTTAAGAATTTTTTGTTTGTCTGCCACCTCATCACGAGAAAACCACTGGACGGATTTTGATGAAATTTGGTATGATGATAGCTGGTTATCTGTGTCAATATTTAGAATACTTTTTACTGCGGGAAAATATCTCATCTCTGAGAAATCTATATTAACCGTTAAAACATATCTAGTATTCTAATAAATCTTACTATTCATTTTCATACATTATATATTATTTACATAATACATATAAACCCATATCAATAAACATTTATGTAACTAAGGATATATGGAATATATTCTTGATGAATTAATTAGATATTTAATATCACAACATTGTTGAACAAAATAACTACTAATAATCAATTTGTTTGTGTGTTTGTTGCTTTATCTTTTAACGCCTCAGTGACTTAACCTATTGTGATGAAACTTTACACAAAGTATATAAATAGGTAAATATGATTAAGTATGAACTCTAGTTATTGTTAAAATATTATATATCAACTAGCATTGTCAGCGGCTCCGCCCGCGTTTAGACGACTAAAAACTAACTTAGGTTTTACAAATTAGTATACTGCAATGTAAGCAGTTTTTTTGCATTTTTTCTCAGACTTGAGGTAAAAAGTATCCTAAATATTGACACAGATAACCAGCTATCACCATACCAAATTTCCTCAAAATCTCTCCAGTGGTTTTACTGTGATGCGGTAACAGACAGACAGACAAAAATTCCAAAAACTATAGATTCGGCCTCTGTATCGATAATAATGTCTATTTCAATAAGATTTTCCAAAAAATATTTAATGTACAGAAGATTCGGCTTAGTTACAATTTTATTATATGTATAGATTTGTGATGTATTTATACGTATCGAAATAGATTCGCTTTGCATTGTATCGGCTAATGCGATTAAATAAATCCCCATTTTAATTATTTTTTTCTTTTTAGTGTCATAGAAGCCGGTTTTTATTGATTTTTTTAATGTCTGGTTCCTTTTGGATTAGCAGCTATTGACGAGCTTTAGTGTTATCAATAAAAAAATGGATGCGTGTAACCTTTACGCGCGGTTGAAGTAAAACTTCTTTGGCATATATCGCAATTAAATTAAAACAAATCAATAATTAAATAAGACATATTAGGCATATTACAATCATATATTTATAGAATATCATATACGGAAAGAAATATATAATATTATATATTTGTTACACAATAACAACGGTTACCATGGCAACATGGCGATGTGTTTTATCTCATTCTCTCGCCGGATTAATTCAATATATTTATGTTTTTGTCTCTTTTTAGTGACGCATTTTCGTTTCATCGAGTTTCAAATCATAACGATTCTAAAGAAGTTTCACTTCAAAAAAATGATTATAGTCGAATTTCAACCATCCGCAAACACATGTTACAATAATATAAAAAAATACTAAGCAGTTGATTTCTAAAGCTCCATTACATTATATATGTTTTTTTTTCTGGTACATAAATAAATAAATAAATAAAAAAATATTTGGACGCCTTAAGAAATAAAATAATAACAGGCACGGTCTATAGCAAAATGTTTATAGAAAAAAAAATTTTTTTGACGTATTTTAGTTAAAATTTAGTACTAATACCTTTTTTAGAATGAATAAATTAATAAATAATGTCTTTCGACGTATTTTACAAAAAAAAAACAAATTTAAATGCTCTTCGTAATAAAGTGAGGTGAACTCGAGGCAAGTCGCTTGTATATAACGAAGTATTATAACACTTTATCCGGTAAAACTGCATGCCGAGAAGATAATTCCTTCTTGAATTATTTATATATTTTTAACTGATTTTACAAAAGGAGGTTATTATGTTCAATCATTATATATGTACATATTAATTTATAGAAGTGAAACTTCTTTGCGCGCATGAGAGTAAAATTTCAAGGTCGCGTCACGAGAATCGTCACGAAAAACCGTCACGGTTGCCATAGTAACCGCTAGCATTAGGTTGCCATAGTAACCGTTGTTATTTAAAAAAAATGATATATATAATATTGTTTACGTTGCTATCTTCAAAGATTACTATTTTCACAAATTTATTTTCAAATATGCCTGCACATTTGTAACCAGCGCGAGGGTGAGTCCTCGCCACGCTCGGGCTCGACCCTCAGAGCATACGCGACAGATGTAAGAGTACAGCGAGATAGAAAGAGATAAAATATTATTCTGTCCTCTTTGTGTGATATTTGTTTGAATCATTTTTTTTTATTAATTTATTAATCTTACAGACTTGAAATATAAATAACCAATGAGGTTTCACTTTTAACACGTTTCCATAGAAACTTGATTTTTTTATGTACGAGTCTCAGACTATGGAATAATACAGACAGAGTGTCATAGGACTAAACATGAAACCAAACAAGTTTTAAAATGATATACCTATTATGTTTTAAAATAATATAGAAATGTCAATTTGTATACTAAGTGATAAATAAATGTTAATAAATAAAAATAGCTAACGGAAAAAATATATAAATATGTTAATATAATGCTGTTTCTCATTCAAAGGGAAGAGAAGCAATGCTTTAATAACTAAACTTAAAAAAAAAAAACCGATCATCTTGGACCGATTTTCTTGAAACATAGCTAAGAACACTCCCGAATAATTCACTTTTCAAACAAAATCAAAATCAGTTCATTCATTCGGGAGCTACGATGCCACAGACAGATATACAGACAGACACGTCAAACTTATGATACCCCGTCTTTTTTGCGTCGGTGGTTAAAAATATGAAAGAAATCGGGTGCATCCCTAATAGTATTTAGTCAGTTGTGCACGGCAATACGGCTGGGCGCAAAGCCAAGAAACGCACTGAAAGGCGGCCCGTCTCGGTGGGCGGTATACGATGCGGGTTGCTTCTGGTACTTCTCTGATAGCAAAGTGGACTGTGGAGCAACCCCATGTGTTTAGTATTTTTATATATGGTAACTACGCTCTGCTATCAAAATGTATGATCTGCGTTTCGCGGAGTAAAATATATAGAAAACTGACGCTAATTCCCGATTTCACCAACGTCACCTAAGTTTAAGGGATCCCCTAAGTATGGTTAGGCGGCTGTTAGGGGACAGTTTCTGTTTCACCGACAGTTAGCCTCATTAAGACGGGGGAGGTTCTGTTGGGTTTTAGTGGGTAGTACTGGCTTTGCCGGTGAGTCCCACACCTCGTGGCTAAATGCATTTCCCAACGTTAAAAAAATGTATATTTAGACCAATCGATCAATGCTTTTTTTGGTGAATTTTAGTATTATCATCCAAATCTGTCCAGCCTTTCAGATTGAAAGAGTAACAAACATACAAACATATTTCCGCATTTATATTAGTAGACCTATTGAAATAGTTTTGCAATCATTAATAAAAGTTATTTAAGCGTCTTATTATTATCACATTGGTATAAAAGATAAAATTTATTATC